GGTGACCACCGCGGTCCTAGATTTTCTGGACCCAAACAAACCAAGAAGAAGTGTTCGAGTCGGTGCGTCCTTTGCTCATGTAGATACAAATCTTGATCGCTCGACGATTTAGACGAGCAAACCGCTCGTCGAGTTTGCTCTCAAGGGCATCAACAGTTGCTGCTTTGCGTACGGTCAAACGGGCTCGGGCAAGACGTTTAGGTAGCGCACCGACAGACACAAGAGGTCACGTTGACGTCTCTAGCATCTTTGGCGAGACGGGCGAAAAGGACGGCATCATCCCGCGCTGCACCGACTATCTGTTTGACATGATTGAGCGCAACCAGCAAACCGACCGCACCAACAAGCCCGTACATTCCGCCCTATCGTTTCGTGTCCGAGGGAATCGTGACATGTAGGAAATCACGCTGGTTGTGAGCTTTCTCGAAATTTACTGTGATCGGCTGCGCGACTTGGGCCGCGAGTATGCTTTTTTCGTCGTGAAGGACAAATGAGAGAGCACCGTGGTGTTAGGTATGCTCAGAAAACGGGTCGCACCGTATCGTACCAGCAAAGCAGTAGCGCGGATTGGTACTTGCGCCAGGTACTACAATGACAGGTCGACTGTATACATGACGACGTACATGGACGTAGAAGGCGATGAAGCGCACCGACAGCAGTGCGAGGTGCGACCTCGTATCGCGCTGCGGTATTGACAGCAATGAGAACGTAGTGTCTTCTCCAATCACTCTTCCAAAGACGAGACCCGCGTTGACTATGAAAAAGGTACGGACGATGGCGTCGAGGCCGTGTCGCTGACGCAAAACTCAAACTAGAAAACCTCGAGATTCACGAAGACGCCCAAGGCCAAGTGTTTGTCAAAGATCTCTCGATGATTGAAGTCACGCGCCGTGAAGAAGTTGCTCAATTGAGATTTGAATGACAAAGACTGAACGACAAAAACCGTAGGTGAATGTGATGGTGCAAATGGGCCTCAAGCTGCGCTCAACGCATGAAACAAAGATGAACGCCGTCTCTTCGCGATCACACACGGTGTTTTCCATTCACGTTTTCCAACACGGTGCGACAGAATATAGGCTGCTGTCTATGCCATTTATTTGGTTGCAATAACTGAATTGCCTAGATTTGGCGACAAATGAAGTCATTTCGGGCACACTCAACATGGTCGACTTGGCCGGGTACGCGACTTTCAACTAAAGTTTGCGTCCAGATAGCAAATGCTGGTGTAGATCGGAGCGCCTCAAGAAGAGCGAGTCGGACGGACAACGGCTCAAGGAGGCACTGCACATCAACTCGTCGCTCAGTGCAGTCGGCAAAGTTGTCATGTCGCTCGACCCCGAAAGCCGCTTCAACTACATTCCATACCGCGATTCGAAACTCACGCGGCTTCTCCAAAACAGCATCGGTGCGAACGCATGAACCATTGCATATTTATGAAATCATTCTTAGGTGGCAACTCGTTTACGATTCTCATTGCGACCATCCACCCAATGAAAGAGCACTACGAAGAGTGCTTGAGCACCATGCAATTCGCCAACCGGTGTCGGACCGTCCAAAACCAGGTAGCTCCACATGACAAAAGCGCGCCATCACGCATTTCATCAATTATGTAGCCCCGTGTCAACTACATCAACCAAAACGTCGTCGATAAAGATCGGCGAATACGCAAACTCCAGGACGAAATTGCGCTCTTGAAGCGAAAGCTCGAGTGTTTGCGTGCCGAGCAAAACGCGCGCATGGGCACGATTCTGCGCGAGCTTGGCTACGACGTGAGCGGCTTCACAGAAGAAGGCAACGTGCGCCTTGCTGTACGCTGCATTTGGAACGCGGCGGCATGAACGGCCACGTAGGATGGTACAGTGGTCATTGCGACAGAAGAGACGATTCTCGACATGCACGGCAACCCCATCACGCTCTCCAAGACCGAGGACGCGCTGGGACACTCGCCCTCCAAGCGGAAAAAATCGCTCTCGGACCACGGTCGCAACCAAGAGCTTCGGCGCACGATCGGTCTCGACGCCTGCGTTGCATTGTTTCTCATCAAATTGATGTCATAGAGTTTTTGAGGAAAGAACGCGACTACATGCGTCAAAAAGCCGAGGATGTCAAGAACGCCGTCCTTCTGGCGCAGGTCATCTCCCTAGAGTCGTGCCAAACTCACGTCGTGTAGGCCGAGCTGAAGAAGGAGAAGGACGATATGCTTCGGCAGCTGCAGCAGCAAAAGCGCGAAGTGCTGCGTCTCGAGAGCGAGCTCGTGCTCAAGGACGAAGCGCTTGTCCGGATCGAGGCCCAAGGCGCGTCCAAGCACAAGGAGGACATTCAGCATATTCTCGAACACAGCCAAGCGCTGCAGCGAACGTCGCAGCGACCGAGCGTGATGCTTCGCGCGAAATCGGATGGCCCCACACTGCCACTCGCCGTGTCTTCTGACTTTGCCCAGCGCGCGCTACAGCTGGAAAAGTCCAAGGAGGACGACATTGCACTTTTAAAGGAGCAGTACGAGTGTCTTTTGGCAAGGAAAAAGCAAGAGCTCCTTGACTTGACCAAGCAGTGGACACAGCACCAAGCCACGGACCGAGAGACGATCGAAGTATCTCGTTGCTGTAAGTTTGTGATGACGAGATGACGCTCGCTAGACACTCAAAGACGAAATGGCCCAGCTCTACGTTTATACAACGCGTCTCTTCCAGGCAAGCCAATCGCACTTGCAGCGCAAGTACGTCATGTTCAAGAATAAGAACTATCCTCAGTGCCAAGATAGAAGCCACGATGTCTCTTGGCCCAAGCCACTCCTGACCAACACGACCAAGTTGCGCCACTTTCGAGCGCTCCTCGGGTCCGACCCGCTCGTTCAAGCCCGTGTGCAGCACGCCAAGGAGCACAAAGTGATGTCGGCACGTGTCGCAGCCACGGCACGTCCTGTCTCGGCGCCCGCGCGCCGGCCGATGAGTGCGGGGTACGCGTCGGCGTTCCGGGGTCGGATTTTGCAGCAGCCTCCCGTAACCTTGCTTGAACCATGGTTGATGATCGCTCATTTTTGGCGCAGGTTGCGACGACCTCGGCAGAGTGTGACGGCATCATCAACGAAGACGACGACAGCGACTCGGAGCTCAGCATGCTCGTACGTGTTGTCGCTGTACTTCACAGAGGCGATTACATGGAGGCTCGTGTAGCCGATTGAAACGTTGCGCCAGCTGTTGCGGGATGAGCGAGCCAAGCAACAAAAGCCGCGGCAGCCCGAAGTCGACGACGACGTCGTGGACCAGCTGCGCACCAAGCTGCAGCACGAGGTGGCGACGACACGTGTACTACGAAGCGTCATAGTTGGGTGTAGGTTCAAAAGAACCGCGAATTGCGCGCGGCGAATGCAGCTCTGCAGCGACAACAAACCAAAACCACCCAAGAAAAAGTGGCTCCGGCCAAACCCCGCCCACAGTCGGCGACAAAACGACCCATGGGGCGGGAGGAATAAGATCCCACCCCATGCACGGCACCCGACACAGCCACTGGAGTGTAGTACTCGAAGCCGCTCGACGCTGTCTATCATGTCGTCTAGAACCAGTAAAGTCGTAGATTTGACGCCGGCCATGGACGTTATTAGTGCATCTAGATAACACAACGACTGGAATCGTAGATACCGATTTCGGAAAAAAAACGTGCGGACTGGCGTCCCTGTCGCTCCATGCGCCACGTCATTGGAACCTGCGTGGATCATGCACGCACGCGGATGCTAGATATACATCCATGATAAGTGGGATGCTCTGAACAGTAGTAGCTCTAGGATGAGCTATGTAGCAATCGTCTTATCGTAGGTGTGGGATACGCCATCATCATCACATGCATTACAAAAAAAAATGCTCGCGAGCAAGACGACCCACTTGTTTCGTCCGTGCCCTCCATGATGCTTCCGAGTTGGTGTCCGTGTCACACGCTGTCAATGCATGCAGAGCTCGGAGCCACCCACGTGCAGTGCAATGGACGAGACGGTCGCAACGAACGGCAGTTCGTACGTTCATCAACTTTTTCAAAGGCACCTGCTACAGTGCTTCGTTGCAGGCTTCGACTTCGACGACAAGTACTTTCGAAAGTATAGCGCCGCTTTTTATCGCAGTGAATGAGGAGGAGGGAATAAATTTATTTGAACGAACTAGGACAACAGACAAGGAGGACACCACATTGGACACTACGCGCGTGTCTAGTCGCACAAGATGAAGCTCAGACTCGCCTTGTTGGCGGCCTCTGCGGTGGTTCTGCTCGGAGACGATTTCGCCTTGCTGGCTTCGCGCTGCATTTGCAGCCGGCGCGAGTTGTACGCCTTCATTTGCAAAAGGCGCTTGGCCTTGTTCTTCTCGTACCACGCCTTCATCTTTTCCTTCTGCGCGTCGCGGTGGGCGGCATACCATTCCTTCTTGTACTCCTTGGTGTCTTGCTTGGCGCGCTTGGCCCGCGTCGCCTTGACTTGCTTGGGCTTGTCCTCGACGGGCGCCGAGAGCTGCCAGTGGTGGTGGAATTGCTCGCCGTAGAGGTTCGAGTAGTGCGTGTACGTCTCGGCCGGGTATGCAGCCGCGGCATACGGTGTGGCGGCGTAGTGGAGGCTGCCGTAGTACGTTGTCGGCTCGGGCGTCGTCGTCCGGTAGGTCGTCGGGTGCACTGTCATGGTCGTGGTAAATCTGAAAATGAGGAGGCAATTATTGGCTGGAATCCAGCGAAGAACCGAGTTGGGTTTGGTCGCCAATTTGTTGAGTTCGACGGCTGCTGCTGCTGCCTTCATTGATGTGGGTGCGTGTCCGGTGGTGTAACATGTTCAAGATGACTCGTGTAGCCAGGAACCACTGGTGTATCCACTCTGCAGTACGAACTAATCCGCGATGCAAACAGGCGTACAACGTATACACACGATATGGCACCACGACCAGCTGGGTCCGTTCTGAAACGGGCCACCTTCTTTCTCGCTACTGTCTTTAGATACAAGAATATATTATCTTCTTGAGACGCTATTGATACAAAAAGGTCAATTGGAGACAGTAACGAGAATAGTTTTGGCTTGGTTTGTCAACTTGGTCGAAATCAGCTATCACGTTTCAATCAGTCGCGGACCGGACGTTCTGGCAATCCTCGGTCGTTGACGCCCGAATCATCGTAGCGGAACATGGGACTGCTCAAGACACTAGAAGGTGTGCAATGGAAGGTGCTATCCAGTCGGCATCGAACTCTCTTTTATGTTGACTTGGTGGAATCTCGGATATGCGTCGAGTTACACCCATTGTATCCTATCATGCACATGTCAGCCCTGCGTTGGACATGCCGGCCTCCTGCAGCGGTGCGCGACGTGCGATTGGCGGCAGCAGCCATGAGTCCAGTAGCGTTCTGCCACTTTGTTTACCGACACAGATGCCCGCGCGTGAGACCACCCATCCATCGTTGTCGTTTGCAAACCTACGGGAGAGACCGCGCGCACCTGCTGTTGCCGCAGGCGCTTCCTCGACGCCGCCTGCCTTCGCTCTAGCAGCCACGAATCAAACTCGTGTCGACTTGGATGTGTGACGACGACCACCGCTTGAGATAGCAACCAAAGTGGTCAGCAGTCCCATTGTTCCGAGTCGCCAGTACTCGGAATCATGCAGGGGTGGGTGCATGCAAAAACCGCGTCGCAGGCACGAAGAAAGGAAGCTGTCAACTGCCCTCCTTGCAGCCATGATACGCGGCCGCGCGTGCCAGCCGCTCGTGACACGCAACAAGAGGTGGATCGTCATATGCGCCTCGATCTGCAAGTGAGTCATCTTCTATGCTAGACGCTTAGCTAAACAAAGAAGCTACGTTCTTTTGCGTGGTCTCCTCTACGATGGCACTATCTAGGTAACGCGTAAGCGTGTTTCCACTAGTCGCTGGGAGCCAGGCCTTCGATGAGTTCTTCAAAGTCCCGCAGAAACCAGTCGGCGCGCTCTTGCACCACTTGGCGGGCAACGACACCCCCATAGCCAACAAAGAGATCAGCGGGTGGCTTGGCTTGCATGTCAGTGGCACCGTCACCCACCATCACGACCGTCTTGTAGCCGCGCTCGCGCTTGAGCCTACAGAGGCGTCAGAAGTCGTAGGTTGCATAGGAGGCTTTGTACAGCTCGATGACTCGGGGCTTGCCACCGTCGCGGCTCGTGAGCTCGTTTGCATCAAAGCCCTTGTAGCTGCCATCGGCATGGAAGTGAATCGTGTTGGCGTAAATGCGGCTGGGCGGAATCCCGAGATGGGCGGCGACGGGCTCGATCATGAGCCGAAACCCGCCAGAGACGAGGTAGACGTCGATGCTGCGCGCTTGAAGCTCCTGAATCAATCGCTGGATGCCCTTGGTGAGGTACTTCGTGGGCGGATGGGCAGCCAAGCACGCATCGATCGCGGCCTTGGAGGGCTGGATAATGTTGAGCCGCGCCGCAAGGGCGTCCTCAAACTTGACGCCGCCGTTCATGGCCTTGGAGGTCCAAGCAGATACAGCGTCACCCTGGCCGCAGTGCGCAGCCAGCACGTCGATGCCCTCGTCCTGGATCACGGTACTGTCGACGTCAAAGCACACGGCCTCGGCGCGACGCCAGATCTCGAGGTTTGCCGGCGAGCTAAACGAGCGCTACCAATAAGATATAAGATCTCACATGAACGCATGTTGCCTCCACTCGACGTACGCAGGCGATGGGCGCAAGGCGAAGACCACGGCGAAGCGCAAGCATGATGGCCCAGTGATTCTGTGTGCTCGAGCCGATTGCGCAACAAGATGTGCTCCAAATACAAAAACAACACTATTATCATTTTTTTAGATTATAGTGTAGGGTATCACAGATACTCGGTAAATAGTATGCTCTAGCAGTGGCCGCTGCGATAGGGTGTCTACGACTGCAGCGATGGACGTAGGAAGTTGATGCGCTCGGATGCTACGTTTTTCGACTTGCTAACTACCATTGGAGCGCACGTAATCCCTGTGTACACTCTTCAGTGGTACCGGCTACGCGTCCAATGCCAACCCAACATCTCTCTCCGAGAAACATACACTATTCAAGAATGCTGTGGTTTCGCGACTCGGTCACTTGTGATTGGTTCGCTGGTTGAAAAGGCCACCCGTGGGACATGATTTTGACCAATGAGGCGGGCGCCCGAGGTGCATCCGTGGGATCCACGCTCGCCGACCTCACTTCGTAATTTTGCCACGGACCAGCTGAGCCATGCCCCACGAGTTTGCCCGCCTCCCGACCATCGTCCGGCCCACCAAGGTACGCCTCATGCAGCGCCGCATGGAAGGTTGACGCCCTGTATGTGCGTAGTACACGCTTGCGTACGACGTCGTGGACCTCGACCGCTACCGCTTCGAAGGTCGCGAGACCATCGATGTCGAGGTGAACGAGGCGACTAACACGATCACGTCCCATGCAATTGAGCTCTGGGTGCACTCGGTCAAGGTGCGTCAAGGCGACAAGACCATTGCTTGCGACGAGGTCCGCTTCATCGAGGAAGACCAAACCGTGACCTTTGTCTTGGCCGAGACCTTGGCGCCCGGGCCTGCCCAGATCGAGCTCGGCTTCCATGGCATTCTCAACGATGAACTCCGTGGTTTCTACCGCGCAGGCTACGAGCAAAACGGCGAGAAGCGCATCATGGCGACGTCCCAGGTACGCACATGATGCTGTCGTACGTACCCTCATGCATCTCTTCCTCGTAGTTTCAAGCCTGCGACGCACGCCGAGCGTTTGTGTGCTGGGACGAGCCCGCGATCAAGGCGTCGTTCGAGATCTCGATGGCGACGCCTGTGCACCTCACGGCCATCTCCAACATGCACGTGCTCTCGACCGCGATCCGCCCGTCCCCGTACATCCACAACGCGACGGAGAAGGTGTGGCAGTTTGCCGAGACGCCCATCATGTCGACATACTTGGTACGTGCATTCGAATATACGTCGATTACCACCAACGGTTGTCGATCGTAGGTTGCGCTCGTTGTCGGCGAGTTTGACAGTCTCTCGGCCTACTCGCGCGAAGGCGTCCTTGTCAACGTGTACACGCCCGTGGGGAAGAGCAACCAAGGCGAATTTGCTCTCTCGGGTACGCTTCATGACCTCTTGTAATGTGGTCTCTTATTCTTATCCTGATATAGTCGCGACCGAGTCGCTTTCGTTCTTCACGAAGACTTTTGGCCTCGAGTACCCTCTCAAGAAGCTCGACATGCTTGCGATCCCCGACTTTGCAGCTGGCGCCATGGAGAACTGGGGCTGCGTCACGTATCGCGAAGAGGCGCTTTTGATTGAACCCAGTACGCGCGCACGTACACCAAAGGACGTGATTGATGAATATTCTTGCTGTAGGCCAGAGCAGCCAAGACAGCAAGTCGCGGGTCGCACTCACGGTCGCGCATGAGCTCGCGCACCAGTGGTTCGGGAACCTCGTGACGATGGAGTGGTGGACTGGCCTTTGGCTGAACGAAGGCTTTGCGCACTTTATGGAGTACGAGGCCGTGAACGCGATCTTCCCCGAGTGGAAGATGTGGGAAAACTTCATCCAGGAAGTCACGCTCGGCGCAGCGTTCCGCGAAGACGCCTTGCTGAGGTAGACTCATGTGCTTCGATACATGACACACTCAGCGTCTTCTTAGCTCGCACATGATCGAGGTCGAAGTCAACCACCCGGACGAAGCCGACGAAATTTTCGACGCGATTTCGTATTGCAAGGGTACGCATTGCTGGCAACCACTTTTCTCATGCCCACTCTGCGCAGGCGCGAGCATCATTCGCATGCTCTGCGAGTATCTCGGTCAAGATGTCTTTTACAAGGGCATCCAGGCCTACTTGAAGCAGTAGGCTCGTCTGACAGGACCGATCGGATGGTATACTTTGGACGGTGATTAGGTTTAGCTACCAGAACGCAGTGACGTTTGACCTCTGGCACGCGCTCGAAGAAGCTTCGGGGCTTCCGCTCGCGACGATGATGAACACGTGGACCAAGCAGACCGGGTACCCCGTCGTGACGCTCACGTGTGGCGAGGTAGGTGTCGCTTTCGTCTCGTTCCAGTATAAATGGTGCCCGATGATAGGAGCTCACCGTGAAGCAAACGCGCTTCTTCTCCAACCCGTCGACGCAGGACGACGGCGACAGCCGCTGGGACATTCCGCTGACGGTTGTCTACGACGAAGCCGAGAGTGCCACCGTCCACCGTGTTGGTATTTGGTCGGCGGGCGATGCGCCGCGCGACGAGGCCGGTGAAATTGCCGCGGCCAGCGACCTCTTGGCCAACGACGAGCTAAAGCGTGCGTCGTGGGTCAAGCTGAACGCGCATTCCCAGGGCTTCTACGTCGACAACTACTGTTCCGAGGGGTGGCGCCGCCTCCAGGCGCCGTGCCAGCGTATGCCAAGAGTTCCAATTCCTTTTGTGGTTGACACGCATCGTAGAGCTCGTGCTCGGTGATGTCGAGCGCATGTGCTTGCTCAACAACGTGTTTACGCTCACGCGAGCCGGCCGTGTCGCTCTCAGCGATGCGATGGCATTTGCCCGCGCGTTCGCGGCCGACCCGAGCTACCTCGCATGGAAGACGCTCTCGGGCCACCTCGGCTTTTACGCCAAGCTCTTTGCGGACGAAGCATTCTTTCCGGCTCTCCAAAGCTACATTGCTGGTCTCTTTCAGCAGCCGATGGGCCATTTGACATGGACGTCGCTGCCGTCGGACGACGACAACTCGGCGTACTTCCGCAAGGCCGTCATCTCGATGCTCGGCCTCGCGCGCGACCATGGTACGTGCTTGTACTCGTGTGTACGGTCACTGACGTTCTATTAGCGGTGGTAACTGCTGCGGAGCAGCACTTCCAGACGTTTGTCGCGACGCCAACGTAAGGGTCCAAGGATGCGCATACAATGTGCTGATGACATCTGCGTGTAGGGGGTCGCCGTTGGCGTCGGACTTGCGTAGCTGTGTGCTCGACTTGGTGGCCGCCGTGCACGCGTCGCCGGTCGTGTACGACCAGCTTCGCACACTGTACGAGTCGGTGGACCTCGGTGAGTTCAAGCTCGACTGTCTCTGCGCGATGGGCCAAATCCCGTCCAAGCGCCTCGAGACGCTTCAGTGGGCGCTCAGCGGGTCGCATGTGCGCGCGCAGGACATTCAGTACGCGTTCAACAGCATTGCGCGCCAGAGCCAGGCCGGTACGGAGATGGCGTGGGGCTACATCCAAGAGCACTGGGACGAGCTCAACACCAAGTACATCCCGAGCAAGGTATGGTTTTCGTTTGATTTTGCAGCGAATACATTCATCGACGTCATGTAGATTGGGTCGATTGTGTGCTTGACGATCCGCCACTTTCACACGGACGCCAAGGCCGACGAGATCGCAACGTTCTTTGCGACACACAAGCACTCGGCCTTCAAGCGCAAGCTCGACACGACGCTCGAAGAGATCCGCACCAAGGCGGCGACGTACGCGCGCGACGTGGCGGCCATGGGCGACTACCTCGCATCGCTCGCCTAAGCCGATCCTCGATCCATGGAGCGCGCGATGCCGGACGACGACGTTATGCCTCTAGTCCTGCAGGAACGACCGTGAATTCACCAACAAATAACATGGTCTATGCAACACTGAAGACGGATAGTGTCGTGCGATCGAGCAAAACAGCCGATACGGAGAATGCAGGTCGTCACAGATGCTGGCCCTCGTGGTGTGACGTGATTGCGATGCTGACGGGACCAGCCTCGCCACACAGAACGCGATACTGTGACACAACAACCAAGACTTTGGCGAATTGCCCCAGAAGCTGCGGTGAACCACTGGAGGACTGAGTAAAGTAGCCGAGATCAATTGGTGGAACATGCTATTTGAGGCCAGAAAAGTTGTCGCTGTCCAGGCAATTTCGTTCCACGGAACGCGGATCGACTGGACAGCACCCCCATGGCTGCCTTGGCGCTTTCCCAGCACAGTGCAAAGCGACAAGAGAATTTGAAACGGTCGAGGTCGCCCGACGTTCCCAGTGCTTGTATTCGCTCCCGTGCAGGCCTCGAGGCAGAGGTGAAGCCCGCCGACGTCCAGTCTCGGCGAGTGGCTGAACGCACGCGGCTTCGTGCGCGCATGAGGCGCTGTCCATCAAAGCGATGTCACGACGATCGAAGGCTCCATCTTCGGTGCGATGTGATTGGCTCGAAATTATGTTGATGGGATGAGGTTTGTGATGATGGGATGCGAGGGCATTAGGACCCCGTCAACAGTTCGGCTGAGCTCGCGGTCGTGATTGGCCAAAATGCATAAAACGAGGCCAATCACATCATCATTTGGACGGGAAATTGCCTGCCGGCTGTCATGCTTAGTTTTCCAGGTTCTCGAACGACGATGGCCGACCACCGGCGCTTGATGGTGCCCGACAACTCGCGCGCGGTCGTCGAGATCGAGCGCTCCAAGCAGGCGGCGGCGCGCGCCGTCCTCCTCGAGAAGCGCAACATTCGCCGCAACCAAAGCAAGATGAACCAGCGCCGGTACCGCGCCGAGCAGAAGGGCCACCTCTCGTCGCTCGAGACGCAGGTGGGCAGCCTCTCGAACGAGGTCGCGCGCCTCGAGGGCCGCCTCGAGTACCTCCAGCGCGCCGTCTCCAACCTCTACGCCGACGAGATGAACATCGTGTGCCAGTTCTTTGTGCACTTTGCGAATGGGTTGCAGCTCGACGCGGGCCCGCAACACGACTTTTTGCGTACGATCACGGCCGACAACCTCCTGTACCTTGGCCAAGTACGTGTGGTTTTACCACGTTTTATTCCCCGCAGCTTGTTATTTATGCTGCGATAGGCAAGTCGAACCAAGCTCATCGAGCAGCTCGAGGGCTACTCGTGCCAGTTTGCGTCGTTTCAGATGCAGTGCACGCTCATCGAAGGCCTGCCCCACGCCAGCTCGGACAAGCTCCTCAAAGCCCACGCCGAGCTGCAGCTGGGCATCACCCCCAGCACCATCCAAGCTGTCTTCCCGCATGTACATCCGGACCTCGCGTCCAAGCTCACGGGCAAAAGCCTCCGCGTCTCGATGATGTTCGTCTTTTGCTTTGACGTCGACGGCATCGTGTACCGTCTCGACTCGGCGGCCGAGCTCGTCGCTGCGCTGGCGCTGCTTGTCTCGAGCGTTGAAGAGGCGCTTCTCGTCCTCGAGGGCTCGCTGCTCACGGCGCATGGCGAGATTCTCGTGAGACGAGCAGCACCGTCGAGCACAAGTACCCCGAGGGCCCGATGACCGCCCGATGCGCACCAAATCAGATTACGGTGGCGGTACGCGATTTGATTGGCCTTCAGGGTAAGTTTAACGTATTTAACCTCAAGTACGTTTATTATGTAAAACGGAGGTGCGAGAGGTTGCACCAGTCTATGTGCCGCCATTTGTCGTCTCGTTTTTGTCCATTATGTAAGAAAGCAAAACATAATATTCATTTATGAATTGCGTGTTATCGGACATTCGCTTGAACGACGGACTATCCCGACTTTCCAACTGCTTTGGGTTTTGCCCAGGCGCTCGTGTTTTGCTCCTGAGGTTTTTTCATATGCGCCATGTCAAAGTCTTCGACGCTGTCATCGTACTGCTTCCTCGGCTTTCATTGATGACCTCGCCCAGGGTCAACCTATCGGTATCCCGCTTGGCGACGAGACGCTGATCTACCCGCCAAGGACCTGCGTGCTAACGCTACCTCCGCCCGGATGTCTGACTCCGCCTTCGTCCGAGTTTTAGGGCCGCCCACGCTCATGCCACCATGCGTCCTGCACCACGATTGGTCCATTTTGGTTGCTAAACCTTGGTGGCGAGGACAAAATTGACTTGACGCGTCGTTCTGGGCCAGTCGATGGGTAGTCGGCCGACTAATCTCAGAAGCCGCCATGTAGTAAAGAGCAACGAACGCACGCCGTCGGTCGATGTGTGGTGTCAACGCATCCGTCATGCGTCAATCTCGGGGATCGTAAAATATAATACCGGATGGCAACGAAGATTTGGGGGGCATTGTGGTCGTGCGAGATGGTTCGCTGCGGCAATGCTGTTCTTATGCAACATGACCTGCTTGGTGACGTCGGGCATGGAGTAGATGGTGGCCCTGTCTCTCGTCGGCAGTTTCGTTTGCATAATGGGGCGCGAACACCCCTAATGGGGTGCGCGTCTTTGCATGGCAAACATAATGAGCTTGTTCACTAGTATAAGGCAGCGGGCAACTTGACCCCGCCCCGGTCCTCAATGATATCAGGATTCGAAGCTTCCAGCAGAGCACGATTGCTGCCGGCTGGATCCGTCAGCCAAAATGCACCGACATCATGCAAAGAAGTGCCGTTTCCAAGAAGTGGAAGAGGTTTTCCGCGCAAGGCCGAGCGTTCTAGAAGACCAAGATATGGAAGCACGCACACGTTACAAGATCCAGGCGCAGAGCAAGCGGCTCGAGCCATCCGGATGGCATCCGGGGACTACCAATTAGGTGGTGGGCGAAATCCCGCACGCGCATCAGTCTAAAATCGTCGTAACACTGCCTTTGGGCACCCGCATTGGCTGATTTTTGGCCAAATGCAAGACTCGGCGAGTGGGGTCCACCACGGGATGGACCTCTCCGTACGCAGCTCACCCCCAACGACCAAGTGCTGGAGCCAACTCCCCCACGCAGTCAGGCGTAGCGCTACGTATGCGAAGTCTTTGTGTCATAATGAAGATAACGCGGAACACGTTCATATATATATAAATGTAACACCCGCATTGGTCTAAAAGAAATAATTCAGTATCACGATGTTCGAAGCCGTTAGATCGCGATCTTCGCGCAAGCGTTTTGGCGCTTCAGCACACTCGTGCTTGGCGACATGGAGCGCGAGTGAGCTTGCTTTACTGCCGCTCAGAGCCGCTCAGTGAAAGCCGCGACCCAATAGGGCTTGACGGTCAGTCCATCGTTCTTCTTCAGTGGTCAGTGCTTCGATCGATTCCACGGGTAGCTGCCAGCCTTGCCACACGCATCAACGCGAGCTACGGTCTCGCGATCCTCATGAGCAATACGTACACTAGACAGTACATGATGCTCAAGAAGTTCGTCGCGAACTATGAGCTCCTGTAGGGTAGTGATAACTAGAGACTCTACGAGCTGCCATATCGGGTCGCACACAGGGCATTACTATCGAAGAAAGGTAGCAGCATCATTGCGTAAGCACAGATTGCTGGGTTGATGATCTCCGCGAGTAAACGCTCGAGTTCAATACCCAGCTCTCTGGACTCGGCGCCAACTATTCTAATTGGTCAAAAAACCTGCGTGAGCGGGCCAAACTGACCAGTGCGGGTGTTGCGTTCGTGCAGTGCAACACCCGCATTGGCTACAAGGTTTTTACGCTCGTTCATTGGTAGAAATTAGAGTTTATAGGCGCATTCAAAGGGTGCCACACAGGTTTACAAAAACCAGCATGAAAACCATGCACGGCATGTTTAAAGGAGCACCTGCCATGAGCTCTCGCCGCGGCGCGCAGAGTACCGCTTGCACAAGATCGCCACGTCATATCGAACTTCTCCTTTTCTTCTCTTTCTTCGATTTAACAGGCACACGTGGTTATAGTCCCACCATGTAAAGGGTAGTCATCAGCCATCCACCAATTTGTAGTATCAGTCAAAAGCTAACCGCCTCGCCCACCTCTGGCATGGCGGACACCATCACGGTTGTTGCCCCCAAGTAGCTCGGTCTTGATTGAGGAAGTGCGTTTGCATGCGATCAACACAAGTCTCTGTTCCACGGCACTTGGTTCAAATGCGCGAGTCGGCACGCACAGAGGTAGTCAAAGATTGCGTCGCAACTGCGATGCAGGTGGTGCGACAAAGCCCTGGTCCGGCATCGGTTCATTCTGTTGTGTGAATTTTGACGATGAGCTCGGCCACATCAAAACACTTGTTGCGCCAAGCCAGCGCATTCAAGGTACGCCACTTCAGACGGACACTATAATATGTACTGGCTCGCATCTGGGCACTCAGGCAACCCCGTAGTTCCAACCACACAAAAGCTTTTTCAAGAAAGCCGCCTACTGCGAGTATCAGTTGCGGACTGGTGCAGCGAGCGAGATCTGTATTCGATCTGGACTCATATCACGAAGAAGCTCCATCAAGCGCAGACCGCAACTTGGACTGTGACGGGCTGCGAACCGATCGCTATCGTGAACGAAACCAGCCACCATGCACTTCATCATCTCAGCACGCTCTCGGCAGTTCTTTCGTCACGTCGCTGCATCGTTTGTATGGCCAGTAATAAACTGTCTCGTTCTCGTCCCGTTCTCGTCCAGCGGCCTTGGTTTCTCTAGGTTGTATTCGGCTCCTTGCCAGATCAACCCACCGCAGTGTTTAGTAGCTCCCAGTTTAGAGTCATCATGGCCGAGGCCCCTGTCCATGCTAGTACGTTGTCTCACTTCATCGACCCGACACCAGCGACACCAGCAGTGAGCAGTGACGTGCGAAATTCCACTCGTGGTATCGGTACAACATGCGCCACCCGAAGCGCAATGAGAAAACGATGACGAGAACGGCGAACCGCTCGGCTGTATCCGGAGGAGGTGGCGTTTAACGCGAAAAACGCGTTTTATCTGCTTGGCGAGAAAGTGGTAAAATACCCGTGTCTATGCACTGGCAATATGTTCACTTTTTCGAAAGCAAAGCACGGAGACACGGAGGTTACCAGTGTCAATATTGGTGCCGAGTGCATGGATCTCGACCGCGTCTTGTCCGTGACCACGGACGTCGTCGAGCTCAAGCGGCTTCGTAACCAGGTCCACCAGCAGCGCTATCGCCAGAAGAAGAAGCGCTTGGTCGGGCAGCTCGAGCGCCAGGTTGTCGACCTCCGTGCGACCGTCGACCATCTCCACCTGCGATGGCGGCGCTTGCAAGAAGAGAAGAGAGCCTTGTCGGCGCCTGCGCTCACAAGCGACGGCAGCGCCCGCCTCGTGCACACGTACTACACGCTCTTTGAGCACGGCCGCGGGACGGGCGCTGCGGGCCTCGACCAAATCGCGTTCCTGCGCTCCGTGATGGCACCCGACTTGGATTTTATGGACGACAAGGTACCCCACATTAACAGCCTCGTCGGCGCGAATGCATATGCACGTGCGTAGGTAGATGGCCTGGCCAAGCTTGTCCAGCAGTGGGACGTCTACTCGTGGGTCTTTCCTGCGCTGCAGCTCACGGCGCTCCACGTCGAGGCGCCGATTATCACCGACGACCAAGAAATTGTCCATGCGCACGTCACTTTACAGCTGCAACTCTCGCCGACGGCCATCGAGACGATTTACCCGGCCTTGCCGCCGAAGGAGGCCGCGCTCGTGGTTGGGCGCGACCTTCTCGTGCCGATTTCGATGCATTTTTATATCAACGCGGCAACGCGTCAAGTGTGCGCGCTGACGACGCACGCTGACATTGCTGTCGCTGCGTTCAAGCTGCTTGGCGACCTCCGCGCCAGCACAACCGTCCTCGAACGCTCACCGCTGCGCCATAACGCCGAGCTGAACGTCATGCAACTGTAATGCTACGACCGCGTGTATTATTCGACTGCATTTGCGTGCGCTCCACGAGCGAGCAGCGAGATGCTAGCAGCTATAAGGTTGCTTGTAGGAGGTAAGTTGGAGCTCGCATGTATGTAGTAGGTAGTGGGACTCGTTGCGCACCCACCGCCTCCCATTGTAGACGTTATCGAGGGCCTCAAAGTGCCATGATCACGCGATGTTCCACGCCCCATCCAAATCGGATCACCGCCATGATCCGTGGCAGTGAACATGCTGTTGAAGCGCAACCGATGTCCAATGCATATTGCGAAATCCTCCCGCCGTTTAAACGTTTAAACGCGTTTTAGTCCGGCCCCACCCGACCACCTTTTGAAGCCCATCACCAAACGCGCTCGCAAATCCACACCAAGGCAATAACAGGCTGTTTGATTCCGTTGATCTACACCAACATTCATATATAACCCGAAAGCAAAATCTACACACCTATTCATCTGACTGCGGTCTTGCACGAAGAAGCAAGTCGTTTGCTCTGGTGACGATCGTGTGCCCAACCGGACAGTGATATCACGTCGTGCAAGGCAACTTTCCAAGTTCATGTCTCGTACAACGGACCAGTTGCCGAGCCCGATTGCAAATTTGTGGGGATTCAAACACGAAATTCGACGAAACGCCAACCGTTACGAACGTATCCAGAGGCGAATCTCCAGCGGTTTCGTGCAGTTCGCGCCTGTGCGCACGATGTGCTCATTCTTCTACGAGAGACGTCGGCGGCCTTCCTCCTCGACTGGATCCATACATATGTATACAGCATTTGCCTCATTTCTGAGCGCTCGAGGGCTGGTCTCGTACCGACCCGACGACCAGACACCACACGTAATTCACACGGTTTCACACGTCATTGCGTTTACTGCGAAAAACAGAAGCGACTAGTCGGCGGATATGACGGAGCGGACGAGGCGTCGGAGCCAGCCCGTGCGGACGGTCGAGGACGAAGCATGGCAGCGTGTACGGAGCCAGCGCAACCAGCGCCGGTACCGGTCCCGGAAGAAGGTGGCGTTCGAAGAGCTCGAGGGCCATGTGCTTGCGCTGCGTCGCGACGTGTGCAGCCTCGCCGCGCAGTCCCAGTCGTATCAAGCCGCCGTCGCGCGCCCAGCTGTCTCGATGACTGTGGCCACGAACATTGCAGTCGAGTACTTTCGCATGTTTGAGTACGGCCTCCGCGGTGCGATACACCCGTCATACAAGGCGCAGACGGGCTTCCTCACGAGCGTCATGGCACCGGACCTGCATTTCATGGAGGCTTCGGTACGTCGCAAAGTGGCAGTGAACATGTTGAATGAAAGAGCGTAGGACCGAGGCGTGCACAAGCTCTTTGAACAGCTCGACTTGTACTCGACGCTCTTTGTCTCGCTGCACATGAACTGCGACCGTCTCGACGTCCTCGTCGAAGCTGACGACGAAGTCATCGTGCGGGCCCTCGCGGTCCTCGACCTCCGGCTCTCGCGCGCGTCGATCGAAGCTATTTACCCCAATTTAGTTGCGTCCAACGAGCCGCTGGTCCAATCGCTCGTCGGGCGCCTCTTGCACGTGCCTATTTTAACGCACTTTTACGTCAACATGGAGACGCACAGCGTGCATACGCTTTCGACGACGGCTGATATCACGTCAGCAGCAGCCAGCCTCGTGGGCAGCGTCCGCGAGAGTCTCGTGGCCCTTCAGCAGACGCGGCTCCTCGCCAACGCCGAGATCTCAATGCCAGCGCGGCCTCCGTACGACGACATGTTGCGCCAAGGGTCGTAGTAGCGGGCTGTCGACCTACGCACACCACCTATAGTTGACAACACTGCATCGTCAAGCTGTCTTTTACTGCATTAAGGCTTCGTTCGGTTCGCGGCAATTATTTTTTAATCGATTATATACGAAATCGCCATTATTAATGATTGCGTAAATGAGAATTGGGTTTGCAGGTCCATTATCGACCAAATCTTGTTCGGTTCGCCAAGAGCAATTATTCCACGCTCATCAAGGACTCGGTCCTTGGTGAAAGCCAGGTCAAACGACTGGCGGCAGGCGTGCCAGCCATCGATCGTCCAAGTACTGGGTCCACGGGGTGGAGGCAACGCAGTCACGCGTGACCATGGTTGCATTGCACTAGCTCTTGCGCTCGGAGTCATGCCATATCGGTGTGTGCGATCGTCCAGAGACTAGCCCTCGTCGTCGACATATGCGTACTGGAAGCGCTCCCGCCCATCGGCGTGCATCTTGTTGGTCGTGATGTAGAGAGCCATGAGCAACACTTATGTCCTGCGCCAACCTTGCGACCACTAGATACAGTAGACGAAGACCTCACTCCTCCACGCGCGCAATAAGATCGAGATCGCTGCATGGGCCCTGCCCGCTACCTGCGCCCAGCGCATCTCGCTACAAGCCTCGAGTAGCTCGCAGTAGACGTGGTCTCTGTCTGGATGGATGAAGGACATGAGATGGGTTCATGGAGGAGCGCAACGAGTACATGCCGCCATGGCCGCCGCGCTTCGTGACGACCTTGCTTGCATGACGACAAATGAAGAATGAGTCGGACCCCAATTTTTGAATAACGGAGTTATGAGCGCTTATTCCAAAAAATCCTACCGAACGCTATCAATTATCACGATAATCGATCATTCCAAAAATAATCGTGGATGGGGTCAATAATGGCGAAATAAGTCCATTATTCGCCAACCGAACGAAGCCTAAAACATCAGCGTTGTGTGGCGATTTCTCATTTTCGGATCCTGGAGCTTCACATGCAAGCACTCTATGCAACGGAAGAAGCAGGAGGCTCTGGAGCGAGGGCAGCCAAGTCATTATCTACCCTTGGTGCAAGAGCCAAAGTCTAGCAGGAACGGTCGACTTGGCTGTCCCCACGCCGCGCGATTATGGAGGAGGTTCCGAGGATCTCTCGTCAGCCGTGATTCGGTAACGCCGTTGGAAAGAGTGTTTGTCAGTCGCTGAACGGAAAGAGGTGTCCACAGGCACATGCCCGAGAGACGCGAGCGCCATCGCAACACGCAGCGGCGGTACCGCGAGAAGAAGCAGCGATCTCAGCAAGAGCTCATTACTGCTGTCGCGCACTTGACCGACGACAACCGGCGGCTCGAGGCACTGCGGGCACGGCTCCTCCCTGCCCAAGTCAGGTCCTACGACGCCGCGATGAGCACGGCGCGCGAGTTCATTCGCGTCTTTGAGGTTGGCGTGCGGCCGCCGCCGACCCGCTCGGACCAGTTTGCATTTTTCCACAGCGTCACCGCACCCGACTTTGCCTTTATGGACGACGTAGGCTGCATGCGGATGATGATGCGTCGGTGTCACATGTGCTCTATGTAGGCAGACGGCGCGGCCGTCTTCTTTCGGCAGTGGGCAGTCTACGAGCAAACGTTCGCGTCGAGTCGCGTCGTCGCCTTGCACGCCGGCGTCATTCGCCTCGAGACGGACGAGGACGTAATCGTGCGCGCGCCAACCACGATGCACCTGCGCCTCTCGCGGGTCTCGATGACAACGATTTACCCGAGCCTAAGCGACGAAGATGCGACTGTCGAGAGACTCGTCGGCCGCGACTTGGTCGTGCCCATGCTGTGCGTCTTTTACGTGGAGAAGGCCACGTCTCGCATTCAACGCTTCTCGATCGAAGCGGACGTCGCGGCCGCCGCGCTGCAGCTGCTTGAAAACAACGTGGAGGCCGCCGCACGCGTCCTTCAAGACTCGCGACTGCAGACGTCGGCCAAGATTGCTGTCGACCCAATCGATGCGAGCAAGATCTGAGTGCCACTCTTTCATACTAGTACGCACAGGAGCAAGCGACCGAGTGTGTACCCGTCTTTGCACAAGACACTGCAAAGACTGGACACTTGAAGGGTACTTTAAATGCACGCCAGGGTGGACGCAGCTGCTGCAAGGGCCGCGCCGTGCAAAGCAAGCCCGGCAAGACCGACCGGATACGGTACGGAGTGGGGAGAGAAAAGGTCAGCGCGCGTGCGCGCCATGGTGCTTGCCAACGACGGGTCGCCGAGCTAGAACGGAGGCTGCAGCTGGGTTACCTGTCGGTAGCGGTAGACGTTGTGGGTGTATTGCCGAATTGCGGCAGCATGCTGCGGTTGTAGCAGCTCATGGCTGCGGCACGGCAGTGTCATGCCACGACTAGCGTCAACCCGCGCTCTGATTGGCTAAAATTACGAAGGGGATGATGATCGAACCATAACGCGGTCGCCAGTTTGACACGTGCGATGACCAAGGAAAACTCACCGCTGCCGGCCGTGCCGGCGCGCCAGCGCAGCCAGCAAAAGTACCGTGCCAAGAAGAAGGAGTCGCAGACGCAGCTCCAAGACAAGGTCATCCGCCTCCGCGTGCACGTCAAGCAGCTCGAGGACCAACTCGAGAGCCATACGCTAGCGCTGCCGCCGCCCATGCCAACGTTCGCCGGCCTCGCCAACGTTGCGCGCGAGTTCTTTAGCGTCTTTGAGCACGGCTTTAGCGACCCCGGTCAGCCCGCGTACAAGGACCAGCTGCATTTTCTGTACTGCACGACGTCGCCCGACTTTAGCTTCATGGGCGAGGTCCGACCGATCATCCACCCAAGAATTCGCTTTGGCTTAAGCAGCGCATGCGTAGGCGGATGGCATGTCGATGCTCTTCCGTCAATGGGGCTTCTATACCAAGGTCTTTGCGTCGTTCACACACGTGTGCGACGGCGCCGAGACGATCGCGCTCACCGACGACGAGATCATCGTCCAGGCGCGGACAACGCTGCACCTGCGGCTCTCGCGCGCCTCGATCGCAACCATTTACCCGAACCTGATTGCAGTCAACGAGCCGCTCGTGCAGTCTCTCATTGGCAAGATGCTCCGCGTGCCCATGCACGCGCTCTTCTACATGTACAAGGACACGACCGCTGTCCACACGTTCACCGTCGACGCCGACATTGCAACGGCTGCGGTCACGCTTCTCGGCAACGTCTCGGACGCAGCAATCGCGCTCGAGTCGTCGCGCTACGAGTCGAGCGCCAAGCTCAACTTATAAGTCGAAACCCTAAGTCGAAAATCGACGTTCGATGAAGCAAGATGAAGCAGGCTTTCCGCACATCCCAAGTCACGTGATCATGGTGGGTGGTCCAACGTGTGCACGCAAAAGGTGGTGGGTAGCTTGCTGTACATGCAAGGCGACTCGTTGAAGAAGCAGGTGCGTCCCGTCATCACGGGGTCGTGTGATTCCTGTGCGATCGCGTCATGGGCTTGCATATGGCACAGATCGCGCATCAAGTCGTCCGAACACGGGCCTCTCGTCCAGCACAGCGTGAGCCAATTCTTGGGTGGCGGGTGGCTGCACTTTGTAACAAGATGACAGCTTGTCATCATCTTCCGGAGGTCCCGCAAGCTGCTGCTCGTGTTGCGCTTTGCTATGCGTTCCAAGTTGAACCGGGACCGCAAGTCGCACGGACCAATCGGAGCCACCGGACGCTTCCGACCGATCGCGCTAAGTTGGGCGTTTGTTACTCGTCACAACGCAGTTTCGATGTTCCTGCAAGCGATCTTGGGCCGCACCATAGACGAGCGCGAGGCGCGGTACCGCGAGCGCAGCCAGACCAACCAGCGCCGGTACCGCCTGCGCAAGAAGGCGGCGCACGCGCGCCTCGAGCACGACGTCCTCGCACTGCGCCACGCCAACGACGCACTCGTGAGCGAACTCCGCATGGCGCAGGGCATCTGCGTTGTCCACGAGCGCGCAACCCGCGTCGCGCACGACTACTTTAGCCTCTTTGAACACGGGCTCCGCGGCTCGCCCATCGAGATGCAGCGCAGCTATCTGCGCACCGTCATGTCGCCCAACCTCGTCGTCATGGGCGACGCACGGGTACGTGCTTGTGTCAGCCTTTGCCTCATGGATCACAGGTCGACGGCGCCACCAAGCTCCTCGAGCAGCTCCACCTGTACACGACGCTCTTCGAGCATCATCTGCGCCTCGAGCACATCGAGGTCGTTGTCGACACGGACGACGACGTCGTCGTCAAGACGATCGGGTGCATCTCGCTACGGCTAACGCGGCGCGCGATCATGATCCTCTACCCAAATTTGGTCGGCGCCAACGAGGGAGCCGTGCAGCAACTCGTCGGCCGCATGCTCCAAGTGCGCGTGGTGAGCCACTTTTACATCAGCAAGACGACAGGGCTCGTCGAAGCGCTCGTGGGGGACGCTGACACGATGCTCGCGATCGCCAACCTCCTTGGGGACGTCACACAGTCCGAGCTCGCGCTCCAGAGCTCGGCGCTACGCCCGAACACCGAGATTGTCCTCGATGACACCATCTTGGAGCTCTCGTCGGCAACCTAGTCGGAATATATATCCATCCAAAACCAATCTAATGACCTTTACGTTACGGGCGCGATCTTTGTCGAGGAAGAGGTCAGTGTTATGACGGCGCTTCCGGCACCGACCTTGGTGTGCTACCGGGTGGCGCACAGCTGGGCCCTTCGCGTCAAGTGGCCAGCGGACGACGCGCCATTCGACTCGATCGCGATCGACGTCACTGGCTGCTTCAGTCGCCCGCCCGTCGACGGCGCATGGAAGGCCGACGACATCGTGCTTGAGACGCACTGGATCGAGGACCTCGAGAGACATCGCAGTGGGCCTTGGTACGTGGTCGAGCTGCCACTCTCGTTGTCGCCATCTTATCGCCGACCGCTCGTCGGCTACGTCGTCCAGCTGCGCGCCCTATCTCTTACGTCGGTCATCTACTTTTGTACCAGGTTGGGTCACCCTCATCACGATGCGTGTGTCTCTAGAGGTCCATGCTCGCAGTTTCTCCGGCGCATCGAGATGCGTATGAGCTGCCATGCCACTAGGATGATCATCGACATTGCTCTAGCGGCCGATACGACCAAGGACGTTGTGCTCGCCGCGCGGCGCACGGGTCTCCGCACCCTCTTGGAGCTTGTGCAGCACTACGCGCTGGACGCTAACGTGGCGAGTCGCAGTGCCAGCGCCATTGTGTATCTCTTGCGTCAAAGCGGTGACGACAACGACGTCAGCAGCGACGACGAGGCCGCGTCACGACCGTCAACCGAGCTCCACGACTACGACCTCGTGCTCGACACGTGGCAAGTGCTCCTGCGACGCATGGAGTCGTTTCCGGAGCATGTTGACCTTCAGCGATGGGGCATTTGTGCAGGGCGGGCTCTGTATGTGCGACTTTTGAGCATCGTCCCCGACGCTACCGCGAGTAGGACACCCCATGCTCGACGGTACTATCTGATGGAGATGTAGGTCTTCAAGGAACGTTTGTGGGTTTTGTCACGGCGCTCATCAAGGCGGTCGACCGCTACGATGGCCACCACGGACTTGTCACGAGCTCCTGCGATGTCCTCGCCGAGCTCTTTGAGCACCAGCGCAGTAGGCACCGAGGCTGCACCAAGACTGCAAGACGTCTGTAGATGTGCTTGTCAGTGTCGTCGGCGACCGCAGTGGTATCGAAGCCATCGTCGGTACCATGCGCTTGAACCGCGAGAACCTCGAGGTCTGCCGCGCCGGCGCCCAAGTCCTCATCCTGTGCTGCTTTGTCGACGGTACGCTACGAGATGATGAGCGCTATCGCATGGAATTCGCATGAGCTAGTGACTCTGCAACATGCAGCCAAGCAAGAGGGCCTCTTACCGCTGTGCCAAACGACGCTCGCCAACGCAGTGCTAGGTACGCGGTCAACGCTATGCCAAGAGAGGTTATCGCGCGACTAGAGGAGAACACGCCGGTCTTCGACCTTGTCACGTGCCTCGAGCTCATGATGCAGAACTGTGGCCTTCTCTCAAGCGCCAATGCGACGCTGTCGCGCATGACGTACCCGGACGGCGCAGTCGCGACGATCGTGTGCACGGACGCCGTCGCCAACCGTGTGGGCGGGAAGCGGCGCGAGGTGGCCGCCATGACCATTACGCGCTTCTTCCGTCACATCGTCTCGCTCCAGCGCATGGGCTCTGGGCCCATGAGCCTCCTTGCGGTCCTCCACGCTGTCGTTGCCCGCGACGAGGTCAATGAGTTTGTCCCAAACGATCGGAAATAGTGTTGCATTATGTGTGGGACAAACATGCTGGGACAAACGTATCTCCCGTATTGTGCGATTTGGAGCATGCAGAGCAGTGTCAACCAGAAGCTCGCCACGGACTTTGTCGACGCCGCGTACATTCGCCAGGGCAGCGACGCGCTCAAGAGCCACGAGAAGAAGCTCACTGCGCTCCTCGCCCAGCGCAAGCTTCCGGAGGACGGCTGGGACGACCTCAGCATCCAGTGCTTGCTCAACGACTTGGCCCAAATGGACAGCAACAACTTTGCTCACAATGCAGGCGCGGGCGAGCGCGAGGCCCGCGTCGCAAGCAGCCTCGTGCGCAACCGCTGCTTCCATCTCGCCCACGGCGTCGGGCGGTCGGGTGACATTTGCGCGATCCAGCCCAAGGCCGCCGGATCCTCTCTCCTCGTGCAACTCACCAACTGCCTCGTCTTGGACATGCTCCACCTCGCTGGTAGGCGCGGTCATCCCTTCCCATGTAGTAGCGAACGACTTTTGTGTGTCCAAAGGCGTCAAGAATGCCAAGAGCGCGATCGTCCTCCCGGTGGCCACGGGCATGGCGCTGCTCTTTGCGATGCTGACGCTCCAGGCGCAGGCGCGCGTGCCGGGCCGTCCGCACACCAAGCGCTACGTGCTCTGGCCGCGCATCGATCAAAAGTCGTGCTTCAAGTCCATGGTCACCGCCGGTACGCATGCGACCTCACCCGATCAACATTTGATGGCGCACATAGGGCTCGAGCCTGTTGCGATCGAGAACGTCTTGGACGGCGACGAGCTGCGCACGGACCTCGCGGCGCTCGAAGCCAAGGTGCGCGAACTTGGGCCCGAGAACATTCTGTGCGTGCTCTCGACCACGAGCTGCTTTGCGCCGCGCGGGTACGACCGCGTCGACGAGATCGCGCAGCTCTGCCGCCAATATGATATTGGTACAATATTTCGTCGCTGCCTGCTGTGCTTCTTCAAGCCTACTAGGGCACGTCATCAACAATGCATACGGACTCCAGTCGTCCAAGTGCACGCACCTCGTCAACCAAGTACGCTCCAAGTAGCTCACGGACGACGACGAGGTTAGGGTTGCGCGTGTAGGCTTTTCGTGTCGGGCGCGTCGACGCGTGTATTCAGAGCACAGACAAGAACTTCCTCGTGCCCGTCGGCGGCGCTGTCATCTGCGGCTCCGACAAGGCATTTGTGCAAGCGATCGGCAAGCTGTACCCAGGTAGATCGCGCAGCTTCAGTGTTTTATGGGCGAGCGTCGAGCAGGACGCGCGAGCAATGCGCCAGCGCTGGACCTTTTCATTACGATGCTGCACCTCGGTCGACGCGGCTACAAAGCGCTTCTCGACGAACGCAAGCGGCTCGTGCCCTACTTTCACGCAGCGCTCACGTCGGTCGCTACCGCTTACGGCGAGCGCGTTCTCGAGACGCGGCACAACGATGTACACTCTGTCTATAATCCTGTATACAAACTCATATACATGTAGATTTCGTTTTGCATGACCTTGAGCCACGTCACCGGCAAGGACGCGACGTTCCTCGGCTCGATGCTCTTTTCGCGCGGCGTCTCGGGCACTCGGTACGCCCATATCTGCGAACGTAGTAACATGGTCTCTGACGCTAGTGTCGTCACGGGCACGGCGAACGCGACGATCGTGGGGCATGAGTTCGTCGGCTTTGGCGCGCACTCAGCGACGTACCCGACAGCGTACCTCTCGGCGGCCTGTGCGATCGGCATGACCCAAGACGTAGACCCTACCCACTGTGTCGAATTGATACATTGATACATAGGAGATCGACGTGTTCATCACGCGGCTCGCCAAGACGCTGGGCGATTTCAAAGCCAAGACTCCACCCAAGACCATTGTCGTCTAGCTGCTTTCTATTACACCAATCCTGTGCACCTCTATTACTTCTTCTTGTTGGCCTTGGCCGTCGTCTTGGTCGCCTTCTTCTCGTCGCGGCGGATCTCGACAGCCCACTCTTCGGCGAGCGCGTCGGCCATCGCGTCGGCCGCCGCAGCCGCGTCCAGCTCTTGCCGGCCCTTGGCACCGGCGACCGCGCGCTCCGTGAACGTCTCAATGTACTTGTGGCACTCGACGACGCGCGGGTCCTCTTCGCCAAACACCTCCGTGTAGAGGCTCAGCACCTTTTGCTCGTACGCGAGCGCCTCGCGGAAGCCGCCGACAAGAACGCACGCCATCGCCATCGCATGGAGCGTCCCGGCGGCCTGGAGACGGTCGAGCTCGCCGCGGCGAAGCGCTTCGCGGTGGCACGTGAGCGCCAGCGCCACGTGGCCCACGTCCTGGCACATCATGCCGAGCTTGTAGTAGAGGACGCTCGTCTCCGGGTAGTGCGGGCCGGCCGCGACCTCGAGGATCTGGATCGCCCGCGTCATGTGCGCAACCGCCTGCGCCGTCTCGGCGTTCGCGTGCATGTACAGCGCGAGGTTGGCGTGCGCGAACGCCGTGTCGTAGTAGTCGAGGCCCTTGAGCTGCGAGTAGAGGCCAAGCGCGCGGCGCTGGGACGCAATCGCGCCCGGGACATCGCCCGCGTGGTAGAGCGCCGTGGCCGTCGACGCGCACACAAGCGCCGCGTCTTCGTGGCTACCACCGCACACCTGGTAGAGGAGCGACGAGGCGTCCTGGAGCATCTCGTACGCCGGCGCAAGCACGCCCTGCGAGAGGAGGTACCGGCCACGCTCGATGAGCGTCGCGGCCTGCACAAACGCATGCGCGGGCGCCGACGTCTTGACGACCGGCACGACGCCCGTCACATCGTCGGCCGCAAACGGGTACTCGGCGTCAAAGTTGTACTGGCGACTCGCAACCTGCCAGCCGAGGCGCTGGCACACGCGGCGAAGGAGCGGCGTCTTGTGCGCGCGCACGGGCTCCGGCGTCGCCTCCTTCTTGCCCTTCTTGGCCTTCTTGGGCGCCGAGGCCGGCCAGAAGCGGAGCGTGTAGCCAAAGCGCGTCTGGACGTCCGACGAAATGCGAGCCCAGAGCGAGCTCGCATCGAGGTCCGGGATCGCGTCCGGCGCGAGGCTCAAGGCCGCAACGTTGGCCGTGAGGTCGTCAAGGGTCGTCGTCGTCGTCGGGCGCGGTGCGCCGAGGAGCGCGTTGAGCACCTGGAGGAGGACGCTGCCGGGAGTCGTGCGCAGAGACGGGTGCGACAAGAAGAGCTGCGACACAATGTGCTTGAGCGAGCGCGCAATCATCTCGACTTCGAGGATCTCGGCCACGTACTTGGACACGTGCGGCTCAAAGCTCGCGCAGAGCGACGCGATCTTGCCGAGGTACCGGAGGTTGATGCCGCACGCGTGGAGCATGTCGGTCAAGGCCGTGCCGTCGACCGGGTACATGGCGCCGCGACGCAGATCCGCCACGAACGCCGGAATCACCATCGTCTGAAGGTACGCCGCCGCGTCCTTGGCGACCGTCTCGTCCTCCGCCGCAAGCGTCGCATCCGTCGACGACGCATACGGCATGAGCACGTTCGTGTTGAAGCGCAGCGTGGCGGCCTCCGCTTCCTCGTCTTCGGTCTTGGCCTCGTCCGCCTTGGCCTCGTCCGTCTTGGCTTCGTCCGACGTGGTCTCAGTTTCAGTCGTCTTGGCCGCCTGCTTGGCTTGGTTGGCCTTCCAGCGCGCGTAGAGCTGCACGAGTTCGGGGCGGAGGAGCGCCGTGTACTTGCCAGCGTCCGCGTCCGCAAGGAGCGACGCGCGCGACGCCTCGTTCACCGTGTCGCTCTCGGGGTTGTAGAACGTGTAGTCTTTGGGCGTGATGCGGACAAGGTCCAGAATGTAGTGGCGGTTGTCCGACCCGAGGATGCCCTTGGCCTCGACGGGGCCGCAGAGCGCGACGGGCGCGGACCCGGCCTCGCCGGACGGCGCCTCGTCGCTGCCGCCCGACGGCGCGACCGTGCGCTCGGCAATCAAGAGCGTCTCCGCCGCCGTTTGCATCATCGCATGCATCTCAGGGTTCGACGCGATCGTCTTGCCGCCGTCGACCGAGCCGTAGACGAGCTTGGAGGCCGCTTCGCCCTGGAGGATGCCAGGAATGATGCTCTGGCCAATGATGCGCACGCCGAGGTAGTCGACAACGACGGTCGCCAACGTGTGGAGACCCGTGACGTCCGCGGCGTTGTAGGCCTTGACGCCCTGCAGGTCGTGGTTGGCCGACGAGTACGCGTTTTCGTGGTTGTTGTCGGCGTCGGTCGCCACGTGCTTCTGGCCCTCGACCGCGCGCGAGAAGAAGATGTGGTTGTACACGTAGACAAAGGCCGACTCGTCGTCCATCGGGTTGATCGACGGGATCGTGCCGTCGACGATCGCGATCGCACCGGCGGTCGCGGCTTCGGCAAACTCAGCCATGATCTTGAAGAGCACGCGGGACCGCACAATTTGCTCGCGGAGCGTCGCGTTCGGGAGCTCACGCGCGCACTGGTACTCCTCGTTCCAGTCGCGGATGACGCCACGCTCGTCAATGCCGACGCTCAGGTCGTCCTGCGCGCGGTTGGCATCGAACGTGTGGGCCGATGCGTTGAGCGGCGTCGTCCAGACGAGCGACTGCGCGCCGGCCGAGGCCTGCACCATGGCTTCGACCGACGACGCACCGGCCGTCGCCCACGCCGCCGCCGTCGAGAGGAGCTTGGCGTACTGCGCGGCAAAGAGAGGCGACGCCGCCGAGAGCACGTCAAGGAGCAAGTGGTGGTGGCTCGCCGCGGGCCGCGGGTCGAACGACGTCTTGGAGCTCTTGTTGATGTAGAAACCCGCAACGTGCGCCGTGATCTGGTGCACCGATTTGTCCGTGAGCGTTACTTCAAGGTACGTGAGGTCGCCGGCAAGCTTGCGCGGGCCCGGCGGCGGGTTGAAGCCCGAGACAACGATGCTCTCGATGCACTTGGGCAACGTCGCGTCCAACGGCGTCTCCTCCGGCGTCGCGTTGTTGCTGGCCTTGGCCTCGGCCTTCTTCTTGCCCTTGGACTTTTTCGGCTGGTCCTTCTTCTCCGCGTCGGCGGCCTTCTTGGCGCCTTGCAGCGCAACGGGCTGGTACAAGGTCGCAAGCGACGGCTCGACGGGGACGACGAGGCCTTCAAGCTTGCTGTGAATGTCCTTGAGGAGCTTGAGCTGCTTGTCTGTTTCTTGCTTGGGCGTGAGCTTCTTCTCTTCGATCGTCTTCTTGGGCGCGAGCGCGGTCGCCGACTGCGGAATCGGCGGGTTGGCCATGATGTCGCGGAAGCGGCGGACCTGCGCGCGGACCTTGCGGACGTCGTACCGGTCGTGGATCATGCGCACGTTGAACGACGTCGTCGTCTCGTCCCACGCCGCGAGGTAGTCGCCAAACTCGATAAAGTCGTTGAGCGGAATCCTACCGCCATGATTAGCCATCCTGCAAGTTGCTGCATTGCGCATACCATTGGTCTTCGGGGATCTGCAGCTCCAAGTGGTAGCACGTGTGGTGGGCCAAGACCGGGAACTCGGCGATCATTTGGCGCAGCGTCATGACCGTGTCGAGCGGGCTCACATGCTCGAGCATGATGGCGTCCTTGGCGCCCGGGCCTTCCACGTGCACGGAGACCGTGTTGGGCTCGTCGACTTGCGGGGCAGGGGCAGCGGCAGCAGCGGCTTCGGTCATGGCTTCTCCCATCAGGTTACCGAAGCGAGGCGACGTTTGCAAAATAACCCATCAGCCCACACCACCGCTCCACCGTGTACTGGGATACCTACCCGACAGTCCCTGCCCACGAGCTTCAAGTTGCCTTTTTTAATGTTTCGATATATTTAGCAAGATATATGCACTATTTTTTAAAAAGGGAAGGGGATCGACGATGACGCAATACACCTTAGGAGATACGGAAAACGGATATGCGCCTGGCGACCCGCGCGCCATTTTTATGTTGTGTCCATGGACCTTGTATTTTGTATGTAATTTTGAAGCGCAAAGCGTGCTCGCTTTTCGGTTTTCCTACCCGACCTTGATCCACATCAACCGGAGGATTGTTCCATGAGCTTCAGAAGATACGACAGAAGCGAGGCAGCCGACACTTCGAGAAGGACGCTGGCGACGACAAAGCAAAGCGGCGACCCGACCCATGACGCCATACCACACCGTCGCGGCCGAGCCCATGTACGCGACTCTCGGTAAGCCTTGCTGGTTGACGCGACAGGTAGTAGCCGCCGGTCGATCAGTAGCTTGCGCTAGGACGCACCATGGCGCACCTGGCGTCGTCGACAAGTATGGCAACCCCAATCTTCGGGCGACTTCTTGCTTGTGCGATCGCTACAATGCGTCGACGACCCATGAGCGCAGTTGGCCGCGTGCGATTGTCGATTCGGCAATGAGACGGTGCTGTTGCGCTCTTGCACAGGCTTGGCGTTGTTAGCATTTCGAGTCCCATCATCTTGGTCACAGAGGCTCCATTATGCTGGCGGAGTCGGCGCTGGCACGCAGCAATGCTGGTCCGAGCGTGGTAGATCTGCCAATACGTCTGCACGACGCAACATTCGCACTTTGCGCAGAGGTCATGCATATGCACAGGGCTATGACTGTGTCCACACAAGCTAGTGCGCAGCATGTACTGACAACGACGCTTGCGGCATCCCTTGGTAAGTACATTATGAAATCAAATGGCCGGCTGAACAGAGATGCTTTCAGTAACTAGAGCTGGAGCCAGGGGTACGTACAATGTAATAGCTCTATTATGTTCCCAAGGCTAGAGCATCCTAATTGCCTCGGGTTCTTCCCTTGCTTGCACCTTCATGTAGCACTTGGCCGGCTCGGGAGTATCGACGGCTGGTGGTACGAGCGCATGCGCTCTGCTCTCTGCGAATCCAGCCGCAAATCTCGCCGTCGTGGCATGAGCTGACACGCCGTATCCGGCATATTATCCGGATACCCCACGTCCAATCAAACGAGGGCTTGACCAGAAGCAATGGCGCCGAGCAAGAAGAAGTCCAAGCTGCGCAAGGTGCCGATTGGGCCGCCGCCCGTCAAGAGGTGCGTGGACGGATGGATTGCGTCATCATTTAATGCTGGTGTAGCCGCCGGCGCGCCCGCGAGATCACGACCGAGTTCCACCGCGTGACGCATGAGCTCAACCGGCTGCAGGACGCGGCCAAGGACGAGGTGGCCAAGGCGCGCCATGCAGAGCTCGAGCAGCGGCTCAAGGACCTCGGTGGGCGCCAAGTGTACCAGGACGCGAGCATTCTCTCGACGAGCTTTCATCGCACGAGCAAGTGGGTCTTCTCGCTCCTCACCAAGTTTGGCCTCCGCCCTGGCAAGAAGCAGCCGCCGCTCGACGTGCTCGAGGTCGGCGCCATCAACACGCAGCTCCTCGTGTGCCCGTGGCTCAACGTGCAGGCGATCGACCTCATTGCGCGCCACGCCAAGATCCAGCAGCTCGACTTTTTCGACGTCCCGTTCACAAAGACATTCGACGTCGTGGTCTCGAGCATGGTCATCAACTGCGTCCCGACGCCCGAGAAGCGAGGTCTCTCCCACCCGCACGGTCGACGAGGCGTCTCATGCTTGACGTAGGCGAAATGCTCCAGCGCACGTGGCGCCACCTCAAGGACGACGGTCACTTCTTCCTCATGTTGCCGCTGCTCTGCTTGACCAACTCGAATCACATGACGGTCGACCACTTCGAAGCCATCTTGACGCGTGTGGGATTCGAGATTCGCGAGAAGAAGGAGACGCCCAAGATTGCGTTCTTCTGCCTCCGCAAGGTGCCCGCGACGGCCGTGCCGCCGGGTACCTTCCAGCACAAGACGCTGCGGCCAGGACCCAAGCGCAACGATTTTGGCGTCGCGATATAACAACTGCAATCTCAGAACAAAAGGCTGCGCGGTTTGATACGAACGCGCCATTGTAGTCGGGTCGCGTGGTTCTCGTGCACATCTGGTCGGAGACCAGATTACACGGGCGACTTGCACTTTGCACTGCTGCCATTGACGCGGCCACCTCGATCAGGTGCATAGACTCGAGCACCACGTGCTTTCTGTCAAAAAGGCCATCGGGTGAGTAATTGAGTTCGGTTAAGTGCGAGGCTGGATCTCGCCGTTGAAGATGGGACCCACCCAACGTCCATGACGACGACGCGACTGTTCCGACAACAGTCGCGAGGCCAATCACGTCCATGCTGTGGCTTGGCATTTGACGGCCAGCGAGTCCAACGATATTTACGGTACTTGGGAATGCCAGCCAGACGCTGCAAGAATACGAGTGTATCTATCGAGGCAGTTTCCGTGATCAAGGACGATGAGGTGCCTGTGCTACGGACCTACACTTGCGCAAGGGCAGGCGCCACCCAAAGCCTGGCCCAGGGCCTCCATCCAGGGTCCATAAAAAAGCTTTTGGTCGACCCTGGCCGGCGAGCGAGGCGACAAGCAGCACAAAAGACATCCAATTACGATAGCAGCGTCGCATAGAGTAGCAAGAGCGTCGTGTAAGAGACCGTGCTGGCGGCCGTCGTCGATACCGATGAGTGGCTTCTACAAGGTTGCAACGACGTTTTGGTAGGCCCCCCCACGACGCACCACATGAACTCGATTAAGTGCGTGTCAAAGGTACAGAGCAGCCGGCAACGAGGTGCACAACAACAGCAGCACGATTCCCACGTCCAAGCGACGACGATGCGCCTCCGAGAGCCCTCTACGTGGAGGAATAGCGCGCTCGTGCTTGGCTTCCTCCTCGCGACTGCCATGGGCGACGGCTGCGGCGTGGCCAAGACGACGCTCACAGCGCGCTGCGGCTTTGTCGTCACGTCGCCCGACGACAAGCGCGTCTGCGCCTACGACCCATCGAGCTGCAAGCCGATCATCAAGACCGACACGTGCGCTGGCAGCGACGGCAACCAATATGGCAACTTCACGTACGTCCTGCGCTTCTTCGCGGCCATGGCCTCAAGAACGGCGTAGGAGCTACCTCTGGCTGTGCTCGTATAGCACGTCCCAGTGCCAAGACGTCTCCAACAGCGTCTCCGATACGTTCAATAAGGTCTATAGCGACCACCAAGAGACGTACAAGAACGCAGTCTTCTTCAGTAATGCCAGGAGCATCCAGGAAACCGGACTCTACTGCTACGATACGTCGTCCAAGCAAGAGCTTGGCGTCGTCGCCATCGCGAGCTCGCGCCACTGCATTTACGACACCAGCTGCAACGTCGCGCCATGGACGGACGCCACGAAAGCGGTCGACATCGTCAATGACTACTACACGGTCAACTCGTCCATGGTGCTCAGCGGCCTTGGGATCACAGCGCTCGGGCCGGACCTCGCTTCGGACTTCAACAAGAACAACACTTACTCCAACCTGTGCGACTTGAGTCGTTCGCAACAGTGCGACTCACCCAACCGGTTAGGGATTTGACCAAGAACCAGCTCACGGACCTCGCGAGCACCAAGTTTCCAACCTCGCTCATGGTCATGTACGGTGGCCGCTCTCGCATTGACTAGCGCTTCATGGCCTGCGTCTAGGGATGTCTCTCAAAACAACTTGACGTCGATCGCCAAGATCCAAGCCACGAATCTCAACGCGCTGTGCGTTTGAGACAGGAATCCAAATGTGACATTCACCGGCGAGCGTAGGCGCGCGTCGTCCAACGCCATCACGACCATTGGCGAGCTGCCGTCCGGGCTATGGAGCCTGTACTCCCTTTGTTTTTTCACAAAAACGGCTTCTCACTCGCCCTTAGTGTCCTCGAGTTCAACCAAATCACAACGTTGGATGCATCGAGTCTCCCGCCGCAGCTCATCACCTTGTACTGCATTTGCGGCTGTGCAGTGGCATGACATCAACACACGTAGGAACCTCTTCAACAATGAGCTCACGTCGGTGCGCGGCAGCTTTCCGTCAAGCTTCAAGAACTTGTGCGTCCACGCTGTGCCTTGTATAATCATTCGAGCGAAGCGCGCATAGGATTCTGCCAGGCAACAAGCTCACAACCTTCCCGGCCGAGTCGCTCGGCGCCAACCTCGAGCAGCTGTAGCGTATATTCGTTTGGGTTATCACAGCGTGCTCACGCTGGCGTAGCGACCTCGGCTCCAACCAGCTCGCCAAAATGCCCGACCTCTCCAAGCTCGCAAAGCTCGCAATCGTCAAGCTGCAAAACAATGCACTCACGTCGCTTGGCGCATTTCCGAGCAACGTGACGACCATGTACACGCGTCTCTACCATGCAGGCCAAGCCATCTCACATGCACGTAGCTTTGCCGGGAGCAACAAGCTCACGTCGTTTCCGACGAACCTGCCGCCCAGTGTCCAAGCGCTGTACGCCCTGTTGCCTCTGTTCCTTTGATGGACATTCTGCGTAGCGATCTCTCGCTCAGCAACGTTGCGTGGCAACTTGCACCCAATGTGCTCCCTCTGAACGTCACCAACCTGTACATCTACACTCAGCTCGCCCTGTTTAATTGACGCCCCTAGCAACCTGTCGGGCAACCCGGTTCGAGACGGCTTTTTGAATGCGTCGCTGCTGCCATTCCAGTTGAAGTCGCTCGACCTCTCGGCGTGCGGCATTGCCTCGATCGTGGGCGACTTTCCGCCGCAGCTGACGCGCGTTCTATTGAGCGGGAACCCGATCGCGTCATTTCCGCTCTCGACAGCCACCGCGACGCTCTTCCGCGCGATCCCCAACGGCCTCGTTTTGCCCGAGAAGATCTTGTCGCTCAATTGCTCGACGTCGTCGCAGCTCAAGCTTCTCGCTGGCAACGCGACGGTCGTGTTTTGTCCGGATGCCACGTACATTGCGGCGGGCAGCGACGTCGTCTCGTCCAGTATGTCGCCCATGACGGATTCTCTACCGTCGACAGCAACGCACTGACCGTATATGCTAGGCAAAGGATGGTTCTTTGGCGTCGGCGCCGGCGTCGTGCTCGTTGTCCTCGTCGCAGTCGTCGTCTTGTATCGCAAGCGGCTCGTGCGCTCGAAAGCGCTCTCCAAGCTCCTCGAAGATTTCGCGTCCAATCGGTCGCGCCAAAGCAAGCTCGACTCGATGGCCGGCTTTGAGTTTACGGCTACCCCCGGTATCGCCGAGTCGGCCGCAGGACTGTCACGTTTTGAAACCGGTATGCATTCTTCTTGTTGTTCTTGTCGACGCCAACACGTACGTCAAATCGTGCATCGTAGACTTGCTCGACAGCGATCTTGCCGAGCATCGGATCCCGCTCAATGACGTCAAGATCTTGGGCCCGCTCCACGGCAAGCACAAGAATGCCTCGGTGCCGGGCACGATGATGCTGTACAAGGCCGAGTTTGACGGCCGCCTCGTTGTCCTCAAGACGCTCATGACCGACACGCACGCAACTGGCGCGCTCGCGGCCCAAGCCGACGCGTTCCTTGCCGTCATTACGCTCCGCGCTCGCTTGGACCACCCCAACATTGTCACGTTTATCGGAGCGGTGTGGAGCAGCAACGTGCGCAAGGGCATGCTGGGCTTTGGCTTCCTCTCCGAGCACATGGCCAAAGGCGACCTCGGGCGCCTCCTCACGCTCGACCAGTCGCGGTCGTCGGCCGAGAGGCTCTTCAAGTGGATGCCGCGGAGCTCGAACGCGCTCCCCAAGCTCTCGCTCGTCAGCGACATTGCCCTAGCAATCGTGTGCTTGCATTCGTTTGCGCCGGCAATCATGCACCGCAACCTCCACGCGCGGCACGTGCTCTTGACGGACGAGTACGTCGCCAAGCTCAGCGGGTTTCGGCCACAGGACGACGACGAGAGCGACGACGCGGCGCCGCGCTTCGTGCCCGATCGCCTCTTGACGCCGCCTGAAGTGCTCAAGGGCGACGAGTGGACCGAGAAGGCCGACATTTATGCGTTTGGGATTCTCATTTGCGAAGTCGACTTGGGCCACCACCCGTATGCACATACGATCAAGACGGGCGACGCCGAAGACGCGAGCCAGCAGATCGCGACACTGGTCATGGCCGACTTGCTCCAGCCCACGTTCTCGGTCGAGTGTCCGATTGACGTGCAGGACGTGGCGAAGAAATGCCTCGCGCATTGCGCCGAGGACCGTCCGTCGGCCGTGCAAATGGAGTACTGGCTGCGGAAGCTGCGCTTATCGTACTGAGAGCCCTATACATAAGTATCTATACCAATGTGATCCCGAATAGTCGAGGCGGCTAGGATATATCGACATCAATCGGATCTGCCGAGTCGATGTGTGGTGGGCGTCGATGGATCGCGGCGTCGCGTCAACCGAATGCGAGCTACTTGAGCGTTGCACTCGCTCGGTGCTGCGTCAACTGTACCTACCGGCACCCCCGGGTGGCTGGTCGTCGCGGCTTCTGCAACTGAGAAAGCCTCTTGCGACGAGTCACGAACCAGGCACCGTCCCTGTCGCTTCCGCGCAACCAAGCACGCACGAGCATTTTACCGCACGTCGACGGCCCATGCTGCATGATGAGGGCTCTGCCAACTGCAATCGATGGCGCAACGGCAAACAGCAATGTATCTTGCCGACCCTCGCACCTATCGTTGAAATGGTTGAACCTCACCGGATCGCCATCCAGCGACGCACCCACGTTGATGACGAAAAGGGTTGTCAGTGCGCGGAACGACACGAGCCGCCCGGAGCTCGCGGCGCCGCCGACGCAGTCTGCTCTATGCTCGGCCGCACTCCAATGCCTACTGTCCCAAGCAGAAGCGTACCTGGGCCGGGTTTTGGACTGTCTAGGAGAGTAGCCGCAACCCAAGAGCGTATTTTTCTGGGAATCGAAGCGGCAATTAAACTTTTATTTAAAAAAAGAAGCCGAGGAAGAGAAAGACGCGGGATCAGATGCCGCGCGCGGCGAGCGCTGGCATTTGCAGATTCGCGTCAAATGGAGTACCCGAGCATCGAGCTGAGCGCCGCGGAGCTCGCCAAGCACTTTCGCAGAACGAGCGCGTTCGCAAAGGAAGCGATGGCCAAGACGTTGAGCAGCCACAAGAGCCTCGAGGGGGACGGCTACAAGATGACGATGGACAAGCACGGGTACCGGTGCTACCAGCGCGCCAAGCCAACGTCGCCGTTTGAAGAATTTTTCATCCAGGGCACGTGCGACACGACGCTCGACGAGCTCGCGTATGGGCTCTACACGCCGACGACGCACGCCCACCGCGTCGTGCTCAGCTTGCTCTACAAGTACGACTTTCTCGACGGCGCGATTCTGCAGACCGACATGGCCAAGACGGACGACGACCCGTTCCGGTGGTTTGGCGTCAAGTACGCGCGCGTGCATTTGCCGCTGCCCGTGCACACGGTCTTTCAGCCGCGCGACACGGTGTACGTCGAGGTACGACATCGCAGCAAAGGGCATCGACTGATACAAATACTTGGCCTAGCAATCGGGCACGCGTCTCGACAGCAACGGCAACCGGACGCTCTTCCAAGTCCGGCACACGATCGAGGCCAAGGCGTTCCCGCCTTTTCCACATGTCGTGCGGTTCCAGTACCAGCTCGGGTTTCTCTTCACGGAGCTCCCGAACGGCAGTGTTCAATTTACGATCGTCGGGCATCTCGACCCAATGGGCAACATGCCTGCGTGGATCTACAACAAGCGCGTGTCGCAAAAGTACTATGAAAACGTCACCATCTTCTCGGAGCTCGCGCAGATGCGCCGTCTCATGGAGTCGCCACGCGTCCGGTCGGTGCGCGCCAAAGACCGGTACATCATCCCTCCATTATTGGCTAGAGCCTCACACTCACTTCTCGCTCTTCTTGTGGTAGCTCGACGCAAAAGTGCGCGACGTGTCCGTCGTTCTCGAACCGGTGGTGCTTTTGCCGGACGTGTGGCCAGGTACTTGGTCGCGATGCTCCGAGTGTGCTCATATGTCTTACCAGATTACGTGCACGAAATGCGTCGTCGTGATCCCGCAGCCGCTCCAGAACGTGCGGCCGATGGGCCGGTTCAGCCATCTCGCGTCCGTCGCGGACCACAACAAGCACATTGGCCACCCGATTGTGAAAGCGACGTACTGCAAAACGTGCTTTACCTCGACGCGCCTCCGGACACCGCGGCTCTCGCTCAACGGCGGCGGCACGCTCTCGTCCACCTCGAGCCGCGACGGCGGCTATGCCTTTAGCCCGTCGACGCCGACCGCCGACGAGCTCGACGAGCCGTCCCGCCCTTGTACGACCACATGATTGGCGTCAGAATCTCATGCACCTCGATCTAGCGTCGTGCACGCACGCATCGTTCGCGGACCGGTCGCTGGACTTTGAGTGTGACTCGCCGCTCTCGGACATTTCGTCGGCGTCGTCGACCAAGTTTCGCAGCAAAGGCGCCGGCAAGCACTACGGCTGGGGTACGTCACCACGGACATGGGAGCTCCACCGCTCACGATTGGCATTGTAGAGGGACCGTCGGAATACTATGGTCGTGCCAAGTCGGATGCGACGCTCCTCCACTCGCTGAATCCGTCGTTTGGTACACCGAAACGTATGGAGTGTGCGCTCACACGTTGTGGTTAGGGTCGGTCGAGCGAGAACGGTATTTGCACACGGCGAGCTCCGAGCCGTCGTTCGACACGGCGTTGTTTGCGTCGCTGCAGTACCAGCGCCACCTCGTCGAAGAAATGCAGCTGTCGCTCGCTGCGCACCACAAAACCCTCTCGGACCGGGGGCAGCGCAGTGTCGGCGGCCTCGTCTAGTTGTATTGAGTTAAAACGTGTTTAAATGGTTTCTAGCGTGTTGGCGCGAACGTGGTCGAGCACGGCTTGGAGCGAGTTGTGGCGGTTGTACGCAGCGAGGGCGGCGCGAAGCCCGTCGCCGTAGATCGGGCTCGGGTCGTGCAGCAGGTGGTAGACGTAGCAACCGCGCAGCGTCGCGCGGTAATTGCCCGGCGCGTTCGTCACGTTCATAAACTCGAGGTACAGATAGGCGAGGAGCTGGCAGACTCCTTCCTCCACCTACGATATCCAAGATACAGTTGTTGGCAAGTGGGTATACCTGGGGCGACAAGTGCGAGGGGAATTCCGGGTGCAGCTTGAAGTACGCGTGTGTGGCTTCGTGGGCCAAAATGTGCGCCGTCATGTCGTACGGCAGTCCGTGCAAAATCAAAATCGCATTAACCCGCCGATCGCCGAGCTGCATGCGCTCCGTGGCGCCCCGGTGGGCAATGTGCCGAATGTAGCGGACCTGAGCTGCCACCATCGCTTCCTCCGCTACCATAGATAATGACGCACCTCGGAGAGGCAGACGCCGTAGATGGCGGGTGCCATTGCGTCGCGGGGCAAGTTGGCGTGGTGGTCGTGCGTGTGGGCGTTGAGTGTCTCGAAATCGACGAGCAGCACGGGCAGCTAGATATTTATACCGGTTGGGAGAACATCCCAGCCGAGGAAGTGGCCTACCGCAGGCAAGTGCATGCCAAGCGATGCCAGGAACGACCAGACGTGGGCGACGACGGGTTGGACCTGGAACGCGACGTCAGCAAAGGGTAATGGAAGTGCACGGCATGCGTCTACCTCGGACGTGTCGAGGATGACGGTCTCCGCGCATCCTGGGCAGAGCTTGCGGCCGTCACTGAGCGACTCGAACCGACGATGGCTGGCTGTCGGCTACGACCGACGTGAGATGCATTGTGAGAGGATGGTCAAACGCACCTCGATGCGCTTGCAGCTGCAGCAGCGGGCGCGCTGGTCGTGGATGCCACAGTACTTGAGGCGCCAGAACGGCATCTCGCGGTACACAATGTGCTGGCTCGTGTTCATGGGAAGGAGCTCGCTGCAGACGTCACAGCTAACGCGTACATGCAGCAAAGCATCGACTGGTACGAGGCTCGTACCGCGGATGAAAAAGCTCTTGGAAACAGGCCGCGTGGTACGGCTCATCCTCGTGCACCTGAAAGCGCGTGTTGGCCTCAAAGACGCGCTGGCACGCGCCGCAGCGAAAGCACTCGGGATGGTAGCTGCGCCCTAGCGCCTGGAGCATGCCCGCGCCGCGCCTACGCACGCTCGTTCTTCAAGCCGCCGTCGAGCTGCCGTGCTAATACCGAATGGGTTGATGGCAGCCCTTGCAGACGACGGCGCCGGTCGTCGCAAAGGCCGAGGCGCCGGGCCCAGGGCCCTCGCAAGCCTCGCAGACCATCGCCTCGTTTGGGTTGAGAAGCGTGCACGCCGGGCACGTCCACGTCATCCTCGTCGTTGCCTGTCAGCCGGCCTGTCCACTTTTTAATTTCCGGCAACCAATTCCGCATACGAAAAGCGTATGGTCGATGGATACTTTTTTCAAAACATGTTATCAGAACCGTCTCAATTGCTTGGCGCCATCGTCCAGCCAGGTAGAGATGATGGCATTGTCCCGTGATGTCGTCCAGCCAGGTAGAGATGATGGCATTGTCCCGTGATGATGATGGCCAGGACGAAAAACCGTGTCCGATGCTCGCTTAGCCAGTCGTGCTTGTGTCGGATCGCATTTACAGCGAGTCCAACGGCGCCGCCCTGGCTACTGTCCACCTGAAGCTAGCTTGACCTAACGCATGAATTCCTAGGACAAGGGAATAAGCCGTCAACCAAGACAAGGGACTATTGTTTATTCCTGTGACAGACGTTCGACGACCTTTGCTCGGTCGTTGGGCTTTCAGAGGTTGAGGCGCCAGCCGTGAGCGATTGAGGTTCGAGATCGAAGCACCGTGGGCAACGGAGAGCAGAGATCACAGTCTTGCGCTAGATCTCGAGCCTGTAGAAGCCCGCACATATTCTTCGCAGTCGGAATGATTAGGGCGGACGACCCGTTGTCCTCGCTGTTGGAGTCGACCCTTCCGCCGACTTCGGCAACCCGATCTTGTATCGGAGGTTCAACTTGAGACGGTTGCGAGAAAGCCAAATCTGGCGTCGAATTCGGCAGACGTGGATTTATCGAACTCATGGCAGCGACGACGACGACCCACCAGCGCCGATGGCCCGGCGACAACCCGAACGGCGAGAAGGCGCCCGTGACGGGCATGCGTCATGGCGCGCTGCTTGGGGCGTGCATGGGCGTCGAGGGCTACAACTGCAACTACAAGAACAACCCCGACGCCGACCTGCCGCATTACGACGGCTCCAACTTCCTCGACGGCCTCTGCACGGGCATGAAGTGGCAATGCGTCGAGTACGCCCGCCGCTTCTGGGTGCTCAAGAAGGGCATTGTGCTCCCGAGCTTGAGCTGGGCGGCGCACATCTGGACCAAGATCGAGCACGTGAGCCGACGCGACGACTATGCGATCGTACCGCTCCAGAAACTCCCCAACTTTGGCGCGGAGAAGCCCGAAGTCGGCGACTTTCTCGTGTACCAGTCGACGCCCAACCAGTGGGTCGGCCACGTCGCGGTCGTCGTTGGCGTCTTTGAGCGCGACAGCCGCTGGGTCGTCCGCGTCGCCGAGCAGAACGTCGAGAACAACAAGCTCTGGCCGGGCGACTACGCCGACGAGCTCGAGGTTCAAACCAAGGTTGTGGACGGCAAGACCACGTACGGCATTGTCCACCGCGATACGGACCTCGTCCTCGACGGCTGGGTCCGCGCGCGCCTCGACCAAGCGCGGGCGCGGGCACCGTGGACACGTCCGGCGCCGCGCTTGAGCGTCTCGGGCATCTACGACCACGACAGCGCCGTCGCGCTCCAGACGTTTGTCGGGTCGTATCCCGATGGCAGCCACGGCGGCATGACCAACACGGATATTCGTAACGTCCTGCGGCAGTACGGCAACGCCGACGAGGCGCCGACGACAACCGAGAACGACGAGCTCGTCACGTGCTTGCGCAAGTTCCTCTTGGGTCGCCCGACGCTCCTCGCGCCGTTCAAAGCCCAAGCGCTGAGCTGCCCGGGCACGGGTCGCTGCGTCTGCCGCACGATCCTGCGCGAGCCGCTCGACGATGCCGATGCGGCGATCTCATGCTCGACGACGTCGGCGCTGCAGGCGTTCCTCAACAGCGTCCACCACCCGCACGACCTCCGCTCTGCCCTCGCGCAGCTGGCCTCGCAGACGTCGTAGACGACGATACTACAAACACGACGATGGACCATTGGCAATAATACATCATAATCGCGTACTCTTGTTCAACGAGGGCTGTCGCACGACGCAAACCAAATGTAGAAAAGTCATTTCAGTCGGCACCCCAAAAGCAAATTGTACGATTTGTGTGCATGTGCATTCGCCAAAAATGACACTGTGTACACCAAACCCAATCATAAGCAATCAAATCGGCCCGGCGACATCTTGGACCACGCACTTCTGGGCTTCACCACGGGGACCGGCGCGAGACCGTGTTTGCAGTCTTTCGCAGCCTTTACTGCGACGCCTTTTGGGCCCACAGACATCAAATTTGGCTCTCAGGACGATCCACTCTTACGTCTGCTTGGACATTACGTATTTTAGAGTTGAAGATCATAGATTTAAGGAGAAATTGGTATTGAATTTGGCGAAAGAGGCCGACTGGGTACGTAAGCTTTGTGATTCGTCGATTGCGTCTGCTACGCTGATGGCGCGCCCGAGCAGTTGTAGTACCGTTGGTTGATCTCGGTCCATGCGTCAATGCGAATTGGGTTGGCTCCCGACGTGATGCCATCCAGGAGCGCTTTCGATGTCGCCGGCCGACTAATGCGCCACATCGACTTGAACGCCGTCGGGTAGTCGAGCACCGCGCCCGGAAGACAGTGCTCGTAGAGCATCACCATCATCTTCTCCACTTCGTCTTCAATCGCGCGTGTCGACAGTGCCTGCGCCGTTCCTGCTGCGTAAATGGCGGCGCGCCACGCCAGAAACGCTTGTGTATCGACCGAGTTCGAGTGGCGCACTGTGTGTTTTTTGGTCAACCGCCGCGCGCCAGGGTTGGTCGTCGTGCCCGCGGCATCGCACTGCGTATAGAGCGTACCGAGAAGCCCATGCAGCTCGTAGCTGTAGCTGCTGTTGCCGAGCTGCGTGGCGTCGACCCAACCACCGTACGTGGTGGGGACGTTGTCAAAGAACGGCAACTCTGGTGTCGACGCCAGTCGCAGCACGCGCGAGTTGGCCGTCAGCGGCACGTTGTTGGCAACGCAGCCTTCAAAGACGCGGGGGTCCGACACCACCTTGGCTTCGGCCGCGCCGATTTGACGCGAGAGGCACTCGTGGTAAATGCTCAAAAGCACGTCAATCATCGCGTGGTGGGCAAAAAAGATCGGGTCGGCGGCCGAGACAAAGAGGTTGGCCATCGCGCCACCGAGCGTTGCGTGCATCGAGTCGTGCGGCGACGCTTCGATCGCGGCTGTCACCGCCGTCATCGAGCTGCCTGCAAAGACGCTCTGCTTGACGCGGTTAAAGTTGAGGTCGGGGCTAAAGTACGTCGACGTCCACGGACCGCGCGGCACGCAGCGCATGCACGTTGTCGACGCCGGGGCGCAGAAATGCGACGCGGGCGACGCCGAAATGCACTGGGCGCCCGGAAAGCGATACCCGAGGATCGGCGACGACGGCGACGACGCGACCGCGGGTCCGCTGCCGCCAAACGCATTGAGAATCTTGGCGCAGGACGCAATGTTCGTGCACTTGCGGCTCACGTAATCCAAATTGTGCTGGACATAGTCGAAATACGGCAGCGTCACGCAAGCAAAGTCGTCGCCGAGCGACCGGAGCATGGTCTCAAACCCGAGGAGAAACTTGCGGTGCCAAAAGAGAAAGACGCACGTGTTGTGGGCCTCGCGGTTGGTCATTTCGTCTGCGTGCAGCGCAACGAACCGAGCATAGTAGCCGCGGTCCATCGAGAGCGTCAACGCGCGAAGAAAGAGAGCCTGCTCCGAGGCTGGCAGTGCGTCCCACGGCTTGCGCACCCGAGCAGGACATGCTGCGAGGACAGCGCCAAGCCACACAAGCAGAAGCCGTAGGAGACGCATCGATGCGGCGTGAAGCGAGAATGCAAGAGTACGACGACATGGTGGAACAAGCAGGGCTACGATTGGCTCGTTTATAGAAGGCAACAGCGTCTCGAGTTTATACAGAGGAGAGTCTCGAAGCCTGTCATAGCGCGTCCACTATTGTGTGGTGGGCGGCGACTACGCAGTCCGCGGTGGGTGGTTCAAGGAGGTGCGCAGTTGCCGAAGTCATTTCGATGGGCGAGACGAGCGCGAGAGGTGGAAGCAGAGGAGTCTCGTATCGCGGTGGGCATTGCGACTGCCGTGCGACCTTGAGCTTGCGATCCTCTTGCGCTGGTGCGTGTTTTGACGCGCGCGGTGAAACTCGCAGAGCGTGGGCATTTGGCCGTTGCGCTTGAGCGCGCGCGGGTCACTGCACCGACGTGACTTGTACGAGCACGCTACCTACGTACGTGTACTGCAGCGTGGGTGGCGACGCTTGTGGCGGGCAAACGACTACCTTGGGGGACGCTGTGAAGAGGCCAGTTGGCGGCGTCATGCGCGCAGTTTTCGAATAATGAAACTGCAGTTGTGCAAAAGTGCAATGCGATACTTGACGTGAACGTTCCTGTCCTCATGCTGATTCCGCAGCGAACGAATATGGCGCGGCTGAGCGCACACCTTCTTGACCGGTGTTGAATGCGCTAAATGTTTATAACGCTCCATCGCGCTAGTCTTCCCCGCTTTGGATCTGCGCTAGAGAGTTGTATCGGTTTCCCAGGTCACATGAGAGAAAGGCGAGTCGGCGTCTTGGATTGGCTGGAAAGTGGAAGATATGCATATGATTATAGCCAATCAACGAAAGGCATGCGGCTTCGATCTTTCGAGGACAGCAAATTCCGAACGTCTCGGTCGGCCACGAGCAAGGCAACAGTCATAAGAATGGCGCTCTTAGCGTACGTCCACGTCAGCCTCGGCGGCACGCTGCGTCAGATCCCAGCGCCTGTCGCCACCTTTGGCGCCCAAGCCCCAGCCAAATACACCGGAATCCTCGTTCATGCAGAGCCGCGAACCGCCTTTCCGAGCGTCACGAACGCCGCCGCCTTGCGCGGCAAGATCGCCGTCGTCCAGCGCGGCGAGTGCTCATTCGCTGCAAAGGCCAAGAGCCTGCAAGCCGCCGGTGCGATCGCCATGATCCTCACCAACTCGAGCGAAGACCTCGTGCGCATGGGCGAAGCGTTCGCCCACGAAGGCGTCGGGATTGAGATTCCCGTGCTCATGGTCGGCCTCGGCCTCGGGCGGTCGCTCCGCGATGGCCTCACTGCCACTGTCGAGCTCAAGATTGAAGAGCGCTCCAAGGTACGCCGACGAAATGCATGGCACTTTGCTCCACACTGATAGACGCTGTTTCAGGCGTCCATGGACGTCGTCAAAAAGACGGTCGAGCAAACCACCGAGGTCGTTCAAGCCAGTGTCGACGTCGTCAAGAAGCGCGTCGAAGTGGTGCGTCGCTACCACTCCTTATTGTATACGATTGACCAGTTTTCTAGATGGCCAAGGAAGTCGCGCCGAGCGAGGCGCTGCCGGCGCTCCTACCCTCGATGCTGCCCGAGAAGCGCAGCCCGAACCAACCTCTCCCACCGCTCTTTGCGTTCGTACTCTACGCCACGTCGGCCGACACGTATACGGTGCAGTTTGCGCCACTGGCCGACTTTGGCCTCTCGCGGAAGCGCTTGTACTACCGCGGCCGACTCGTGTTTAGCCATCCGTTGCAGGCGCACACAGCCCTTAGCAATAAGGCAGGAATGCCTGGCTCTATTGTGCTCGTCGAGCGGGGCGGGTGCACGTTCCCCGAAAAAATTGAGCGCGCACAATCCGCCGGGGCGATCGCCGTCCTTGTCGGCAACAACGACGCTGCCAACCCGGACGCCGCGTTCGTCATGAGCGTCGACCAGCTCTCGGCCGACCACATTACCATTCCCAGCGTCATGTTGCCGTACAACGTGTCGCAGGCGTTGCAAGCGGCGTCGCCCGACTCGATTGGGATCGTGTGCCTTGAAGGCGAAGCCGCCGGCGTCCTTCTCGCTGCCAGCTCCACGAGCATCTCGCTTTGGGCGCCACCGCCGTGTACACCGTCAACGCTGCCGCCCCTCGTCGCCGCCGCCCGGGAAAACGACGCAGCCCGCGTCACCGAGCTCCTCTCGATGCAGTCGCCCCACGCGTGTGACGCGTACAACGTCACCGCCCTCCACCACGCGTGTCTTGTCGGTGCGGTCGACGTCGTCGAGCTCCTCTTGGCGGCCGGGGCGCAAGTCGACTCGGTGGACCTCGGGTCCCAAACACCGCTGCACTATGCGTGCATGGCGCCGAGCGTAGCTTGCGTGAGTGCCCTCTTGACCGCCGCAGCGCACACGTTGGCGCGCAACGAAGGCGGGAGTTCGCCGCTGCACGTGGCGTGCTACGCTGGCAGCACCGAGTGCATGGAGCTGCTTCTCACCGCGTCCGCAACGCTCGACAGCGATGGCAAGTACAACTTCCACGGCGTCGATGAGCGGGACAAGAGCGGGCGCACGCCGCTCCATGTCGCGTGCCTGCACGGACATGCCGACTGCGCCTTGTACCTCATGGCGGCCCAAGCGCACGTCAATTTGGCCGACGCCCGAGGGTTTACGCCACTTCACTATGTGTGCGATCGACTCGAGAAGCAGCCCGACATGTTGCACGTCATTGAACAACTGCTTGCGTACGGCGCCGAAATGGTCGACCGCACGACCAGCGCCGCGCAGCAGTCGCTCGTGCTTGACCGTATCTCGGACCGCCGGCTCCGGCGCGAAGTCGAAGTGCTCTACCTTCGGCGCCAAGTGAGTTTGCAGGACAAGGTGACGGCGGCATTGCGCAGCGACCTGCGGTCGCAAGCCGAGAGCTATAACGCGCAGCTGGCGACCGTCCAAGCGACGGCCGAGGCGACGGCAACAGCGTGCCAAGCGCAGCTGGCCCAGCAGGCACGGCAGCTCGACCACGTACAGCGGCAACTGGCCTCGGTTTTGCAAGTGCTGCAAACGTCAGGGACGCCGTCGGTCGCTAGCACTCCGCAAGTGGTCGCACTGCCCGTCACGGAGCATGGCGACAGCTTGGAGGAAACCGAGAAGGCACAAGAAGCCGGCTTGGCGCGGGATCTTGGGAAAAAGTACCTCCGCCTCAAGCAGTATGCTACCGCCGTCGCGTACCTCGATTCCTCAATGGCGCTGTACAAGTTGCCAGGCGTCGCCCGACTGCTTCAGCACGCGACGGTGCTGCGCGATGCAAGCAGCGGGGCCTCGTCCATGCCGCCCTCCACAACGCAGCTTGTGGCGTTGTACCGGGAGCGCTTTGCCGCGTTGGGCGCGCCCGACCACGCGCTTGAGGCTTTGGAAAGCGAAGTCGTCGCGCTTGCGTCCATGGCTCCTGGCTCGACCGAGTACGACGCCACGAAAAAGTGGCTCGACTGGCTTTTGCTGCTTCCGTGGACCGAGGTACTCGTCCTTTTGCCCCTGGATGAAGCTCAAAGGAACCGTAGGCGTCCATGCCGCAGAGCAAGGCGGTTTTTGCGCATGTCTCGACGCTCCAAGCCGACGACACGCGGCGCCACGCAGCCTGCGTCATTCAACGCGCCTTCCGCGACCGCTGGGCCTTGGTGTTTTGGCGGCGTGACGCAGCGGCCGTCACGCTCCAAGCGCACGTGCGCGGGTTCCTCGTGCGCCGAGCACGCGTCGCGTCGGACACGGAAAGCTCGCACAGCGAGTCGGAGGCAAGCGAAATTGTAGTCGACAACAACCCGACTGCAACCGATGCGCCCGTACCCGACACGCAAGTCGCCAAGGTTGATGACATTGATGTGACCTCGAGGGTCGACTCGCACCTGCAGCGCGGCCGGGTCAAGCACGGACGCGTCGTCCGCGGCGTCCGCATGCGCCATGCGACCAAAGGGGATCACGCCTGCGTCCTCCAGTGGCTCACGACAGACGCGTCCAACCAAGCACAGCACTACATTTGGTGTCGATGGGGCGCCAGCCACGCGGCCGAGAGCGCGCTAAAAGGCCCGTACGACGACGACGACGCAGCCCGCGAGTTTGAGCGGCACTTTCGCGCCAAGACCGGTCTCACGTGGGGTTGCGACAAGTTGTCTCCATCGCCCGAGCAGGCAACGTGGCTCGTGGAGCACGGCGAACGAAGAGCCACAGCGTAGTCATTTAGTCGAATATAGGGGACATGCACTTATGCAAAGCGTGGAGGGTCTCTAGGACGACGAGTTGACATTGATGGTCGAGAACTCGCCTTCGTCGTCGTCGCCGTAACCCGGGCGCAGCATCTGCTCGGACGTGTCTTCGTCCGCATCGGCCGTCGCGTCACTACGTGGCGCATCAGACAAAATGGATTTGAACAAGCGAGACGGACTCAAAGTCGGACGTGTCTGGGTGCAGGTGCGTCAAGAAGGGGACCCAGTACTTGGCGTCAAACTGCAGAATCGGCATGCGCGCCACGGGCTGCACCATTTGGTCCATCTCGACCTCTTCGGCGGGCGTGAGCTGCTTGATCTTGAGATAGCGCAGCATAGGGACCGTGGACCCGCCGCCGATGAAGAGCGTCGCCAGCACCACGACCATGGTGGTGGCAATGATTTCCTAGCCGACTCTTGGTCCGTGGTCGATACATTGAAACAATCGTACACTGCGCTTTTCGTTGGGCCAGTCGAGTGCGAGCGCAAAGCAGAGCGCGCCCCGAAAGCCGCTGAACCAAATCATGACTTGCTGGTTCTGCGGCACACGGCGCTCGACGGGGCGGCGCTGGTTGATGAGATACGAGAGCGGAAACACAAACATTGCGCGGCCAATAAGACACGCAATAAGACTCCAAATGATAAACTTGAGGTGGTAGCCGACTTGCAGCGCAAAGACCGCGAGGCCCAAATCTACAATACGTCGTTCCATGAGCTCGTGCGGTCGCATGCTGCGATTTTACTCAAAAAGACGGTCGTCTCGGCCACGTACGAAATCGCGTTAAACATGTGGCCGCAGCTACAGTGCAATCGTGATACTAGACCAAGGGGATCCAAGGAGCACGTACACCTTCTTGCCTTCGTCGCTCAAGTTGTTGCTCGTGTAGTGCTTCATGGTGATGCCCGTGAAGAGGATCGCGACGACGCCCGACAAGTCGCAGATGCACGCAGCGAGAAACGGAAGGTACGAAAACATGATGTACACGCCCATCTACGCTCAGGATCGTCATGAGACCTTGGGGCGTTTGGCATCGTCGACCTCGTGGTACAAGCAGCCTTTGAAGTCAAAGTGCTTGAAGAGCAGTGCCGAGAGGACGCCAAAGAGGATGCCAATGAGCGTCGAGCCGGCAAAGATTAGAACAAAGTCGAGCACGGCGATCGGGAGGTAGCTCGACTCGTACACGTTACCGATAAACTTGGAAAAGGTCCCGAAAAGCACGATCGCGACCGCGTCGTTGAGCGAACTCTCGCCAAACACCAAGTAGAAGAGCGACGGGTCCTGCACCAGCAAACTCAAACTCGTGCAAAATGCATTGCCAACGTACAACGCGGAGTTCCTGAAAAATGGCCAAGACCGACACCGTGTCCTACAGAGAGAGGATTGTTGAGAACTTCTCGCTGGTACGGGATACCGTAGCGCTAATGAGCGCGCCAAACGAGAGAGCTTCAGCAAGCGAGAGCTTGAGGCTCACGCCCGCTTGGCCCATGCCGTACATGATACAGCCGACCGTCATGCTCGAGATCGTCGTGCCCGCGACAGCGTACGCGACGATGGGCACAATATTATCGAAAAAGTACCGGCGCTTCATAATATATCCTACTTGCGAATACGACATGGGTCATTTTGCATGTGGACGCACCCGAGTTGAAGATGATGGGCGGCAGGAGCGCAATGAAGAACGTGTTCGGGTCAAAGATCATGAGCTATAGGGTTCTTAGGATGCCATGTCGATCGAGCGAAGCGCGCACCGAGTGCGTAATTGAGTTTTTGTAGACGTAGCAGAGGACGCCGCCGGCGACGCCAACGAGGATCGTAGCTACACGGCAGCTATCAGATCGTAGTTTTGTGACAAAAACGAGGTACCGCCGGCTTCGGGCAGAAAATGCCAGTGCAAATGGTGGCCGACGTAGTTGCTCACGACGATCGAGGCCATGAGCAGCATGAGGAAGATCGAGAAAAAGACCGAGAGCTGGTATTCGTTGCTCATGCCATAGTAGTGCTCGACCTCGGCGTTCCCGGCCGTGAGCTCGCTCATGCTTCCGACGTGGCCTTTGGAGATCTGGCCGTTGGGAAACTCCTCCATGTCCGGATAACCACACGATCCGGATACTAGGCGCCGTCGGTTTCACAGAAAGGCCGGAACCGACACGGGCGTGGTCAGAGCGCAAGCGCATACGACAGGCAGCTCCGTAGGTCCGTCTCAATACACTGCAATGCAACGACCTAGTCGCGTGCGATCCTGTCCACCACTCAAATCTATAGCGACGCGATGGAAGCGCATGAAGCAGGATGTGAATGGAGCAGTTCGATACTGCAACTACACATGCCACTAAGAACTAAGAGCACGTGGGTATATTGTACGAGGACGACGACTGGTTCGAAATTGTAGTCGTCAAGTCTATGGCGTAGTGTACAGAGTAGCTGGGAGCTACTCGTTCAAAAGGGCAACGAGATTGCCATTACAGCAGCGAGAGCAGCGTCGCTGCGGACAGGCGCTTTCTCGGATCCTTCTCCAAGAGCCCGCGCACAATGGCTTTGGTCTCTTTCGACACGAGGTACCACTGCGCGATTGGAAAGTCGACGTCCTTGCAGAGAATCGCGGCCTGGATCTCGTCCTCCGAGAGCGAGCCCCGAGGGTCGAACGGGTGCACACCCGTAATCATGATGTACAGAATACACCCGAGCGCCCACATGTCCATGGCAGCAACGACCGGCGCCGGCTCGGCGGCGAGCATTTCGGGGGACCAGTACGACTTGGTGCCCGAGAGCGGCGCCGATGCCAAGCGCATCGCTCGCTGCAACGGCATCGAGCTCGTGTGCGGGTCAGGGATCGTGGCCGAGCCAAAGTCAATGAGCTTGACGCGGCCGTCGTCATCGGTGAGCATGATGTTGTCGGGCTTCAGATCGCAGTGGACCATGCCGTGGGCATGGATGAACGCCAAGGCCGACGCGATTTGGGAAAGCACACGTTTGGCCTCCTACGGATCCGTCATTTCACGCAATAGGAATAGACGCTTGCAGCCTACCACTTCGTCGAGGCGCCGCCGGTGCAGCATGTAGTCGAAGAGCGTCGATCCGGGCACGTACTCGATAACGAGGTAGTGGAAGCCGTCGTGCGTGTAGTGGTTCTTCATGTGAACGATATGGTCGTGGCCGCCGGCCATCGCGACGCAGCCCAGAGCCGTCTTCTCGCGCACCGCCTCTTCGAGCGAGTCGGCGCTCACCTACAAGGTCCACACATTGCTGCTGAGGTGGATTTGCATGGTTGGCGGACGTACCTTGACGGCCGCGATGGACTGGTTTTGCTTCTCGACGCACTGAAGCACCATGCCAAAGGCCCCGGCACCCAGCGTCTTTGTCATTGCGAGGTCATAGTCGTCTTCGAAGACGCGGCCAAGTGCCATGTCGTTGCGGGCCTCGGTCGACGTCAGCAGGAGCGAGGCCGAGCTCAGGAGAAGCCCCATGGCCAGGACGTGGTGTCGACACAAGCTTGGGTGGATCGCAAAGGGCCGGCGCGGCGCTCGAAGGGCGGCTGATCGCAGGAGGGCGCGCGTCGCAGCAGATCGGACCGCCATCTTCAGAAATGCACGTCAGTCCCTTGATGGTCGTTTTGCCAGGTGGTTGCCATGAGGATACGGGAAAGGCATCCGGTTAACTTGATTGTTTTCCGCATAATCACTTCGAACTTCGATTATAACTTGGCTTTTGTAAGTGCGACCGTTGCAAAGCGAAGTTGCGTACAGCCTTCGACTGGAAATTTGGCGCGACGGGACAAATTACAGGCGAGACAACAGAGTGTCCTGCTTCTGCAGGTCGCCGCGGCCAGTGGCGGACCGCAAACCTTGAACGACACGTACGGTAGTGACAAGGCGGCAGATGGCCCTGCGAAGCTCATAGGTCGTCAACGACGCACAGCAGCATCCTACTTTGCACTCGTTTTGTGGTATGTCTTGAACGCGCAAGTACATGTAACATCCAGCAAGGTAGCGCTCTCCAGGAATCAATGAGGCGTTAGAAACCGGGAGATCATTGCAAACGGTGCACGGAGGCGCGGGTCCTATTGCTCACACAGTGGCCCCACCACGCAGAAGGTTTCTCTCCAAATTTCCGCACACAACGCTGGCACAACAAACCAGCCATGACGTACAAGAGATTGGATTCGAGGTAGATTCAACAGAGCAATCAATAACGGCAATGCTAATACTTGGCTTGCTTGGGTAAGAATGCAAGAAGTGCACCAACGGAGACATACCTCGCTGCGTACTTGGTGTCAGCTGCTCGGAGCTGATACGCTTCATCTCGAAAGCGCTTCCACTAGCAACATGTAGTACAATGCTTGATTAGTGACGTAGCGTTGGTAGTCGCCGAAACCGGACCCCTGACGAATGCAAGTTGTTGGTCGCAGCTGGTGTTGATTGTTTTTAATAGGTTTATTAACGTTTTATAACGTGTCTGTTAAATTTGACATTTCTCTCCATGAAGACCTCCAACAGTGACATGGATAGGCTTGCTCGTCTTGTCAAAGTGTTTTCTATCGTGCTGCGAATTATGAGCGAGATCATTTTCCAACGCAATTTGCTGCTTCATTGTGTGTGGAATCGGCTCCGCGAGATGCATGTCGCTTTTAATTGGTCCAAAATATTAATAAATAGCCAATTAGATCGTCCGAATCTCTTTGACACAGTTACGTTGCAATTGCCTGCAGCAACTTTTCCATTTGCTTTTGCTTGCGTCCAAGCACATCATCCGAGATCGTTAGCCGCGCATGTGCCTCCTGGCACGCAGCGATCGCGTTGCGGACTATGCGTATCGCTCCATTCTTGTCGTTCTTCGCCCGCACCAAAAACTACCACGCGTTAACAACACAATTCGCACAGCATTCTGTACCTTGGAAAACGCAAAGATGGCTTCGAAACTCAGATCGTCGTGGTCCAGTGCCTACACAATGTCAAGGAATTCGCATTTCTCGGGACAACCGTATCCACATATTCAAAAGTGCAGGGCGTACGTGACGGTAAAAGGACTCAGCTTCGTCGTCGCAGCCGTCGACAACTTCGGCGTACATACCTCGCGCCACCTACGGTATTATTGTCTACAGCCCTCGAATGGATGCGACCAATTACGTACAAGAGCGTTGACGGTAAGAGCGGGGTCTGTAGCTGCTGCCTCGTAGAGCACTGTCGGCGAGCAGTCGAGGACTCGCCCGATCGCGACAGCACAGCTCGTGACAGCGTGTACATTCAAGGCCGAGAGGCGTAGAATGTGTTGAAAAAGCTAGTGAGCTAATGTCAAAAACCATGGCGACGGCACACTGTGTCGTACGTTTTCGAGCACATGTTCATCCACGCGGCGGTGGTGCACGTCGTAGGAAGGCCGTGCCATGTTGAGACACTTGACGTGGCACAAGCGCTCGATGAGCGTCATGTTGTCCTTGTCGCTCGCATACGCCTTCTCCAACATCACTTCGGCTTCGAGCATGCGCTAGAAGAGGCATCCGCTACGTCCAAAAATCTTATGTATACCTCGTGGCGCTGTAAAAAGTCGCCGTAGGCAGACAACGCGTCCGTCGCGCCACCATCCAGCTCAATCGCGCGCTGGTAAAACTAGAAATTTGTCAAAGAATATCCAGAATTTTTCCGATCGACTTCGTCGGCCTTGACTGCGTCATTCAGGTCTGCGTCGCTGACTCGCGCAGCGTCCAAGGCGGCGACCACGTGTGACTTGTCGAGTTGCAGTGCCATGCAAAAGCACTCGCGGGCCTGTATACGTGATGTGAGCTTGTGCTGTCGCCGACGAGTTTGTACTTCGTGGAAGAGGTGCAGGTCGCGCCAAAAGAGCTGGCCATACTAAGACCAATACCATTTCGTTCTCGATGCACGCGCACGGTGGATGGATGACGTACGCGATGCCACGTATCACTGTCGTTGGGGTTGGCAGCCAGCGATCGCTTGTAGAAGGTCTGCGCACGCTCGACATCGTGGCGCGCCAACGCGAGAAACGACGCGAATTGTGCGCAGTTGACTGCGTGCGTCGGCTGGAGGGCAACGGCGCGCTCGTACTGCACCTCGGCGGCCTACACTGTGCTTGAGATACATACCTCCACGACTGTCGACATCGAACATCGTCGTCATGCTTGATCGAGTGCAGGAATGCCGCGTAGTTGCCGACACTAGTGTGGACTTCGCTAAACGACGTTTTGAGACATCGAGCTGTACACATCGGGGCTCGCGGGCGCCGCGTCTATGGCTTCGAGGTACATTTGCTCGGCCAGCGCGAGCCGGCGTTGCTGAACAAGCCAGCCCGCGTACTTGCAGAGAACGGTGCCGTGACGCGGGTAGCGCTCGATCGCGGCTTCATAGGCTCTATGCTCTATGCGCATCGAATCATCACAAGGGCTCAGTTGTCGTACTGGTCGATGCGAAGCGGCGACTCGAGACTCATTTTGTGCAGGAGCATGGCGTAGTTGCCCATGGCAAGCGCCTGCGTTGGGTCGACGGCCAAGACACGTTCGTAGAGAGCACACGCCATCTCGTCGTCGTCTTCGTAGTGCTCGAGAAAAAAGGCGTACGCCGCTACAACAAAGCGCAGTAAGAAGCGCTCATGTCCATACCCTCGGCGCAAGATGTATACTACCGAGCGTCCGAAGACACGGCACGAGGTCGAGCTGGAACGCGTGGCCAATATCTGTGTGATGGGCACAAGCCTCCATTGAAGCCCGAAATACCCCGCGGGCATCGGCCACGTTGCCCGCGACGAGGAGCAATTGCGCATATCTAGAGTCAGCCGTAAGCCATCTGACATCGACGCAGCGAGCGACCGAGAGAGGTGCACGCACGACGGTCGTTTCTCGACGCGGAGACGATACTTGTCGAGGATCGTTGCGGCAACCGCTGTCGCTGCCATCGGCGTGCGCGGCGGCGTCGCTGGCGGCCGACGCATGTTGGATGTAACTGGCGCGCCTTTCTTTGGCAACCGCAGTAGGGTTGGGGCTAAGGGGTGAGTGACCTCGGCGAGAGACTGCATGTACTTCGTCGACTGCCCGCGTACCATGGCCTCGAGCATGGAGGGTGGTTACGTGTCCTTGGCCGCAACTGCTAAACGACTAGTAGCTGGTCCTTGCGCGAGAACGCAATGAGCAGCACAGTGACTCTAGTCGACTCATGGTCGGCCTGCCACGTACTGGTCGACGAGACCCTCGAGTAAATATCCGGACGACGCGATCTTTCTATGGTTTATCCGGCACTCACGGCGCCTCTTCGCCACAACCGCTTTCGCCATGGCAACGACGTACCAGGTACGCCAGCACTCGAAAGCGCCTCCGCGATGACGGCTCATGCGCTGGAATAGACCCCGGACTCGAAGAAGGAGGAGTTCCGCAAGTACCTGGAGAAGAGCGGCGTTATCGACTCGCTCACCAAGGTGCTCGTCGGGCTCTACGAAGAGTCGGAGAAACCACCGAACGCGGTCGACTATATCAAGCGCTTCATGGGCGCACCGACGGGCGTCGACGTCGAGGCCATGCGCCTGGAGAACGAAGAGCTCAAGAAGAAGAACGCAGAGCTGCAAAAGACAATCGAAGAGCTCAACAAGCGCCTCACGGCCGAGGAAGAGGAAGAAGAAGAGTAAGCACAAAAGATGTTTCATGATGACGAGGATGATGATGTTTATGCCGACGTCTTGCACTGCGCGAGGAGCTCGGCAATGTTGGTCTCGAGCGACGCCTTCTGCCGTTCCAGGTACTGCTTGCGGGCCTGTGACCATTTGTGAGACACTGCATCAACGAGGACGGGCTCCAGACACACCTCGAGGGCCGCGACTTGGTCGTCCATCTTGGCCGCATTCGTCGTGAGGCGAGCCACGTTCTCTTCCGTCGACATCTCCAAGAACATCTTGCCGATCGAGGCGTACGTGTGCGTGCCCGACGGAAGCGCGCTAAGCTCTTCCTTCGTCAGCTGGATGCGCTTCTTCTCACGCGAGAACGCGCCAAGCTTGGCCTCGATCTACACGCAGCCCTGAGCACTGCGCTTCTCTTCAAACGGGCGGCGTCGCATACCGTCTCGAGCTCGCGGTGCAGCGTCTGGAACTGCGGCTGAAGCTCCTGAAGCTCCTTCTGCACCGACGCCGGCAGCGGCGCGTTCTCTTGCTTCGGGCGCTTGGCGGGCGCCGCGCCGCCGTTGGCCAAGGCCATGGTCGCGACGGCGTCGTCGTTCTTGCCCAACTGCCGCTGGGCGTTGGCCAAGCGCAAAAGACCTATGGTGCTTACGTGAGCTGTCGGCGTCCATGCGCGATGGTGGCGGACCCTTCTTAAAGCTCGGGTTCAAGCGCACGCACTCCTTGGCATCCTGCTCGGCCTTTTCCCACTGGTTGATCGCGCCGTACGCAGCACTAGAAGAGGCGAGATCATGAGCTTGCTGTGTGGGAAGCCATGTCGTGAGAGCACCTGCGGTTCGAGTAGTAGATGTGGTTGCCCGGCGCGAGTCGAATGGCCTAGGCATGGCAGGTCAGCCACGCTGGCGCGTCACACCGACGCACCTCCGAGTAGTGCACGATGGCCTGGTCATAGTTCTTAGCGTTGAACTCTTCGTTCCCCAAGCTACGCAGGTGCATGAGCGTCGGTGAACGTCCATCGGCGCGCGTACTTCTTCTCCTGCTCCGCTACCTCCGACATTCTGCCTTTCACAACGAGTGGCATTCCATCGGTGGCCTCGTATTCCGGATAATTAGGATGTATCCGTCGTCAATGCCGTGAATGATTTCTTATTGCCGGCTCGCAATGCCACGTTGTCGGTTGTACTAGACATGGCGGATGCCACATACAGAACCTAGTCAAGGCATATGCCTCGCTGGTGCCTCTTAATGTGGCATAGCTATGTGGCATGTGCCGTATACCGCAAGACTTGACAAAAATAGCGATGACGAAGAAGAAGGTCGTCGCGAACGACGTTCGTGAGACCATCTACGCCGATGTGCTCCATGGCATGAAGTTCTCCAAGAGCCCGTATGGCCTCTTCAAGCAGATAGCTGAGAAGTACGGGCTCGCGTCCAAGACAATTCGGCGCATCTGGCTGCGCGGCCAGGAGAGCGACGGCGTCGTCGCCCACCGCGTCCGGGGCAACAAGGGCCGCAGCCGCACGGACGCGCAGCTCCAAGACATCAACGCCAAGCTCAACGAGATCCCGCACATTGAGGACAAGGACTTGCGCTCGATCGCCAAGGCCGTCGACATTCCGCTGAGCACACTGCACAAGTATATGGTACAAGGTGTTGTCAAGCCCAAGGGTCACACGCACTCACGCCCAAAGCGCCCACCCGCCGTGCCGTCCGAGCAAACGACGTCCATAGAGGCAATGGCCCCCGAACCGACGGCAATGCCATTCGAGCCCGTCGACTTGGACGAGAGGCTCCCGTCACTCATGGCGCCACCAGACTTCCACACCTCCGACGTTGAAGTTCTCCAAGAAGAGAACGACCGACTTCGGCGCGAAAATTACGAGCTTGTTCATGCACAACGTGCGCTCATCGCACTCCAAGCTGAGAACGAGACGTTGAAGGCTCGAAATATGCAGCTTACGCACGCGCTCCGCGACCTCTCGACGCGCGTTCAGCTAGAAACCATTTAAATTATATTCTCTTCCTTCACTAACGTTAGTACATACGTAGCTCTTGGCACTCGTATGCCCTTTTACGTCGCAGACTCATCGGTGATGAGCAAGAAGCAAGTACGGTGCTACCTACGTCAAAGACATCACAGATGAGATCGAACTATATTAGTCATTGCATGGTTGCTATGTCCGGCAATATATGGGATTCGACTGCAATGGTACATGTGTGGCGTGGCGCCAACGCTGCTCCAAGCTGTCGGCTAGAGTAGTAGCCGTGTAGTGGTCGTCAAGACATGGTAGCTCATTGAGCTCGGCGCCGGAAATTTCGTCTGGACGCCACTCGCGGCTCTCGCTTGACTTTTACGCAGCAGGTACGCACGTGGCTTGAAAAGCACATTATGGAAGACAAGCGCGGTCGGCCATTGAGGTCGCGCACACGTGCGTACATCGTCGGCCGCTTGCGCCGAGCTGCGGCAGTCCAAGGTCCCGACTTGGAGTGCAGTTGAATTACACGTGAGTATCTCAATTTAGACCAATGTTCGGTCTCCGATCAGTACCTTTTGCCCAAAAATCAACCAATGCCTGGTCTCCGCAGTCGAATTATAGCCAATGCCTTGTCTCGATTCAGCTACGCCGGTAAGCGTAACAGTATTTCAAGCTTATATGTTTTAAATGGTATGAGAACCACAACCGAACCACGATCGACAGCACACAGACGCCTTAACACAAGGCCCCACCGGCTCTTGTCGTTCTGTAGCATCCTGATATCATGGAGATGAAGGTTTGGACGCCGAGCGTGGCGCATTCATGCGAATTCTGACGTTGTATTTTCGAGGTGGCAAAATAAACACCAAGCTACACAACGTGTTTTCGCCCAGTTTGAGAGCTCGACCGACTCCGACGTGGGCAGCCACAGTTAGCTATGTATGTCGACTCGCCGAGCGACCTGCATTTGGGACGTAGTTGGCGCTTGGGTTCTCACAGCAACATGGAACTGCCGAGCGTCGTTTTTTGTCAACTTCAACATCGAAATTCGAGAAACATACAGCGTTTTCGCTAAATCCGAGAGCGACATATATCTTATATGGTTATGGAGAGCATGTTGCATTGACGGTGAGGGTTCTAGAGGGCGCGAAGGCGCCTGTAGCATTTTAATACACTATTTAGAATCATACTCTATAAAGGAAATATTGCCTACAAATAGTATATATACTATGTATCCTCAATTACTCCCGCTACAGAGCTCGACCGGTGACACCACATAGTGTTTCGTGCTCTCCAAAGTGTTTTCTATCACCATGCCAAGTATGAGCGTTTTCATTTTCAATCATGAACTGCGCTCAAATTTGCCGTCGCGGCGAGCGTGTGGCGTCTAAATGTGTCTATATTTGGCTATTTATGGTATATGCCAAACTTGTCTTGTTCTTCGAACAACACTGCTGCATCGAATCTTGGTCGTTTGGTGTGGTCCATTAAAGACTGTCGCGTCCAAGGTGGCGTGCTGTGCTGCACGATCTGCAACGGACTGAATTGCAGGGCTGTTCTTCGCCCCACGGAACGCCGTGCCTGAACCCATCTTCGTATTTTCCCTTGATTCTCTCGCCATAGCCAAGTCCAATGCATCCACTGTGGTCGTCCACTGGCTGCCGACGCACACCCGCGTCATGATGGACGTGGTAATCGCCGCAAGATATATTCTCGTGGTGTCAATGGCGTCCCCGATTCAGCGATTTTATTTTGAAATGCATTGTGCCTGGCTTTGGAATGACGGCTTTCTTAAATGGCGAAAAGTCATTATTTATGGCGCGTACCACAAGTAAACCATTTATGATGCGCACCGGTAGTTGTCTGATGGTGTGAGATCGATAAGCTCGAAGTCCTCGTCGTCGTCGTCACTTGCTGTAGGATCGAGAGTCTTTGGCATAAACCGGCAAATGTGGCGAATAAAGTATATTTGCGAAATGTCGATGCGCTCGTCGCGCGGATGCCACGCGCCGACTTCAAAGTAACAATTAATTATTAATAATACGCGCGCTGCGTGTGCACGGCGATGACGTGCTGCAGGAAGCCCGGGTCCTGAGCCGTCGTGATGTGGTCCATGCCGAGGCCGTGGACGTCGCCGAACCAACTCACGTCGTCGGTCTTATCACAGCCTATGTCTGTACCTCTATCATGTCTTGAGAACCTTGCGGTCGTACAGTTGTAGGGATACCTGTGGTTTCAGAGGGATTGCTGGAGCTAATTTTCTTCTGGCTCGGTGATGCCCTTGCTGAGCTTGAGGCGCAGCTCGTTGTCAATGCACGCGTCGACGTCCGCCCGCGTGCACGTGAGTGCCATGCTGTAGCCCATCGCCATATGGAGCTCTTCCACTCACGTCTTGGTCGAATTGTTGCCATTGGAGCCAAATCGAATCGGCAGTTGAGCGTACAGACGAGCGAGTGGAGGCGCATCCGCAGCACGATCGCCATCGCCAGTGCCAGCAGCAGAGTCGGTCACTGCGCTACTGCAGGCGCTCGACGTATGCCGGTCGCCCTGGACTGCACCGCTCCATTGGCATGGCGTGGGCCTGCGCCATGGTCATGCATTGCATCGACGAGTCGCGTAGATCGGTGGTACCTGGGAGCGTCTGCTTCAAGAGCTCGCCTTGGCTCGGCTGCTTTTGTCGTCGTCGGCTCCTGCCCGAGCGCACAAAACACACGGGACCCCCACAAACGTATGCTTCTCGAAAGATATATCATGTTGTAAAGTGCGATTATCCGTCCCAACCGGTGTTCTGGCCCAACTGACTTTCGCCAACCGACGGCAACTTGCCGTTCATTTCAGCTTTTCCTACGCAGCAGAGACGCAGACGAAGCGGGTCCGAGGGCCACAAGGCCGTGGATAGTCGGCGCACGTGACGGGCACGACTGACTGGCATCGATGGCCGTGGGCCTTCGGGACCATGGCGTCAGCTGGGCAGTCGTGACCTCGCACGCAGGCACAGCCACGGCCGGACCGGGACTAGCCTCTTCGTGCACCTGTTTGCATCACGCTTGCCACACTGCGCCGCATCCAGGTACGTCGTATGCATAGCTTTCTTGATATCTCGATACTCACAGTCACCTTCTGTTGCAGCGCCCGATCAACTCAAGTCCACGATCTAATTGGGTCATTATTATATCTTAAGTGTTGTGTGGTTTTGCATCGCAGCTCGGCGCTTGGGGGAACTGGTCGTCACTGCACGGGCAAAGGTGTCGACATATTGACGGACAATGAGGCGGAGAAACCTGGGCTTGCAGCTGAGCCGTCCTCGGGCAGTTGCGTGAGCGCGTGACCAGCTCCATCTACAGTCAACCAGCGGGTATTCGAGCAAGTCGTTGGCGTTGACAGCGCCGGAGCAAAACGTGCTCATGCACGGGCGCTCGATGAGATCATCATCTTTCTTGGGTCCCGTGAGTATCATCCCATTCCTTGATATATTGCATCTCTCGACGGCCCTTCCATGCGATTGCATTCCATTGGGCCTGCACGACAACGCGCATCGATCGACCTGACTTTTCGTGACGAGGTTACGACCTAGTGACGCATCTTCCGAGTAGGCAGTGCAGCACGACCACGCGGTCGATCTTCGTTGAGGTGGCGGTTGAGAATTCGGTTGACGTTAGCACCAACATATCCTGTCAACACGCGATCCCATGGTGCCGCCTGATTGCGGCCAAGGCGACATTATCGTCCATAAACATTAAAGAAAGTACATGCTTCGGTCTCGCAACGAAGCCCAATTTCATTGCTGTTTCGTACCAGTACTAGGCCAGTGCTATACCAAATACTCCAGTGATCTGCGGTGCCACCATTATGAACCATGCCGACGGACATAGACGCTCGATGGCACGAAGTCGGCTGTTCGACGTCGCCTTGCGTGCAGGTCCAAGCAGCTGGTTTTCGCTCATCGTTGGCAGCGCACCATTCCTGTTGTCACTTTAGTTCTTCCTCCGCCAACTAACTAACTATACACGGCTTGCTGTTCGCTGTCTTTCGTATCGAGGCGATGCCCAGAAACGCTTGTTGATGGCATTACATACAGAGACTTTATGACGCGAAGAGTTGGATGCGAAAGAACATGGCGGCGATGACAAAACCGAGCAAGCTCATGACCCCACCGACGAGGATCGGGAGGCCGTAGCCCATGGACGACGTCACCAAGACGGACGCGAGTACAAAGCTGAAGAATTGGCCAGCGCACATGGCCGAGTTGATTGCACCGGCGTAGACACCAATGTCTTCGTCGACGCCAATGACGTGGCAGATTGTCGGGAGGTACAAAGCAAGAAGTGTGTTTTGCGTAAAGCTGCAGCCGACAACGATCGCGACGTCGAGGACAATGACCTTGGAGATCGACAACACGATGAGCAGCGACTGCGGAAGGAGCGATGCAATAAGAACGCGTTGCACGCCGCACCGTCGCACGAGCGCCGGCAGTGCGCCCAAGTAGACAAGACTCACGACGTTGTACATGGTGTCGGTGGCGCCGCCCGCGAGCGCGACACCGTCATTGAACGCCGTCTGTCCGGCGCTGCACGGAGGGTTGCTGTCGTGACCGCATGTATCAGCGCCAAACGCACTGCCATTCTTGACTACGAGGCCGAAAAACTGGCCCTTGGCGCCGTTGTAGGCGAAAAAGCCATATTGGACAAAGACGAGGACGACGCAGTAGACACTGAGGACACGGGGAAGGCGTCGGACGCCGTCCCAGACGGCAGCGAAGGCGGCCTTTGAGGTGCTCGTCGTCGAATGCGTGTCGATTCGCGGTGTCTCGTTGGCTGCAAACATGACCAGGCCGATGGTCGTCGCCATGGCGGCAATAAGAACGCATAAGAACGGCTTGACGCTCTCGTGCGCGGGGCCGAACGCGAGTATGTAGCCCGATACGAGAAAGGAGCCTGCGATCGAGTACGCGCTGCCGATGGCGGACGCCGTCACGAGGCGGTCCCCGGCGCAGTCGGCGATCAGCAGCGTCAACGGCGTCTGCGTCAAGTTGAGCGCAACGTCCATCCAAACGTACGTGAACACCACGACCCGCGCGGTCCAGGCTCGCGATGGCTCTACCGACCTATCGAAGAGATGCGCTGGCGTATCGCCGAGGGCCTCGCCGATCTCGACGGCAAACATCATGACGAGCCAGCAGAGGCAGCTGAGGAGCGCGCCGAGGCAGAGGAAGGGCCGACGACGACCAAATTTCGAGGTACAGTTGTCGCTCCAGACGCCGACAGTAGGCGCGAGAAGGAGGCCAGAGATCGGGCCCACGAGCTGGACGAGCTGCACCGACGACGGTGAGAGAAGCACTTGGAGAAGCGGGCCAAGCGCCGCCCATTGGGCCGCCCACGCCGTGTTGAGTGCCAAGCGAGGGCTGCACACAGCCAAAAGGCGCAGAGTCGAGTACATTGACGGAGGCGCGTCGGGCTTGACGTCCACAAAGCTGTAGGCCGGGGTCGTCATGCGCTCGGTCTCGATCATCGTGGACTGCGACGATGACTAATGTTCGAGATACCGCGGATTTCTCTGCCTCTGTCTCCAGCCGTCAGGAATCCATGTGCCGCCTGGATTGCTTCAAAACTCGCAGATGCTCCTGGCTCGACGTATGGAAGAATCTGGTGCGAATGCCAGCCTCAGGTGAATGATATACTACCGAGGGTACAGTCCACGACCACGCAGACGGTTCGCACACTTCTACCAGCGAAACCCGAGGCGCTCCAGCTCTCTCTGCTATCTACTAACTATTCGCAGTACTTTGTTGCGATCTAGTACAATCAATGGAAGCCACGTCACGTCCTTGTCGCAACGACGAGCAAGCAAAGCGGTGCAGTGACACGTCCCGCCACCACCAAAACCGTGCTGTGAGGTCCGCATCCAACTAGCGCCCGGAAACAACATCTCACTTGCGCCTTGGAAGTCACTATTGCAAGGGCAGCCGCAGACAACCTCCAGCGACTGTTCTGCATTCACCGTGTACAGAATTGTCTGATGGCTCGCGAAGGCGCGACCATCAATCTGACGCAAAGCCCTAGAATGTCGGCCTTCTTTTGTTCAGGGGACTTCGTAAGGTCGTTCGGTCAATGTACGGCGCGTACGTCCGTTGTACGGCCGGCGACACCTGGGACACAGGCATGCATGTACGGCGAACGTACGATTTCGACCTCGCGATGGCCACTCGCTACTTTGCGTTTACCATGCTGGCCGTCTCGACGCGTCGGCTCCAGAAGGACCTGCAGAAGGCGCTGCGCAAAAACTGCGGCGAGCGCGAGCTCCACATGCTGCACCAGGTACGACCTCGGCGGCGTCGCCTCGATGGCTCATGCGCCGCGTAGCAAATCGGCTCGACGCTCCAGCGCGTCCAGCGCAACCAGAACGTGTGGAAGCATGCGACGCTCCGGGCGCACACGACCAACTCGACCGCCGCCGCGCGCCATCAGCTCAAGGACGCGCAGCCCATGTCCTTTGGCGCGTGGCTCGCCCAGCGCATCCCCAAGGGTACGACGATGTGCTTGCATGGCCGTGTGTGGTCATCGTCGCGCGTGTAGGTTTTGAGCGCTTTTACCCCAAGGGTGCCAAGGGTCCGTCAACCGGCGCCAAGCCGTCGTCGGGTGGTCCGAAGGAGACACCAAAGGGTCCGTCGGGCAGCGGTGGCAGCGGCGGCGCGGGCGGCAAGAAGCCGCCGACCGGCGACAGCAACGCGGCCGACTCGCTCAAGTACACGATCCCGATCGCGCTCGCGCTCCTTCTCTTCCTGGAGGTCTCGTCGGGCGAGCATCTCAAGGAGATGAACTGGCAAGAGTTCCGCAACCACTTTCTCGCGCAAGGCAAGGTCGACCACCTCGTGATTGTCAACAAGAGCTACGCCAAGGTCTTCTTGCGCCCGAGCGCGTCGAGCACGGCCGCGCCGGCGAGTGGCATGCAGCAGTCGTACGACCATTCGTCAACCGACGACCACCATGCGGGCGAGCTTCCGCCGGGTGGTGCGTCGGCGCCGCCGGCCACGCTGCCAGCGAGCTTCTACTTCAACATTGGCAGCATCGACAGCTTTGAGCGCCACATGGAGCAGACACAGGCGTCGCTTGGCATTGCGCCAGCAGATTACATTCCGATCCAGTACGCGAACGAGATGAACTGGAAGATGGAGTTGCTCAAGATGGCGCCGACGCTCCTCCTCATCGGCTTTCTCATGATGTCGATGCGCGGTATCGGCGGCGCTGGCGGCGGTGGCGGCATGGGCGGCATCTTCAAGGTCGGCAAGTCGCCCGCCAAGAAGATCACGAAGGAAGACATCAAGATCACGTTCAAGGACGTGGCCGGCGTCGACGAGGCGAAGAAGGAGATCATGGAATTCGTCGAGTTTCTCAAGAACCAGAAAAAGTTTACGGACCTCGGCGCCAAGATCCCCAAGGGCGCCTTGCTTGTCGGCCCGCCGGGTACGGGCAAGACGATGCTGGCCAAGGCGACGGCCGGCGAGGCCTCGGTGCCGTTCTACTCGATCTCCGGGTCGGACTTTATCGAGATGTTTGTCGGTGTCGGTCCGTCCCGCGTCCGCGATCTCTTCAAGGAAGCTCGGTATGTGATATACATTCGCGTGCTTAGTTGTATCTTATTTGCTGCGTAGCGCGAACGCGCCGTGCATTGTCTTTATCGATGAAATCGACGCGGTCGCCCGCGCGCGTAGCAGCGGCAAGTTTGGCGGCGGCAACGACGAGCGCGAGAACACGCTCAACCAGCTCCTCGTCGAGATGGACGGCTTCAACTCGAGCGAGGGCGTCGTGGTCCTCGCCGGTACGAACCGCGTCGACATTCTCGACAAGGCCATTCTGCGACCGGGTCGCTTTGACCGTCAAATCACGGTCGACAAGCCCGACATCAAGGTACTCCTGTTGTCTGTGCTGATGTCGCTCATTTGTCTCTAGGGCCGCCGCGCGATCTTTAGCGTCCACCTGCAGTCGCTGCACCTCGACGGCACGGTCGAAGACTTTGCTCGACGCATGGCGGCGCTCACGCCGGGTTTCTCTGGCGCGGACATTGCCAACATTTGCAACGAAGCGGCCATCGTGGCTGCGCGCCGCAACGGCGACTCGATCACGTTCAAGGACTTTGAGCAGGCGACGGACCGTGTCATTGGCGGCCTCGAGACGAACCGGCTCATGTCGCCGGAGGAGAAGAAGACAGTCGCGTACCACGAGGCGGGCCACGCGGTCACCGGCTGGTTCCTCGAGCACGCCGACCCGCTCCTCAAGGTGACGATCGTGCCCCGGGGCAAGGGCTCGCTCGGGTATGCGCAGTACCTCCCGAAGGAGGTGTCGCTCCACTCGAAAGAAGCGATCGAGGACATTATGTGCATGGCCCTCGGCGGCCGCGCGAGCGAGCACGTCAACTTTGACGGACGCATCACGACGGGCGCATCGGACGATCTGCGCCGCGTGACGCAAATGGCGTACTCGATGGTGCAGCTCTACGGTATGAACGACCGGATCGGGCAGCTCTCGTTCCCAAAGGACGACAATGGCGGGTACCCGGACCGCATGTACAGTGAGAAGACGGCCGAGGCGATGGACGAAGAGGCCAAGAAGATTGTCGACAAGATGTACGCGCGCACGATTTCGCTCCTGGAAGACAAGAAGGACCTGCTGCACAAGCTCTCGGAAGAGCTCTTGGAGAACGAGACGATCAACCACGGCGACATTGTGCGCGTGTTGGGCCCGCGCCCGTTTGGCGGCAACAAGACGTACACGGAGTTTGTTGAAGAGTCGTGGGCCAACGCCGACTTGCACGAGAAGAACAAGCAGGCGGCGATCGACGCCGAGATCAAGGACGTCATTGACGCGCTCGACGTCGAAGGCGACGACGCGCCGACCACGGACGAGTCGACCAAGACGACGGACGAGTCGACCAAGACGACGGACGAGTCGACCAAGAAGACGGAATAGATTTGCAATACCAAGTGACAGTGTAGGAGTAGACGCATATTCCCAACATGAAGAGGAAGATGATGCGACGAGGCTACGGATATTATAGTGCTAAAGGTCGTGCACGTGAATGCTCTGGAAGAGAAACTCGGCCGTCGTTGCCTCCGAGTGGGCCAAGAGGTCGCAGACGTCGCCGTGCGACGCCGAGAGCACGCAGTGCCGGTCCACGCTCACGAGGATGCTGCCCGGCAGCACTTCACCGCTGAGCTCGATCACGCCGCATCGTGGTCGTCCGCGGCTGTCGACGCCAACGGGCTCAAAGCCCGCTACGGTGGGCACGACAAACGACGACGGCGAGTCCGGCTCGACGAGGATGAGGCCGCTTGGGCCCGGCGGCACGTGCAGCCGCACGAGTTGGTACAGGTCGTCGTCGTGGCCCTCGTCGTCTTCGTCCGTGTCAAAGTACCCGGTCGTCGACTGGTACCGATAGAGGGTCCCGACGCGCCGATCGATGCCAGGGTTGGACGGCCGCCGGACGACGACGGGCGACTCGGTCACGACCAAGTCGGGTGGCTTTTGCCACGGGAAGCAGCGGGGCAGCCATTTGTTGGGGAAGGCGTCGTCGCTCGGTTCGGGCGGCGTCGAGAGCACGTAGCGCTGGTACTGCGAGTATGTGGGCGACGACCGCGACTGGGAGTGGCGCGTCCGGGGCGTGAGGCCATCCCGGTCGCTGCCTCGGCTTTGCAGGCAGCAGCGCAGGAACATTTCAAACAAATCACGGCCAAGCCAATCGCAGCGCAGCAACCGACGGTTATTGACCAATGAAACGCAGCAAAGTGACGATCTTGAACCGCCTTTGTTTTGGGTTGAGCCCGTCGGCGAAGAAGACACGATCAGCAGCGCAGCGTGGCTTTGGCGCGACCAGCTTGCAGATAGCATTGCGCGGCCGTTGGCACTCGCCACCACAGCAGCGAGGACAGGCTGCCTCTGTTCCAATCCAAACACGGAGCAACGTAGTGAATTTAGAGCGGCGTGTAAAATATATTTGAATTCATATAATTATAGTCTTGTCTTTTAAAACGCACCTTAACAACCAACACAGCTATTGTGAACCCCCGCGCGTGGTGCGTCAGCAGCGGAGCATATCAACAAGCTCCATAAACAATTATATATTCCATATAGCTCCATGCAGTACTTTCGCTATTGCACGATGCACTGTAGCCCCCCACCATGGTACGACCGAATTGAACCTGGCACGCAAAGCCACCGTTGCACTGGCCCACCGAATTTTGCAGTAGCCATCCGCCACACTGCTCATTATTGTCAGTCGTTGCTACCGTATTCTAAGGACACGATCAACGTACATGTACTTGTCGTTTGACGACTACGCAAGTATCCGGTCGGCTTGCCCGGGGCTTGGACACGCGCCGGAAACCATACCCCTTCGCTTGGTTCGCAGCGTTGTGGACCGACCCAAGGCTTTGTATTTGCAGTAGATTAGTAGTAGTATTAGGCATTAGAGAATAGTAAGTTGTACACAAAACGGCGAAGGGAGGGGTGTTTACTGGTGCATGGTGACGTAGACGACGAGGAACGCGAGGAAGAGCATGTACCACAAATTGAACTCGGGGTACTCATGCGGGTGGATCGACGGGCAGTGGATCTTGGGCGGCGCCGTGGCCGTCTCTTCATCAAAGCAGTCGCGCTTGCCACCAATGTGCACCTTGGGCGTCACCTTGGGCAGCTTGGTCTCCTTGCGCACTGGCTCCTCAACCTTGACGTCGTCCTTCACCTCGTCCTCGGCCGTCGTCGTCGTCTTCTCGTCGACAACGACAGGTGGCACAAATGGCTTGCGCACGTGGGGCTTGGGTACGTGTGCTTCAGGCGCCTCGGTGGCGTCGATGGTTTCGGGGAAGAGCATGCCCTTGAGCGAGTTATGCAGCTCGTGGATCGCCTGCTGCGTTGCGGCGTGCTGCTGGTGCTTGGCGCTGTGCTTGACGCGCGCTGGGCGCACGTACGGTGCCGACGGCACGAACGGCGCAAAGTGGCGCGGGCGGCTCGCGTGGTGCTTGGACATGTCGACGTGCGCAACCGGGTGCACTTCGTCGGCGAAATGAACGTGCTTCTTTTCGTCGTCGTCCGACGACGTGGACGACGAAGACGACGACAACGTCGCCTTGGCCGCCGCCTTGGCTTCGATCGTGGCTTCGACCTTGCCTTCGACACAGGGTTCGACGGTCGTATGGTGGACGTGGTGGGTGTGAATGTGGTGGCGCTGCGGCAGCGTGACGCGGGCCATGGGCACCTTGGGGGCCACGACTTCGGGCGCTTCCTCGGGTTCAATCTTGGGGCTCGACGACGTCGATCGGCGCCGGCGCTTGGTTGTGCGGAGTGTCTCGAGGCGGTGGCGGAACGAGTCGAGTGCGAACGCCGCCTTGTCGCTGTCGTTCAAGTCGATGTCCTTGAGGTGCTGGAAGAGCGACCCGAGGGCAACGTCCTTGATCGTCTTCGAGTGCTTGGCGGGCGGCGACGACTTGGTGCTGCTGCTGCTTTCTTCCACGTCGCTGTTGCCCTCGGACGACGTGGCGTCGGCGTCCATGGCCTTGAAGGTCACGGGGGCGTCAGTCGCATGCAATGCGTCGTCGACGAAGATGAGCGGCCGGCTAATGGTGGACGAGCACATGGCGGCGCAAGATGGAAAATGATCCAACACCAACGATCGCCCACACGCGATCAAATGCGTTCTCCGGTCTTTGTCGTGCCCACAAAAACACGCTACGCGCTCGCGCGTCTCTTTACATTAGGTTGTGATCGCGACCGCTCCGGTTGCCACGTGGACCATCTGGCTCTTCCCTGCGAGGTGCGATCGAGGCGCATTGCGGTGCGTCGAGCAGGCGACGTCACTTGAGATCGGCGGCCGACCGCGACCATCGATGTGCATACGTTACTGGCAGAGAGGCATCGGCGCGGGCGTAAGCACGCGTATGACCGTCGCGCGTGAGAAAGATACGCGCGCGTTCTCAGGCGTCGACACAGCGAAACCGGCTCTGGGCCACCACGTGGCGTCGGCGAACCATGGACCACAAAATATATGGCTCGGGTGACTCGGACTTCAACCGGCCACGAGGCCGTGCGTAATACCAGCGCTGAGGGGCCCGACGTCCAGAATGGTAGCGCTTTAGACTGTAGCTCACATGCTACCTCCTGGCTCACACGTTCGAATCAAACGTAAAGACACGCTAGAAACCAAACCGTGGTTGAATAGACGAAGTTGCAACAGTCGCGCGACGACGCACCTTGTTGCATTTGGGTGCAGGCGATGACTGCCATCAGCTCCGCCCCAATTGGTCCGTTTCGACGGCGCGTCATCGCCACCACCAAGATCCGCGATCCTCATTCAATGGCCAGCGGTCGCTTGCAGGATCTATACACGGCTCTCTTGCCGAATACTACGTGAGACGTGGGCGAAACGTTCCCACGGCTTCTTCTCGAGTTCACGCAAGACGGCTGCAAGGCGGACAGCGGACGGCGGCCGTGTCGCTGCTTTGTGATACTCACGTTTTGGCCACTCGACCGGACCAGCGCCGGCAGCATCCCAGGCAGCGTCCCAATAAGGTGCTTGGTCGCTCGTCCCAGACCAAGATCCCACTTCATTTCAGAATATCTTTTGGTTTATTGCCGGCCCTGCCTAGTCCATTGAAGACGGGTACAGTAGCTCAATGTACCATGCAGAAGCTCTCTAGACCCGCATATCCGAGTTTTCCTGCGCCATGGCCGCCGCCAGCCAAAATGGCCTTCAGCATAAACAAATGTACTAAACTTAGTATGCATATATACTCTCTAACTCGAGTATGTGGTGGTGCAACTCCGTCGCAGCCAACCCAAAATTTAAATTTCGCTACTTTCGGCGGCAATCGGTGATGTCCCACCGTGCACCTCCGCCAACCAACGCGACCAACTTGGGTGCCAAGTCGCACGACACAGTCCCACGATGACCAGCACAGACGGTCGGACAATAGGACGGTCGGGGTTGATGATGACCGATGTGCTGCTGGAAGATCATTCACGCTAGCATACTCTTTAACTCTTGGATTATTCGTGTCAAAACTATATATAAATAAACAATATACGAGGGTTTAGATCTCGGGCTTGCCAAAGACGACCGCCCAGATGTCCACGTTGCGGTCGTCCTGCTTGGTAGCAGCGGCGGTGGGAGCTTCGTCCTTGGGCGAGAGGTCCGCAAGGCCTTCGGGGAGGGGCACGAAGGGCTCGAGGACGACCAGCTTCTCGTCGGCGACGGCGGCCGGGCGAGCGACGGCCTGGGACGCGTTCAGGCGCGAGAGAGCTGTGGGCGGGATGCGGGGAACGCAGCGGCGAAGCATCTTGTGTGTTTGGCGGATATTGCAGAATGAAAGGATCGACGGGGTCTCCAGCTGCAACATATGCTGCGCGCTGATTGGCTCGCCGCGTTTACATCGCTACCTACGACGGTCGGTCATCCATATCTTACTTCGATTCCACCAATCCACGCCAAGTTGAACCTCCACTAAGGCCAATCAGATGAAAGTTCAATCGGCGACAGTCAAGCTCGCATAGACAAGGTAAGACGTCGAGTCATCGCATGAAGCTACGCTCACGCAACTGGCTGCTGCTGGCGCAGCCCCGCGGTGCACATACTGCTGTTTAACCGCTGTCGAGCGAGCGCGCAAGACGAACCAAGATCACAGATAACTTACAGGCGTCAAGCCTAGCGCCACGATGCTATCACCACCCAATGTCGGGTGCAGAGTTGCGTCCGTTTAGACAACCGTGCCAAATGCAACTTCAAGCTGGCGCCAAAGACCACCCAAGTTCAAAGATACGCGTCCTCGTTTCTGCAACTTCAAGCGCCAAATTCTTCGATTCAAAAAGATCTTTTTCGAGCCATTCGTGATCTTCTCGATGGTCGTTGGAGGCGCTGCACTGCGTGGCTTTGGCGCCGGTAGCAACCAATTTGCCGGCAAGAATAACAGCGATTGGGCATGTTGAGGCTTGGAACATTTAACCAGCTACGATTCAAATGTATTCGGATGCGTTTTGGCACATGTGACGAGGCAAAAGGAACTGCCCATGGGCAAGCAAGGACGCCAATGGAGCTGCATGACGTCAGGCTTCCACAGTCGATCCCACTCCCACCCATAAAAGCTCCCCAGCCCCTCCTGCCCGTACATCGAATCTCTTCACGACGCTGGGCACTCGAGGGGATATGGACTAGGACGCCCTGGCATTTGACGTGTGCAAGAGAGACTCGTGCTGCGTGTGGTGCTTGAGCTTGGGGTTGGTGTGCAAAATCGTAAAGCAGCGCAAGCACGTCGTGTCGCCAAGGCAGTCGTGGCACTGCACCGCGGCCGCGCTCGTCTTGCAGACTGCGCACTTGGCGGCCTGCACGACCACCTTGGTCCAGGCTTTCCTTGGGTCCGTAGCTTCGCCAATGGCGTTGGCCTCTTGGCGCTCGAGGTGAATGCGCTCGGCAAAGCACGAGACGCAATAGCGGACGCCTGTTGCCACGTGGCGCTGCGTCACAAAGTTGAGTTTGCACTTGAAGCAGAGCACGTAGCCGTCCGGAATCGTCCACGATGTCTCGAGCGTCTCTTGGTTGAAGTAGAAGAGCTCACCGCGGTCGTTCATCCGCCGGACCCAGTTGAGCGACTCCATGGGGAGCGTCGCGACGGCCGCGCCCATGAGCAATGGCGGCGACGGCGACGTGGTGCGGGACATGGTATTGTAGTAGACGACGACGCCTGTCGTTGGGTCAATACGGCGCATCACGACAGCGCTACAACCACACCATATATTCTCATCGTTCGCACGAGGCTGTACCGCATGAGGCCGCGCATGTATTTTTTCGCTTGGCGACACCGAAAGAGGAGCTGAATCGTCTTGGCCGACCGGTTGCGAAGCACCTTGAGTCTCTCTTCAGCGCCGCGTATCGCCAGCTGCGCCATCGTCTCGTTCACGCGCGTTTGAATGTACTGCTCCCGAGCGATCGCGTCGCAGTCTGCCAGCGTTAAATTGACGCATAAGATCTTATTGAGCTCTTCCGTGTGCATATAGTAGGCCTACACGAACGATCCAAGACAAGTCCGGCGCCGGTGCACGCACCTTTGGTGGCTGCGCTTTGCTGCGGAACACCTCGAGGCGGCACACCCAGACGCAGTTGGGCACGTTGCCATACGCCGGATCGGCTTGCAAACCCGCAACGACCGTCGACGGGTCCGTCTCGTATATATACGTGGCCGATTCGAGCAGCTTGGCTTTGCCTACGGACGCTTTTGCAGCACAAGCTATCGTGCTGTAGCCAAACCTTCGGGCGTCGCGAGCCACTTTGCAGCAGCTTCGCGGGCCTTGGCCTTGGCCATGGCTTCGATCTCGGCCCACGCAGCGTCGTTGGCGGCGTCCAAGCGCCGCTGTCGTTCGATTTTCTTGGCGGTCCGGTACTCGATGAGCTCTCGCTGCTTGCGCATCTTTTTGATTTGCTCGGTTTGTGCGCGGAATGCGGCCGCGCGCGCCCGCTCGACCTCCTTCTTTTCCCTTGCCAGTACCTTGCGCCCGGCAATAAGAACTCGTTTTCTTAATGGCGCCTACCTCGCGCGCGATGGCGTCTTCGATCTTCATTTGCGCCACTTCACGTTCCACCCGCGCGCGCTCAATGTCGGCAGCAACCATGGCGTCTTGGCGCGCTGCCGCTTGCCGATCGCGCTTTTGGAGCACGACAAAGTAGGTCCACGCCGCTACCATGGTCTGCAGCACTAGACAACGATGCTTGTCCACGGGATGCGACACCTGCCGACGTACGCTGGGCGCGCACGGCGCGGGCTTTCGCGACGCAAATCTCGTGGCGCTCGCGTCGCAGTTGAAATTGCAGCTATCGTTGCATATGTACCATCGCTGGGATAGAAATCGAACCTGGGTGTACTGGATCCACGCGGTATACACGGGTCGCAGGAGACGTGGTGGGCGGGACCGCTCGGCGCGCGCCGCTGCCCACATGTCGCTACATTGCGCGTCACCATCAAATTTGCATGCGTGGTCATGTCGTACAGAGCTCGCCACGCTGTTTGAAAGAAACACCAGTCAAGAATGACTCGGGCGAGAAGCGACTTGTGGTACTGGGTCCGCGCCACAACCTCGCGCACATGCATCCATCGGCGTCGATGGCAATGATCTCGAAAGCCCGCGAGACCGCGGGCACACTGCACCAATTGCCAATGGCGCTCGCCCCGCTTCTTGCGACGCGAGAGGTGCGTCCACTACTCCACGCAGGTCAAAGCAAGGCGGGCAATGACGGTGGACCTCGCGCCAGCGATGCAAGTGGGCCCGCGAAGCGGCCAGCGACCATGTCCGGACAGCGAGCTGCAGGCGCACAGCGTATCGCTCTTGCTCGACACGAAGCACGGAAAAACCGTACTTATCTCGGTGGTACTTGAGGCGAATGGCGTCCGGCAGGATGTGCCACACTTGACGGTCGAGCAGCTTTGGCAACCACGGGTGCGACTCTACATGGCGCTATGCCATACACTGATACCGCGATGGGTACCTGCGTACGCCAGCAGGTCGCTGAGGGTGTAGGTATGACATCGCTTGGCCCGGGCTTCAGCGAAAAAGTCCTTGAGGCAGTGGTCGACTTCGGCTTCCTCCAGTGGACTCGACGACGCCAGCGTGCACATGGCGCTCAGATCGGAACTCGTTTGGATCGCTTCCACATTGTCCTTGGTGCTGGCGTAGACGTAGAACCAGCGCGAGATGCGGTCGCGTGGCGCCAAGAGTGGCTGCTCGAGGGTATCCCACATGCCTGTGACGCGTCGGTAATCAACAACCAGGCCGTGCGCACTCGGCTCGGCGATAACGTCCAAGACTGCGCGCACCAAGTGGATCGCTTGCTTGTCGCGGGCGTCGAGACCCAAGCACTTGATCAAGATGCTTTCAAGGAGCGAGAGCGGTACGTGCGCCTGGACACACGCCTCGAAACAAGCCACGTGCAGCGCAGGCAAAAGCGGCGCCGGACGCGACGCGTAGTACGCATGGAGACTTCGCAAGTGGCGCCAGCGCGTGTAGTACTTGTCCTGGCGCGCCCACGCCTCGGCCTCGTCCCGGGCATCCACGTCCTGCGTACACGTCGCGACGCGCGCGGCCTCGACGAGCTCTCGCAAGCGCCGCTTGGATGGCGATGGGACCGGGCTGCCCTGCCTCAATGCCATCGAAAATCTTCCGACCGTTTTTGTCGAGTTTCGAAATTGGAGCCATGACGGAGCCGGCGCCGTACGCCCGCGTCTTGAGCGCAGCCGAGAAGGCCAAGGTCGACGCGCTTGCGACGCGCCTTGTCAACCTCGACGACGCATATCACTTTTGGGTCCGCGACAGCAACGATGTGCGAAGTGCTCGTTCGCGGTACGCTGCGCTTGCTCGCGAAAGGATATGACTCGAGTGTAGGGATGGCTTTGCGATGCGCTGGCGCTCGGCCATGCCCATTGCAGAGATACGCGTGCGCCACACAGATGCAAGGGTCTTGAGCTCATAGATGCGAGCATATAGGACCAAATCCAAGAGCGGTATGCGGTGGCGGGCCACTACAACGACGCCGTGGACCCGCCGCTCCGACTCCTCCTTGGCGGCAAGGTCCTCGAAGATGGACACAAGCTCGCCGAGTACCTTCCGCTCAAGACACCGTACAACATGCAGCACCTCCGCTGGGCCAAGCCCTACGCAGGTAGTGCGACCTCTCGCATGGTGCGCCGTGGTGCTACCCCGGTTAGGGGTCATTTGGGTCGCACCGCTCGAGGTCGAGGCGCAATTCGCTAAAAAGTGGGGCCACTACGTCGCACCGAACGCGTGACGCACTATCGGATACTATCCATCTACTATCCATCTACTATCCACTGGATCTGGTGGGCAAATTCAGTCGAGCTCTCCAACAAGGTCTAAAGTTCAACGATTGCAGTGCTTCGTGGCACGATATATTTTTCGGATTTATTCCCACTTGGTTTTTCTATCCAAGTTGAATAAAACGACGTGGCATGGGTAGACACGGTCGTATCCGGATCGTCATCCGGATATTGCGACGGCTGCGAGGTTGCTAACATTATTTGAGGCAGTCATGCGAGGGGTACTGGCGGTCCTGGTCGCGCTCTGCTGCGCGGCCGCAGTCTCTGCGATCTACGAAGACCAAGTCGGCGAGTTCGACTGGCACCGCGCTGGCCTCGGCGAGGTCCACCGCGTCGCGTTCCCGTCCAAGAACTCGAAGAACTTCCTCGTGACCAAGGCCATGTACGTGGCCACGGAGGCCAACGTGCTCGCCAAGGTCGACCTCAAGACGTCCGACGTCGCCTGGCGCCACGTCCTCCCCGAGGCCACGGCCGTCGAGGACCTCGTTTTTTGCGACACCCACGAAAGCGTCGTGTCGGTCTCGTCGTCGCCAGCTTCGGCGGCGTCGACCCGCGATGCGACCTTGGTGCGCCAATGGGATGCAGTGCACGGCCATCTTCTTTGGCAGGCGTATGTGCCCGTCGCCGCCCCCGTCGAGACGCCGTTTGCCGCAGCCTACGAGGTGCGCGGTGCGACGGACGCGGACGAAACCATTTTGGCTCTTGTCCGCAACGCCGACGTGACGATCCTCGGCTTGCGCGCTGGTGACGTCTTGCGCACGGCCGCCTTCCCGCATGCGTTTTCCGAGGTCCTCTCGACCAAGCTCTCGGTGGACGCGACCAAGCTCTACATTTTGGGCGTCGACAGCGTGTCCAAGACCAAGGTTGTCGTGCAAGTGGTCTTGAAGTCGGCGTCGGCGTCGGTCTTGGCGCTTGCTCAATCCAGTGACGTCGTCGGTCTCTACCGCGACGACGACCAGGACCGCGTCGTGGCTGTCGCTGTCATCGAGGACGGTTCGGCGTTGCACTTGCAGGCGCTTTACGACCTCGCCGTCGTCAACACGATCGCAATCGCGTCGCTCGAGCTCTCGAACCCGACGCCGGCGACGCCGCTCACGTTTGCCGGCATTGACAAGTCGGTTGCCCACGCATTTGTCGTGACGCTCTCGAACGGCAAGCGCCTCTTTGCGCGCGTCTCGTCCAGCTTGGCGCTGACCGTGCTCGCGTCTTTGCCCAGCTCGGGCTTTCTCATCGCCTCGGCGCAGGCGCCTGGTATCCTCTTCCACGCGGCGCTCCACGCGGCGCAGAACCGCGTAGCGCTCGTGTCGTACCATGCCGATGCGTCGCCCTCGATGCATCTCGAAGCGTCCATTGACGTGGCGCTCTATGGCCGTGCGATTACGCGGGGCTTTGCCGGCGTCACCTTCAAGAAGGCGGGCAAGGCCATCTCGATTGTCCGGGTCGGCCTCGTCATGGCCGATGCGAGCTTGATCCTTCTCTCGAACGAAAAGCCGTCGGATGCCATTAACCCGGGCCTCGTCTGGATCCGCGATGAAGCGCTTGCGTACGTCACCAAGGCGTACTGGGTCACGCCCGCCGGCATCGAAGAGCAAGCGCTCAGCGTGATTCCGTCGTTTACCGAGGAGCTCGGCCTCGAAGCCAAGAAGTTGCTGCACTTTTTCACGACGCTCGGCGCGTCGCCCGCCAAGACGGCTTCGGAAACGTCGCAGTTCTTTGGCTTCTCCAAGCTTTTGATCCTCTCGACGTCGACGGGCAAGCTCTACGCGCTCGCTTCCGAGACGGGCACCATTGTGTGGTCCCGCTACGTCGGCCGCGATCACCGCCTCGTGGTGACGCGCGACCACCCGGCGTTCGGCGCCGGCGCCGAGCTCCTCCTCATTGGCGCCGACACGCGGCTCACGTGGATCGACGCCGAGGACGGGCGCGTGCTCGCCTCCGAGGCGCCGAGCACCCAGAACGACGCGTACGTAATGCTTCTCCCCAAGCAAAAGCACCACGAGATGACGGAAGCCGTCGCGCGCCGCGTTGTCGGCGTTGTCGATGCGTCGCTGGAGGTCGCCTTGTACCCGCCGAGCTCGGCCGTGCCGGACGCATTCTACTTTTACCGCTACGACAAGGCGGCGCACGCATTTGAGGGCTTCCGCCTCGACGAGTCCAAGCGTGCGACGCTGGTGTGGTCGGTCGTGCTCCCGACTGACGAAAGCATCGTCGCGCAGTCGGTGCAGGCCGACGCGACCGCGATCGAGTCGAGTGTCACCATCACGGGCGACGACTCGCTCCTTGTCAAGTACTTGAACCCGCATCTCTTTGGTGTCGCGACGCTCGATGCGCACAACGTGCTGCAAGTGAGCTTGATCGACGCGGTCTCTGGGCGCATCGTCCACCGCGCCAAGCACGCCCAGGTCGCGCCGTCGGTGCAGATGGTGCAGGTAGGACCGTATTCGTTCTGGGGCGCTTCTGACCTCTCAACGTGTAGAGCGAAAACTGGCTCGTCTACACCTTCTGGAGCCTCAAGACCAAGCGCACCGAGCTCGTGTCCGTGGCGCTCTTTGAGCGTGCGATTGGCGCCCGCGACCTGAACCCGTGGGTCCGCCCGCTCTGGGCCGAGTCCAAATCGTCCTTTGACGCCAAGGCGCCGTATGTGCTCCAGAAGAGCTTCATCTTCCCGAGCCCCGTCTCGGTGCGTCTTGTCGCTGTCCCGTCATATCTCATTTCTTCTTCGCTAGTCGCTTGGCGCGACGCTCACGGCGCGCGGCATCACGCCGCAGTTTGTGCTCGTGGGCATGGCCAACGGCCAGATCTTCAAGCTCGCCCGCAACATCATCGACCCGCGTGTGCCCGAGGGCCCGCCGACGCCCGAGCAGCAAGAGTGCGTGCTTTCTCTTGGCAGCGACAGTGGCTCATGCAAGCTGTTGTAGAGAGGGCCTCGTCCAGTACTCGCCGTACATCCAAGTGCTCGCGCAGCCCTTCTCGATGGTGTCGCACAACCAGACGCTGCACAAGCTCCAAGCGATTGTGAGCGCGCCCGCGAACCTCGAGTCGACGTCGCTCACGTTTGCGTTTGGCTTGGACCTGTACTATGTGCGCCTGGCGCCCGCCAACGCCTTTGACGTGCTCCCGTCCGACTTCAACTACGAGCTCCTTCTCTTGCTCATTGCGGGCTTTGTTGGCGGCGCGTATGGCACCAAGCTTCTCGCGGAGCGCAAGCTTCTCCACGAGCAGTGGAAGTAGAGAACCTCTTCTAGACATGATAAGGACTGTGTAATACTACATCGATGCCCACACCTTTGACAGTTGCAGCGTACGGTTTCACACCAGTCGAGCAGTTGCTGGACCCTACGGCCCGGAAGGAACATGGAGGACGACCCGGGCGAGATGGAGGCCATTGCCCTCCAGTCGCAGGTGCGTGGCAGCCGTGAGCGCCGTCGCAAGCCGCTGTGTAGATCACGGAGCTCAACCGGCTCCTTTTTACGACGTCCGACGAGCACAAGCGCCGGGCGCTCGAACAGCAAATCGCCGTGCTCGAAGATGACCAGATCACGCTGCGCAAGGCGATCCAGGACGAGCGAGAAACCCGCGCCGCCGCGCGCTTTACGACTGTCCGACCCGCGAGTGCGCGGCCACGGCGCACGACGCTCAAGCCCGTCCAAGAGGTCGTCCATCAGCGTGGCCTCTCTTTCCGTACAACATTCTGTGCGTAGGACAATGAAGTGCCGGCGTCGCAGCTCACGGCTGAGCTCGCGCGGCGCCACTTTATCAACGTCATCCACCTCAAGACGGAGCTCGTGCGCGACGTCGTGACGCCGTCGCACAACGCCAAGTACCCGCCAACCGCCATCTTGGAGGGCAGCACCAAGAGTTTCTGGATGAGCTCGGGCATGTACCCGCAGCTGCTGCAGCTCACGATGCGCGAGACCGTGTACATTGCGAGCATTGAAGTCACGAGCGCGTTTGTCAAAGAGATGTGCGTGCACTGCACCCACAGTCGGTCCGTGGTCAACCCGGACCCGATCACGGTGACGCTGCCGCCGCCCGCCGACTACCACGGTACGCAGCTACGTACGGAGTCGTCCATGCATTCATGTCCGCAGGCGAGGTCGAGCGCGTGTCGCACAAATTCAAGTTTGAGGGCGACGCGATCGAAGCCATTGACATTCGAATACTCAGCGGCTACGAAGCCTTTTGCTTTGTGCACGTTGTCAAAGTCAAGATCGACGACAACGTCGAGCGAAAAAACAGCTCGTAGCACCCAACGGTATAGTAGAGTAGTAGATACGCCCATGTCGTCATATAGATCTAACACAAATTCGACGAGCTATGGTCCTCAATCGGTTTGCGCGGATCTGATTGGACCAGGCAATGAACAAAGCGATGCCGGATTGGTTGATTCTTACAACCAATCAAACGCTCATACGTGGCGGAAGGAGAGCGCGCGGCGCTTGACGCGTTAACGGCCGCGTGAACAGGCGCTTGCACGAGTCAGCATCACATCGCCTGGAGATGCTTCAACCGCGGGGGTTGCGCTGCGTGCTTGGTGGTATTCTCGTGCGCTACCGCCACGGGCACTATGACGACTGGTGGCGTCACCTCTATAAAAACATATTAAATTAGATTATGTATCCGAGGTTCTTTGGCATTCGCGATGCTGGGGTTCGTGGGACGCGTCGCGCGGACAGGCCGTCGATGGAGTTCGACCCTCGACGAGACTGCGTACATTGAGCAGTTGCAGCTAAAGGACATCAAGAGGTGATGTCGCCCGGTGCGCGCGCCTGAGATTCACACGATGGCATTAGCAAGGTATTTTACGACGAGCAAGCCGAGCGCCGCAACTACTTTTACTACGTCGACCTCCAAGTCGGCAACTTGTCGCCCAATCAATTCGAATAGCTTAGGACGAGCGTAGGGCCAGCTCTTCCTCGAGGACATGGTGCCCAAGAACATTGCGACGTCGCTCAAGAGCCCCAAGTTCCTCAAATTCTTCTTCCACATGCTGCGGCCGCACGCGGCGACGGACCTGCAATACGTCACGGCCTTTCTCGAGTACCCGTACCGGTCGCCGTGTGGGCCCGAGATGAACTACATCAAGGCCGCCGACACGCCGATCGTTGTCACGGAGCTCCAGAAACACGAGGCGCAATGGCTCTTGCGGACCAACGCCGACCCGGAGGCCGACGTGCCGTTCGCGCCGTCGTCGCTCGCGATTTCGGCTTCCACCGGCCGACTCTACCATTGGACCGAGTCCAAGTATGTGCAAGGCTACAGCCTCGTGCGGTCGCAAGTCGCCGTCGACATTGCCAACTTTATCTCGTTCCCAGAGTCGCCGGATGCACCCCACGTATTCGTCGCACCCTCGGGCGATACGACGCCAATCAAAGTCGTGCAATAAGATCTCCGACAACACCCTCTGGATCGATGCAACAAGAGAGCTTGCCATCCTATGGTATACACTGGAAATACACTGCATCGGGCCATCGTGGCTGGTGCTACAAGACGGGGAGGAACACGGGTTGCGGGTCGCGTGACTGCGAGAACGACAGCGACTTGCGCGTCTCGCGGGCGTTCGTAATGCGAAAGGCCTCGAGGAACGCGTTGATACTGATCTTGCCCGTACCTTGCCTACGAAGCGCATCTGGGACCATCCGAAAGAAGAGGCGCGCACAGATCAAGCTCTTGGAAGAGCGTCGCGATGTTGTGGAGCTGCGCGTCTTCGTCGGCGACATGCGCATTGAGGAGCGCGCAGCCTTGCTGGAACTCGTCCAGCGTGATGTAGCCCGAGTTGTCCTTGTCGAAGAAGCAAAAGATCACTTGCAGCTCCTTTCGGTACATGTAGAACGTGTCGAGGTCCAGCTGCCCGCCGGCATCGCCGTGTTGCGCATAAGTGGTCTGGTACGACTCGAGAAACACCGCGTACTCGACCTTGTCTTGGTTCTTGACCACGCTGCGCGGCGGAAGGAGCACGGGGGCAAGCCGCGACCAGTCGAGCTCGAGCTGCAAAACATCTCCGAGCACGGCGACCCAGTCGTCGATGCTCACGACACCTACATTACAGTATGCACCAGCAACGTCGAGCCGTGGCAGCGTACCAAGGTGACGGGAATCTTTGGCTTCGAACGCCGCCAACAAGGCTTTCTACATTCGTCTGGAATGAGACCCCGACGAGCTTGCGTCGCGCACCTTGTGGTTGCCAATGAGCTGCATCAGATTGTGTCGGTTGTGGTCCTCAATCGACCGAAAGCCCGGCATCGACGGGCTAATGCGGTACTACCACATGCGTCTGTGAGCCGTAAATTGTCATCTAGACGTTTGCAACTGTGGTCGGGACTTGGAACGTATGGAGCTCAAATGCGAGCGACGACTGCAGCACCATGTACGCACCCTACGCACACAATATACATATTGTCCTCGTCTCTGCACACTGCGTCTTGGGGTCTACCTTGTTGTTGGAGTAGCAGTAGTTGGAACCTGAGAAGATCGTCACAAGCGTCGAACTCGACATCTCGTTTCCATTGTCGTCTTCGGCTGGCACGACCATGCTACCCACGGTGCCGCTGGTCCGCTGTTCTTTGGCGTACGGCCAGTCAAAGCCCTCTCGGGCCGGCTCGTGGGCGCGCACAAGGAGCTACTCCATCAAGTTACTCCAATACTAGTATATGTATATCCCATTGCACCTTGAGGCCATTCTGGCGTAAGAAGCGCGCAGTTACGTCGGGTCCAAACACGACACCGGCGCCGCGACGGCTCGGGGAGCTGCCTTTTGTCGACGACGGGTCGGACCACAGCATATCCTACGTGCGGTTTGAGGTTCCGTGGGAATTTGGAACGTCCCACCCGCATCGTGCTCAGGTGCTGGAGAAGCTCCGACGACAGTGTCTTGGGAAAATGGAGTTGAAATTCGCGCCGAGGAATCGCGTCCATCTACAATCGTTCAGACGGTGCGCTCCAGTGGCATTCGTTGACCTCGGTTAGCGTTACGTCGGCGGCCGGAAGCCCACCGTGCACGACAAATACGGCGTCGTTGATGACGTGCGCGAGCGGGAGTCGTTCAAAAAAGGCGTTAAAGGCACCATACATGTTCCGGTCGTACTTGGTCATCACCTGCAAGAGATGCAGAAACCACTGTCTTGGTCGTACATGCAGAAACGAATACCTCGCGCTGGAAGCTGTAGAGGCGATTGAGCTGCGGGTCCTCGTGGTTGCCGCGGTTGATGTGCACGGCGGTCGGGTACAGCATGTGGTAGGCAAACAACAGCGCGCAGATTTCGACGCTGCAGTTACCCCGGTCCACGACTAGTTGATACATTGATATATATACGTGACATTGCCACCACGTACAGTCGCCGTTGAAGAGGTACCAGTTGGTCGGCGACGGCGGACCTTGCTCTTTGAAGATGTGGAGCACGTCGTGGAGTTGCCCGTGCACGTCCCCGACGATTGTGAGCGTAGTGTCGGACGGAATCTACCCTCCGACCATCAGCTTCAACGACCTCGATTTGCAAGGCGCCAACCGTGAGATGGACCACATTCGGCAACACTTCGTAATGCTGTGCGCATGCGCTCATGAGTCGCGTAAGCGTGTCCGTTGGCAGCGGGATGTGCATGCCGTCGGCAGCCTCCGCAAAGGCCTACGCCATGCAACGTTATTTCGCGAATCAATGGACGCACCAACCTGGCTCATGCTCGCGACTTGGTCGATGGACAACGGGAATTGCAAATGAATGAAATCATGCAGTTGAATGCCATCGACGGCAATCGCGTCGGACGAGGCCACGCTCTCTGCAGCGTGATGGACGTTCGTGGAGTAGGTAGATAGATGATATGCAGCATACCGAGGTCAGTGGCATCGTCTGCGGACCCGATCATGTCCAAGCACGTGTGCATGAAGGCGGCAAGCTGGACTTGCTTCGTCTCGTCAAGGCTACGTGATATGCATGAGTCCACGTCGTCGCATGCCCCGTCCTGCGTACAGGTCGAGCTGGCTCCAGATGTGCCAATGGTGCAGGTCGTCCTCCGAGATCTTGGGCGCCTGCGCTATCGTCGCACGCTCCACGACGATGCCATCCGCCAGGTCTTCCTTCGTGCAGAGCGCGCCCATGCTGCGGCCGCGCTGGTCGACTTCGGTATCGTTGAAACGTTCGGCCTCTGCAGTGCAAAAATACATTGTGATTGAATCCAACCGTTTTAAACATGTTTAAAACATCCATGTTGAAGTCGTGGTGTGTCCAGCCCTGCCGCTCACCCAGGCCGAGAAGGCGGCCGCGCTCGATGAAGATTGCAGTGATATCTCTCCCTCAACAGTACGCGACCACACGCAAGGTCGAGAGGCCACAAGCATCATCGAGAGGAAGAAGCAAGAAAACGTTGAAGTACGAAAAAGCGAAATCCCTTGCAAGTTAAAGGGCGTGGGCAAACAGTTGGCCGCGCGCGTTAACAGCATACATGCGCGTGTCGGCGATGTGGACGCTGGCGGCATTGCCCAGCACATGGGCGACAACGCGCCAGTTGGGCGACGAGCTGAGATTCTCCGTGGCGCAAAAGATCTCGGTCTGGCGGGTCACGCCGCAAAGCGCGTGGCCGTTCGACGAGAGCTGCGTAAAGAGGCCGGGCACCTGCGCGACCTGCGGCACGTCCATGAGGGCGCCAACAGACGGCTTGCCCGCGAAGAGCTCGTCGCGGTCCGTCACGGCGAAGAAGGCGTCGTTGCCGTGGAGCACAAACTGCTTGGGTGCACCGACGTCGGCATGGCCCGGCCACATGACCGCCCACGCGATCGGGTTGGCCATGTTGAGGCAGTACGCCGACGACGATTTGTCGACGCCGCAGACGTAGGCGCCGTCCGACGAGAGCTGCACGTTGTTGCCACGCATCGCCGACCATGCACTCGGTGCCGACGCGTGTGCGAACGAGAGCGAGTCGTCCGTCGCCGCGCGGAAGAGCATGCCGTTGGCGAGCTCAATGTGCTGCGTGTTGCCAACGAGCGGCGTCCAATGCGCAAGGTTCGACTCGTCGGCGCACAAGACGTGGTTGGCCGTGGTCGTGCCGCACACGCGACCGTCGGCCGCCGACACTTGGCGGAATGCCACGTCGTCGGGCGTCGCCACCTGCATCCAGTAGTCGGCGTTCAAGTTGGTCGGGCGGAGCGAGAGCTCCGTAGGCGGCGAGGCCGTCTTTTGCTGGACGAGGACGACGAGGCCGAGGACGGCAGCCGCCGCCACGACGTGACCAGCATGACGGACGCCCGAGGCGCGCTCGGGTGTCGTGGTGTGAAGCATCGGGCTCTTCTCCATGGTCGGCAAATCGAAGTGTGACGCCAAGATCACCCTGCGCCCGAGCACGATCTGCATCTGGTTCGGATGATTCGGAGTTTGTATGTAGGGCGCCTCCGCAAAGTACTGGAGTAGTAGTACTGCAAGTACAAGAGTGATAGGGAGCTGCCATGGCGAAGCATCTTTAGCGCTTTCCTGTCGCTCCAGCCCTCAAGAGCTTGCAAGAGGCAGAGAACCTATGCTCGCTGAGGCATTGAAACAACAACCTCCGCGCAGCTCGGCCAACGCCGACGGACGTATGGGCTCCAAGATGCTACTCGTTTGTCGCAAGCCCACGGCCACGCACCCACTCACTCGCATGGGAACTTTGTCTGCGGATGAGCACTGTCTTACGCCTAGTCCTATCGAGCGTCTATAGCTCAAGTCTACATATTCGTTGGACGCGTCTCGACGGCAGCTTGACGATGCAGCGCCTGGCGCGAATTGCGATCTTGCATGTCGCCGACGCTGATTGGCTCGATTTAAGACTCTAAACCATCTGGCATGATAAAATGAATCGTTCGTGGTTTAAAAAGTACGCAACGAGGGGCGGGCAGGGTACGAATTAGTATCAACAATTCCTAGTCGGACTTAGTCGAAACCGCATAATTCGTAGTCATGGATCAATTTGGAATTTGCGAGAAGAAGGGACATGGCCTACACGGCGGACGAGACGGCGCTCCTCGCGCAGAAGCCGCGCATGGGCGCGCTCTCGGTGGCCGAGAAGATCGAGCAGGCAAACCTCCTCAAGACGCAGGGCAACACGCTCTTCAAGGGAGGGGAGTACAAGAAGGCGATCCACAAGTACTCGGCCGTCTTCTTGTACGTCAACGGCCTCAGCGTCGCCGGCGATGGCATGTCGACGTACTCGCAAGGCAACGCGTCCATGTCGGCGTCCGCGGCCGAGGGCGACGAGATCAAGCAGCTCAAGATCGTCGCCTACACGAACACAGCCATGTCGCACCTCAAGCTCGAAGCCTTCGACAAGGCGCTCGACGTGTGCGAGAAGGTGCTGGCCATTGAGCCTGAGCATGTCAAGGCGCTCTTCCGTCAAGGCCAAGCGTATGGCCTCTTGTAGCAGTAGCATCTATGGCTCATCAAACTGCACGACTGTAGCTACGCGGGCAAGGGCAAGTACTCGATGGCCAAGGAGATTCTCAAGAAGGCGCTGGCGCTCGAGCCCAAGAACGCGGCCGTGCGCAACGAGCTGAAGCGCGTGATCGACGAAAGCAAGCTGCACCCGGAAGAAGACGAGCTCAAGAACAAGTTTTCCAACATGTTCAACAAGTCGGGGGGTATTTACAAGTAGTCTGGTCAATCGAGATTCACAGATTGAATGCAATGGGTCCGACGACTAGTACTTGCTACTGTTACTGGCGTTGGGCAGGTCCCAAATGCCATCGAGGCGGTCGCACACGCAGTCCATGATCGACTCGTAGCTGTGTCCCATCGCTGTGTGCGGCTCGGACGGCAGCAGCATCGAGACGTCGACGTTGGCTACCCAGGGTGACTCGATGGGCGTGCAGCCGGCGGGCGGGTGATGCGTCTGAAGAAACGTCATAGCGCGGAAGAGCTTGTTCAAGACGCAGTCTTGCGTCGAGTAGACGTTGAGAATCCGGTCGCGGCGCATGTCGGCAAAGGCCGTGGCGGCCACTGCGCTAAAGTCGTGGGAGGGCACAAACGCACCGGCAAAGAAGACCTATCGGATGCCATGGGTGAGACCTACCGACGACCGCGCAGTACGTACGACGCGATGGAGATCAAAGCGAGTATACGGCGACGTTGCATTCTCTGCTGCGAGACGATCGAGGAGGCTATAGAGCACCGCGCCGCCAAGCGAGTGGCCGAGAAGCGTCACCTTGCGGCCGCGCGTGAGTGTCGGGTGCATGCGGAGCACATCGGCGAGGATATGTCCGACTTGGTGGGCCTTGTTCTTGGCCCGGTTCCACGGGTTGCCTGCGTGGGTTCCGATCGCACCGTCGTTTGCATCGGAGTTTGTACCTGTAAAGTGGGTCGCAATCACGTCTTCGAGGCCCGTCGCGAGATGGCTTTTGGCCTGCGCGACAAAGTTTTCCCACTCGGCGCTGTTCCCAGCTTCCCACAAGACAACGTAGCACGCGACTACGAGAGCGTGGTTCTCTGAGTACATGCAAATGCGAAGAAGGGTCGTGTACCGTTCTTGCGCTGGCAGTAGGTCGCCCAGTTGGTCGTTGGGTCGACGCCGTGCGTCATAAAGCCATTCACAGCGATCACGACGTGCTCGCAATTCGAAATGTCCCCACTGATGTGCTCCAGCTTGAGGTAGTCGACGGCGCGGATTTTCTGGTTGGTTTCCATCGACCTGAGACCCGCTTCTTTCGCTGTCGCCCAGAGGAACGCCGATTTGGACACGGGCGCATCGTGCTAGAATCAACCAACGAGCGTGAGACCGTCGTGACAAGTACCAAGTCGATACCGTCGCGACAGGTGTCTTAAAAAATGCGCTTGCAGCGCCGAAGAGCCCACCGGTGAAGGCGGCCACAACATCTGTCTCGAGGACTTGGTCTGTGGGCTGGCGCGCAATGGCCGTGCTGATCTCGCGGTCAAGCTGCGCCAGCATCCGTTGGTGGAGGTTGACCTTGACCGACTTGGCGTCCCGCTGCAGCATGCGCCACTCATCCTCGGTCATTTGGCCCTTCGCGATGAGGTCCCTTGCATCGCCCTGGAGAAAGCGACCGTCGTCGACCATGCTGCGAGTATGTTTATCCGGATAGGAGGCGGTTGCATTTTATCAAGTTGGATTATGCAAGAAGCAAGGAATAGATAACGCTAGGCTTCGTAGGCCGTGAGGTCAAGCGTGAGGCACTTGGAGCGCTGGGAGCCAATGTCCTTGCAGACGCCAATGAGCGCGTCCGCCTTTTCGTAGAAAGAGTCCTTGAGCGAGATGACGATGCACTGGAAGTCGCACTTTTGGATGTACGTCGAGACCTTGTTGACGTTGATGTTGTCCAGCGCCGCGTCCACCTCGTCGAGCACAAAGAAGGGCGACGGCCGGTAGCTGTGGATCGCAAAGAGGAGTGCGAGCGCCGCCACCGTCTTCTCGCCGCCGCTGAGCTGCTCCATCTCGCGGAACCGCTTCATGGGCGGCATCGCGTTGTACTTCATGCCGTGCAAGTACGGCTCCTCGGGGTTGTCAATGTTGAGGTACGCCGTACCGCCCAGTGGGTGCTTAGAGCTCTTGGTCAGGTTCTTGTACACGCTGTCGATGCACCCCGAGACGTGGTTGTACGCCTCCATAAACCGCTCGTAGCGCGCTTCGCGTACCTCGTCAAAGCGCGTCGCGGCCTCGGCTGCGCCAGCCTACGCGTTGTCATATGAGTTTTTGACAATTGAGTGGATAGCACATACCTTGATGCGCTCGAGCTCGGCTTCTTCGTGGCTGATGCGCGATTGGATCTCGTCATACTTTTCGAGCGCCTTCATATTGGGCTGCATGCGCTCCAGCTCGGCCGCGAGCGTCGCAATTTGCTGCTCGTACTTTGTCGCGAGGTCCTCTCGTTCCTTGTTGTTCGCAAACGAGATGCGGTCCAAGCCGGAAAAGTCAATCACTTCGTCCACATAGCGCTTGTCAGCCTGCGCCGTCAGCGTCACGCTGCTGTCGCCCATCGAGGATTGCTGACTTTCGACCATGTCGACGTCGCCATCGCTGTCGTCGTCGGAGGTATGGCCCACAAGTGGCAGCTTCACTTGGTCCATGGTCGCACGCTTGAGAATCTCGTGCTTCTTGTCCTTCAAGCGATCCAGCGCCGCCTCTTGCACCGAGATCTTCTTGTGGATGTCCGCAACGTCCGTGTCGAGCGACTCACGTTGCTTGGCCATTGCCTTCAGCTCGGTTTCGATCGCCTTGAGGGCGGCGTGGGCTGCCGCCGCCGCGTCCGTCTTGGCTTTGTTGTCGGCTTCGAGCTTTGACGTCTGCGCGACGAGCGTCTTCTTCTCGTGTTGAATGTCTTCCAGCGTCTTGGTCTCTTTTGCAATCGACGCCTTGCAGTAGTCCCAGCGGCGTCGGTTGTCATGCCCTTCTAGGTATTGCAGCTAGACAAGGGCGCCACGATGACCATCAGACTATGTGTCTAAGCATACCTGGGCCTGGATTTTGGCCATGTGACTGTGAAGCTTGCGACGGCGGTCGATACGCTCCTGCTGCTGTTTGACGACCTTCTCTTCGTATTCTCGGATGTTTTCAACGCCAAACGACTCGCTAAAGTCCTTGAACATGTCGTCTTCGACCTAATCGTCCATGCATACGTTTAGGCTATTGAGAGCAGAATGTTCTGTACCGAATGGATGTCACGCTCAAGCGCACGCATGTCGGTCGCGCGCGCTGCAATCGACTTTTTGACCTTTTTGATCTCAGGAAGTAGCGCAGCGAGACGCTTCTTGCAGTCTTGCATACGGGCCTTGATCTTGGGGATTTTGGCCTCCGTCGTCGCAATGTCGGCCGTCGCGTAGCGCAGACGGTTGCGAAGCGACCCGAGCTTTGTTTCGAGAGTTTGACGGCGCACGGCGCCGGTGCTCTCTTTCTCAAGTGCCATGAGCTCCTAACAACGATTGCAGTAGATAAGAGCTACGTGATGGCAATAAAAGACGCACCGACTGCAGTGCATCCCGCTTGTCTTTGAGGAGCTGTGTTTCCTTTTCGTCCCAGCGGCCAGCGCGCGCGGCGTCCTTTTGGGTGCGACCACCCGTCATGCTGCCGTTCTTGCTCACGACCATGCCGTTGAGCGTCACAGCCTTGACCTTTTCATTGCGCTGAAAGCAAATCTCTCTAGACAGGACCGTTTAGCAATGTGAGTGGACGGCTAGTGATAATATTTGTACCGTGCTTCGTCAATGTTGTCGCACACAATCGTGTCCGAGACAGCGTAGAGCACGGCGGGTTGGATATCGTGGTCGCAGTCAATGACGTCCACGACAAGTTTGACGCCGAGGTCGCGAAGGCGCTCGTTGATGGGCTTGACGCGGATCTTGTCAAGCGGAATAAACGAGATGCTGTCAAGTCGGTTGTCACGGAGGTACTACAATTGGCGTCACCATACATGTCGTACAGGCCAGCGCGCATATACCTGAATGCATTCTTGGCCCGTCTTGTAGTCGTTCACAACGAGCGAGTCCATGTGCTTGCCGGTCGCAACCGTCACGGCCATGTTGTACTTGCGTTGGATCGGCTTGCACAAGTCCACGAGACGACCGCGCACGCCGGGAAAGAGGCGCTGGAGTGCGTCAAATGTTTGCGACTTCTTCAGTTCGGCCTGGCTCTGACGCCAATCGTCCTTAACATTGCGCAGTTGCTACAGCAACGCATTAGCAGAAGCCGACAAGCTGGATGAAGCATGTACAAGCTGAAGCTTGTCCAACTCGGTCTTGAGCGATTGTTTCTTGTTTGAAATGTCGATTTCCTAGGGCCCATTCGATATGCCAGGCTGCCACGGGCAGGTTCTGCGTACATGTTGCTCTGTGTTCTGGAGGTCGCTTTCGGCTTGCGCAATCTCTTCCTTGCTTTTCGTGATCACGCGTTTGATCTAAAAAGGATGTGGATGGTGACGCTAAGCCCACAAGGACGTACGTCGACAAGTCGGTCCTCAGCTGATTTGCGGTCTTCCTTGAGCCGGTTCATCTCCTCAGTGTGCTCCTTTTCTTCTTGGGACAAGGTTGCGAGACGGCTTTCGTCGGCCGTCTCTTGCCGCGCCAGCTATGGGCGCGCTAAATACACGCACGTGACTAGGGCGATCGTACCGACGCCAAATCGTTGCGCAGCTTTGTGGTTTCGATCAAGGCCGTCTCTTTGATGCGATGGTACTCTTCGAGCTGGTTGCCCTCGAGCACAAGTTCTTCGTCGTCTTTGGTCTCTGCGAGCACAGCCTCGGCCTGCACACACGTATGAGGCACAGCCAACTTGAGCACAAAGTACATACCTGCTTGAGCTCCGCAAGGTCGGCGTGCAATCCGTCCATTTCGTCGTTTTGCTCTTCGACCTTCTTGGCCATGACCTTTTCTTGCGCAATCGCGGCGTCGAGCTTCTTCTTTGAGTGCTTGATGTGCTCGTTCAGCTGGATGATCCGCGGCGCGACGTTGTCGACCTGCTGCTGCACATTCACGGCGTTCATGTCGCGCTGCCGGCACTCCTTGAGCTGCAACGCATGCTGCTTCTTCTTGTCCTTGAACGCATCTAAAATCGTCTACGAGCGTTGCATCAGATATCACGCACGTAAGCAATAAACGACCTTGTTGTCACCGAGAATTTCGTCGAGCTGCGCTTGGGCGTCGTCCATCACGCGCTTGCGACCCGTCGCCTCTTCCTCGACGTGGAAGAGTTGCCATAAATAGTTGTGCTGCTTCACGCGCGTGAGCTCCTTGCGCTTCTGCTTGAAGCGCTCGGCCTCTTCCTTCTGTTCGCGCACGATCTTGCGCTCGGCCGCGAGACCCTTCTTCTTCTGGTACGCAAAGATCGTGTTTTCCTCGGCAGCGTTCTTGGCTTCCATGCACTTTTCGTACTCGTCCTTGAGCTCGTCCGACGACGAAATCATCTCAAAGAGACGGGTAAGCTGCTCGGGGCTCTTGGACGCGATCGACTCGACGTCGCCTATTCACAGAGCTGAGTTCCGTGATGTTGCAGTCGTGCTTACCTTGGAAGACGAGAAAGTTGCGGGCCTTGACGAGAATGCCAAGGTCCTTGAGCGTATTTTCGTACTCGTCGTGGGCCACGTCGTTGCCGTTGATGCTGTAGGACCCAACGCCCTTGTCCGAGATGCGCCGCGTAAAGTTCAACTCGTCGGACGGGAGCTCGCCGAGGCGCGCCGTCATCTTCTCCTTCTCAGCGTCATCGAGTCCATAGATGAGCGAGACGTACGCGCCATCGGGGCTCACGTCGTTCGTCCCGTCCTTATGGAGGAGGTCCTTGAGCTGGTTCGAGCGCAGCTGCCGGCTGTGGACGCCGAGGACGAAGCTGATGGCGTCCATGAGGTTGGACTTGCCGGCGCCGTTGGGCCCGATCACGGCCGTGAAGCGGTAGAAGGGACCGATCTCTTGCTTCCCTCCATACGACTTGAAGTTGCTCACGTCGAGGCGAAGGATGCGGCCCATCTTCGTGCTGGTTTCGCGGGCACCAAATGGAATTTCCCGACCGCGACGCAGCGCGGGAATCTGCGTTAGAAGCACAAATCCGGATTGTGCGACGGTATCCGAAACGTGTTTTTGATATAAGACCCTTTTTTACGGGACATATACGATATAAATGACCGGTAACTTGGCTTGGCTAAGATCACGCCGCTTGCACCGCATCCTTTTGCGATTGTGGGGCATCCTAGCACAGAGTCTGGCAAAAGCAAGCCGACGCAATAATAAAACGCAGTGGTGAAATACATGAATATCATGTTTAAGACTGCTGTCCTCGATGGGCTGTGCGGACGAGAGCGGACATGTATATAGTTGCGTTGGACTAGACTTAACAAATCGAACACATACAAACAGCAAGCTGGACCCCAAAAATACGATCAGAATATGCATTCGACGCACGAGTTGCGGAATTTCGGGGCCAGTCGCAGGAAGCAGAGGACAGCAGCATGGGCGAGCGCAAGGTCCTGAACAAGTACTTCCCGCCGGACTTTGATCCGGCGCTCATGCCTCGGCGCAAGCAGCCAAAGAACATGCAGATCGAGGTGCGTATGATGCTGCCCTTCTCGATCCAGTGCAGCACGTGCGGCGAGTACATGTACCGCGGCAAGAAGTTCAACTCGCGCAAGGAAGACGTGCTCGAGGAAGACTACCATGGCATCAAGATCTTCCGCTTCTACATCCGATGCATCACGTGCGCAAGCGAAATCACGTTCAAGACCGATCCGCAGCATGGCGACTATGCCGCCGAGCATGGCTGCCAACGCAACTTTGAGCCATGGCGTGAGACCGACGCCGACGAAGCTGCGATGCTCAAGGAGCGCGAAGAAGAAGAAAAAGGCGACTCGATGAAGGCGCTGGAAAACCGAACGCTCGACTCGAAGCGAGAGATGGACATTCTCGATGCGCTCGACGAAATCAAGGCAATCAACCAGCGCCACGCCAAGGTCGACACGGACGCGCTACTTGCCAAGGTCGCCTGCAGCGGCGAGCAGCCCGTGGAAACCAAGATCATGACCGAAGAAGAGATCCAAGCCGAGATGGAAAACTTCCGGAAGCGCAAGCTCGAGCAGCTCTCGTCGGGCCCACCTGCCAAGGTGGCCAAGGCTGTGCCAGTCACACTGGCTGCCCCCGAGCAAGTAAAGCCGGCGCCAGCGCCCATTGTGATCAAGAAGAAGAAGACTATGGCGTCCAAGCCGAAAGCCAAGGCCGCGCCGGCCAAGGCGGTTGCGTTGGTCGGGAATTACGATAGCAATAGTGATTAGGTTTGCGTGAAATGAAGAACGTTGCTGCTTGCGATCTTAATCCTGTCTACGGGTTGTAGGGCGTGATCATGTTCTTCGCAAACGACTTGAGCGCGGGCACACCGCGGACTTCTTCGTTGAGAAGCGGCATCTCGAGCACGTGAAAGTCCTACGTATCCGCTTAGCATCGTGCTGAAGGAAGCGCCAGCGTTTTGTGTACCTCGTACAAGTCGTAGATCTGGTCGAGGTACTTTTGCTGCATCTTTTGGCGCGCGCAGCAGTTGTTGCACGTCGAGTCTAGCAGTCGCGCTTGAGTGTATTGAGGAGGATGCACAATCGTCCTACCTTCTTCCGGGTACAAGACCTGGTTGACGACGACGTTATGGACGTCAATGTCGTACTTGGTGAGCTCCTACACGATAAATCGAGCCTGAGTAGGTCCCAGAAGCGTCATTGTATTGTACCTGCACCAAGCGCTCGGTTTCGTAGAGCGAGAGAAACTCGGGGATGCAGACGCACACAAAGGTCGTGCGATCGGCGTCCTTGAACTGCTCGTTGACCTACACGCATTGCTCGCATGAAGACGCAGCGGCTAACGTTAGAATATGCGACCTTTTGGATGACTTCGCGCGTCTGCTCGAGCTTGCCGACGAGCATTTCCTCGGACGGCAAGGCGCCGCCAAAGAGCGCCGACATCTACATGTGCATTGCTCGATAGGGTTGCGTGCTTGCAGGAAAACATACCTGGCCAAACATGCCCGAAAATTGGTTCTTGAGCGCCATGAGCTTGCCAAAGGCCTTGTCGAGCGCGGTTGGGAAGCTGAGGAGGCGGAGCGTGTGGCCCGTCGGCGCCGTGTCGAAAACAATGACCGAGTAATCCATGTTCTGCACTTGCTTCATAAGCTCGGCAAAGCTCATGGCTTCGTCGATGCCAGGAATCGAGTTGGTCAAGTCCTTCATGAACGACTGCATGCCCGATGCGTCCGAGACGCCGTCGACGCTTTCGTCCATCTGCACCGCAAGGTTTAGTCATGATGGAGCAGACGCCGGATAGAGTACCTCAATGTTCGGGTCGATCTCCATGACAAAGAGGTTGTCGAAGCCATTGACAGCGGTCGGCTCACGCGTAAAGCGCTGGCCAAAGGCATCGCTGAGATTGTGCGCCGGGTCCGTCGAGACGATGAGGACCTTCTCGCGGTGGCTGGCGAGGGTCACGCCGAGGCAGCACGACGTCGTCGTTTTGCCAACGCCGCCTTTGCCGCCGACGAAGATCCACTTGAGCGACGTCTGGTCCACGAGGTTCTGCAGCGTGCCTTCCGGGACGTCAGCCATGTTGCGAATTTTTCGATTTGGCCACAAATGGGAATTTCCCAAATAACCTCTCAAATCACATTAAATTATGCGAATTCAGAGGGATGACGTGGAACCCATGATTCTGGCAACTTTAACTACGATCAAGGAGGAAAAGCAAAAAGTTACTAGAGGAGAGTGGCATGAAAGATAGCACCATCATTTTCCTGAACAATATGACCCATTATGCAGGAAGAGCCACGCCCTGGACCACGTATAGGTCTACAGCGTCGCACTTCAAGCAAGACGACTCGATGGGCCGTCGAGTTTTTCAGCCAAGCCAAAATTGCTGAGAATCAGAAAGTGGGGCTCTCTCCGGGACTTGAACCCGGATCTACCCGTGTCTAAACCGCTAGATTAAAAGAAGTCGACAAGACCACCGCTTCTTGACTCTGAGAACCAGCCCGCAGTGCTCGAAGGCAACACCCTCGGAGCGTTCCCCTTGGAACACTTTGATTGAAAATGCCGGAACAATGCCATCTTGGGGCCGTCTCGAGAATTTAAATGCCCGTGGAGATCCACTTGAACCCGTAGTTTCCAGTATATACTGTCCAGATATGTGAGCAAGCGCGTAGCTGAGTAGTATTGGTTGCCACCTTCAACATGTTCCTGGGGAGGCATTTTACAGCCAGCACCTACAGTTCAAATACAACGTCATGAATGACCATGAAAAGATTGGCAGTCAGCATCTAATGGTACGTAACCGCTCCTGTACTGGAACAAAGGTAGCTTCTACGAATATAACTGATGCACTTTTCAGGATAAAATTAGGTCATTCTGAGATTCCACGCGATCCAACCTGAGCGATGAACGTGAGCTGGTACCCCAAGGCAGCTCTGACCGAGCAGTCAAGCTCTGTCGTGCCACTGTCGCCATCCGGTCCGTCCGGGTCCGTGGGTCCTCCGCGCTTGGGTCGTCGGCGCCTCGTGTACTACACGACTTTGGCCGTTTGGGTGTTCCTCTCGCTCAACTCGTTTCTGGATCCTTTCAAGACACTATATGGGTACTACGTTACCACGGACAGCCACGAACACGCCAGCGTGTGGGCTATCCACGTCGCCAACGCCTTCAACAACATGTCGTCGACTGTCTGCGACCAGCGCGGGCCTTTTCTCAACTGCTACTTTGAGCTGCCCGTCTTTGGGGTTGGAACATTAGCTGGCGCTGTGTGTCGGTCGTTCTACCCCGTTGATAAGGGCGACGCGCAGCACATTGGTACCTTCTTCGGCAATTGTACGCTCCCTAGTGGTCGTCGTCTCGACTTGCCAAACGATGAAATAGCGACGAGTCAATGGTCGGCGCTAACAAGCTCGATTCAAAAGGACTGCCTTGACACGCTTGGTGAAGGGGACGCATTTCCGTGCGACACGTACACTACCACAAACGGGCGAGTGATCCACCATCGGCGGAGCAAAACCGAGACAGATCGCTGGTGCAAAGAGTTTGGTGGCTTCTATCTCTTGAACAAGACGTCCGGCGAACGAGAAGTTCTCGTCGCGAATGTGTCTGTGGCGACTGCCCCCGTCTTCACCAGCCTCAAGCTGGAAGTGGAGACAACAGTCTTTAGTCTCTACGACATCCTACGGTGTCCGGCCACATTTTTTGTCGGTGGTACAGCCGACCACATATCAACGACATCGTGGTACGGCGATACGATTGGAGCCTGGACAGCGAGGACGACGAGGTCACCACACTTGACGACCCTCACGCGACGCAATGAGCTCGTCAATGTGGCAGCCTTTGCGTGGCACGATGGCGGCATAACGCAGATTCGGTCCTTCTCGAAAGATCTTTTGCGCTGCTGTCTACTCTTTATCGTTGCCTACTTCCGGGTCACGTCTATCTACTACCCGATATGGCTTGTCTTCAAGCGACAAGGTCAGCCGTTCTGGACGTGGGCAGGCGGCCGCCACATGGGCTTGGTGCTCCACAAACGCGAGCGTCGGTGCCTTGTCGTACTGTTTCTGCTCTCGTTCGAGGCGCTCCTGAGCACGGAAGACATTGTCATGTTTTGCCAGCACGCTGTCTACACGGTCCCGACCTCGTATACGACGATCATTTTGACGTACATGTCGATAACGCGCATCATCTGGCCCTCTGCATTCTTGCTGCTTGCACTGTCTCGACTCCTCGAGTGGCTTCTTGGGCCAAAATATGCGTTTGCACTCTCCGAAGACCTCTTTCTCCTTGGCGCACCCGTCGTGTGGTTCTACTTACCTTCGTATGTCACCACCCAGGGCATGAAGCTCTTCCAAGGTTACCGATGGACCGGCGTCGTCGTCCACCACTACGCAAACACGATCCATAACGCGTATTCGCACCAAAAAGACTCGTGGACGCTGTACATGGAGCTTTTCGGCTACTTCACACTGCTCTCGTCGACGTTTACGATTGTCCTCGGTTTTGTCTGGCAGTCGGTGACGCACATGACGAGCATTCTCGCGTTTCTACTGTCGCACCAACGCTATCGCCGTGAACATGCGCTCAAGGATACGACAGGGACGCTCGAGAACGTGCTGCATGGTGCTGCCGACGGGCTATCGCCCGAAATCGCATATCAAGTTACAAAAGCAAAGTGGCCACGATCGCATCGCTGTGAAGGCATGAACCTCGCGTCGGAGGGTCTCCTCTGCCTCGTATATGGGTCGACCCAGGTCCTCGCCACTATCGAGTGGGGCTTTGTGGGACCGGTTTTCAACCCACAAGGCCACGCCGCTGTTATCGAAGGCAACTCGGTCTCGTTTCGACCCAACGTGACGCGTGACACACTCTCAAGTATAACGTCCACTCCCACTCGCGTCGGCATTCCAGACCTTATTTAGAGAACCGCGATGGTCAACATACAATTGCACTACAATTGTAGCTTCAATATATTCGAGAAAACGAGACCTTGCACCTCCAACAGCCCGAGGTACAGTCTTGCTGTAGCGAGCTTACACGCGCCACATACGTCGAGCTTTAAATAAAACTGCTTGTGTGCTGATGAACATTCACCACCATCTCGGCCACCGGTACGACGCTCTAAATCGGTCCTTCGGGCTCGTATGCGAAGAAAGTTATGCCCATTTTGAGCTTTGCTGTTGAAACAATTGGGCTGCGAGAATAATGTGTTGCACCGAAACCTTTTCGAAGAATAAGTGACCTTTCACGAGCACAACAGCCAGTCGTTGCCCAACACATTCTATAATACGACAATCGACCCATAGGAAGCCCTCGCCGTCTCGTCGCAGGCGCACGGAACCGTCATCTCATGCAGCACGCTCGGTAAGAGTGCCATGCAGGCGCATCACTGCGGAAAACCGACATGCCTATGACTCTCCCAGCGACGGCGATTTACTAAGTAGTACGGCAGATGGGTCTGCGGAGGGGCTTTGCACCCGAACATGGCCACGCTCCAAGTCGCAGCTTCTCGAACTTCAAGTTCCCACGCTGCAGTAGCTTGCGTCAACCTGTGAGAATTGATCATTGGCCACTTTACTCGTCGCAGCAAGACTTGCTGATGGTGGGTTTACGCACAAAAGTGCATACATTGGTGGTGTGGAAGGTCCGTGGCATCGAG